CTCATTGATCCTCATCCCAGCTGCTAAACACTCTACTGCGTACCACTCCAGGGAGAGCTGGAGATCACGTTTTGATGAAGCCAACAGGACCACATTATCTGCAAAACGTAGAGACCTGATCCTTGGACCACCAAAATGGATCTCCTCAACACTTTGGCTGCACCTAAAAATATTGTCCAATTATGAACAGAACTGATGACAAGGAGCAGCCATGGCAAAGTCCTGCTCTCACCAGCAACAAGTCCGACTTACTGCTGGCAATGTGAACCAAGCTTCAGTCATACAGGGACCTAACAGCTCATGTCAAGGGACCTGATACCCCATAATCCTGGAGTACCCTCCACTTTTCTATTCTATTCTATTCTATTCTATTCTATTCTATTCTATTCTATTCTAATTATATTATATTATACCCTAATTTATTTAGATGAGATTTATTGTTCAATATTGTGACATTATAATTGATTGATTGAATTCTTTATTGTCATTATGCATACACATAACAAGATTTGATTGGTAGCTCTCAGCTTAAAGGGCACTAAGACCACAAATGGAATGATTAAAACATGAAGATTAAAAAAGAACAAAACATAACCATCCCTTTAGGGAGCCATACACACGCTAGGAGAATGAGTACAAAAGCAAAAAAATTTTTAAGATATAAAAGATAAATGTTGCGCTGATTGACATTCTGATCATACTGATCGACATGTTGATTAATATTATTGCACCACTTGTTATTGCACATAGAGGATTCAAGTGTGAACAGGACAATAGCAGCATGAAAAAAACAGAATCATTGTAAATTACAACCAACTCATCATTAAAAGTCTAATCATCTCATGGGTCATTGTTTGGAAGTGTAGGTATCTGCAAATGTGGGTAGGTGGGGGTGGGGGGGTGGGGGGGGGGGGGGGGCTTTAACAGCACTAGGGAAGAAGCTGTTCCTCGGCTTGGTGGTTGTGGCCTTGATATTCCTGCACCGTTTCCTGGATGGCAGTGGCATAAACAGTTTGTGACCTGGATGGAAGGGATAAGCAGCGATACGGTTAGCCTTCCTTTTTAGTCCGGAGAGTATATACTGAATCCAGATCTGGTAGTGGGCTCCCCACGATCCAATGAGCAGTTTTCACCACCCTGGCCAGGTCTTTTTTGTTCTGGACAGTACAGCTCCCATACCACACCATCATACAGAGTGATAGAATGCTCTCAATCATGGCTCTGTAGAAGTTCTTCAGCAGTTGGGGGGAGAGACCGGCTCCCTTCAGTTTCCTAAAGGAAGCCTGTTATTATTACCAATATAAGTAGGTTAAATATGGAAAACAGCAGCAGTTCATTTATTTATCTCTTTATTTGTATTGTTTTACCATTGGCACCCTATATAAACACCTTTTTTCTGCATCAACATATCTTACTTTTGATGCATGAAAAATTAAACTAAAATCTTAAAATTTTTGAAACACACTCAAAGATAAGAATGTCTTTCTACTAAAGCAGGAAACAGTTTTAGTTTTTTTTTTATTAATTCATTGTTTTGCTCTATATTATTGATGGAAGTTCAGTGATTGCATGAAGCACGGTGACCACGGCCTTGGCTTTAGATAAGTGATCTGCACAGCATGGCAAGGTTACCTGGGCTCTCTGAGCAAGGACAATGTTTTCAATTTGCTTTTTTCCCTGTTCTGTTGTTTTTCCTTTGTTGTCATCATTTATGTAGATGGAAATGCATCTGATGTGTGGTTTGAATTTAAAATACACAAACATCACAAACGAGTTCCACAACGTTGCATTTACACATTTTTATTAATTAGATAATGTGAAAAATATCAATTTTTTAATCATAGTATATGTTGTTTTTGCTTTTTAATGAAAAAAAAAGGTTTTCAATCTTTTTTTTTGGTTTCCAAAAGTCTGCTTTCGAGTAAAACATGAGCTACATGAATCTTAATATTACCGTAAGAGTTTGATTTCCAAGTTAACAACATGATGAGACCTCTTGGTTAAAGAGGGTTGAATCAAAGGCAAATATTTTTCATATTCTTCCACACAAGTCACGCTATCAGTAGTCCAGCCGCTGCTCAGCTGGATCAGTGAATTCATTATTCGTCCCTGGCACCAGAGGTCAGGACACTGAATCTTGGATGGTCCTGAAGGGAGATAAGGAAAACTCAAGCAGCGGTGCTTTCTGTAAATCCGACAAATTTGCTGTGCCTGATATGTCACAGAACGGTGAAAAACCATGTCGCTTGACCAGGAGGACCTCAATTTATTCTCTCCTTTATTCTCTCACATTTTTCCTTTTTTTTTCCCATAACGTGATTTCAGACCAGTTACGCCCCATTCTACAATCTGTCTCAGATAAACTGCTGGGAGTCGTGGACACAAGATGAATGACCCTCGCTTGTCCACCTGTGTGCTGTCATGCTTCACATATGTGAAAGTAAATTTGCTGTTGTCTTACAATTAAACACTCAATGTGTTTAAGGAGATGTTTGAAATTCCCACCATACAATTTAACTTCATTCTAGTCCTTTCCCTGTCAAATGAACGCCTCAGTGGATCGGCTTGTTTGTTTGAGAATCTGCATCCAAAAGAACCACGGAGGTTTGTGCTTTTGATGCACTTCTCTGCTCTCTCATCAACCACTTCAAACAAAATATTTGAGTGCAGGGTGAGGACAGAAGCCAAATGGAAATCTTTACGGCTTATTTGCTAAATCTGCAGTTAATTACAAACACACAAAACTTGCTCAAGGCGCTCGGTTACAAAAACAAAACTGTGTGATGGTGAATGTACTGACGCAGGAACATTTATTAACCATGCTCTAACCAAGCACGTATAACCAAGTTGTTATATTAAATTTCTAAAATGTGTAACAATATAAAGTGTTAAGTGTCCCAGAACACTGTTTTATCACTGAGTGATGGACACTTGGTTCCAAAATGCATGAAATAACAATAATTTTCATAAATACTGTATACTAGTCCTGTACTTTACTAAAACAGATTTATTTTCTTACATAAAAAGCTCTTTATTTAGCATATTTTATTTACAACTCATTTTATTTTGGCAAGCCACGGCATACACAAAGGCAATTCAATGTGCTTTCCATTAGCAAGATTAGCATGACCATTAAAATCAACGTGACATCACAATTAAATACACACAAATTAATTTCAGATTTAAAAATCAAATACATTTTAAAAAGACACATTTAGAGGGTGAGCAGTGACAGTGCAGATGGTAAAGCAATAAAAGAGTTATTCAAAGGCTGATGAATGCATCAAATTTTTCATTTTGATTTGAAAGTTACTAGAGTTGGGGCACCGTTGAGGTCACGAGGAAGCTGGTTCCATCTGTGTGCAGCATAGTAGCTAAAAGCAGCTTCGCCCTGTTTGGTTCTGACCCGGGGTTCTACCAGCTGACTGTGCCACAAAGTGGAAAAGCTTGGATTTAGTTGAAGTTGCATGATTTGTGTTTTATTGTTGACATGCTTACTGTGTGTTTTGAATGGTTTTTTCCCTTTGTGATACCTCCCAGAGACACTAATTTGGACAAATGGGAAAAGGTGTGGAATGCCCACAGGTGCAATGGACTCAAAACGAGGTATAAAAGGAACTGAGGATAGAGTCCAGAAGGGCAGCAGACACCAGAGAGACTGGTGCGATGAGGCCTGATTGGGAGCAAGAGACCCACCCTGGACAGTGACGTCTCTGGCATGGACACGAGCGCCCGAACCCCCAGAAGGCAGATCAGCACCTGGAACACTGTCCCGGGATGTGGACAAGTGGCCAAGTGGGGAGGATTGTGGGTTGCCCTCTCCTCCCCCATGTGAGTGGCGCAGTTTTGGTGCTGGTGCCTCTGTGTCTTGTTAGGGCCTTGGGCCAAGGAGGGTGTGACGTGTCCAAGGAGCGGAGCTGTGCCAGGAGGCTGCGGAGAGACTGGTGGTGCACAGCAGCCAGCGGGCGAGGGGACGACGCTGGAGCCGTGGTAGCAGCACAGACGGGTTGCTGCAGGAGGTTGACTTTATGCCTGACAGCCAAAGGACAAGGTGGAGCAGACTGGGTCCCAGCTACGTGGGTCAACACGGGTCAGCTGGAGCCAAGAGGTGGCTCCTTGTACTGGACACCGTCCCGCCCCTGGTGATGCAGGATGTTTTAGACTGTTTTTAGGACTTTTATGTTTTTACTCCTGCAGCCTTTGAAGAATGGAACTTTTAGCATTGTCCTAGCTCCTCCCAATAAATGATCTGTTTTAGTATTCAGTGGTTCCCCTGCCTGTTCTTTGGATCATGAGTCGCTCGTTTCCCCCTTGTATCTGGAACCTGCAGCTGTGGACGGGCTGCTGCGGGGTGACAACTGCTTCACAAGGATCTCCTGCTGGACGTATATGCAGGAAGGAGATCCGACATGTATTTTGGCCGCATGTCATTCGGTGATTTATAAACTAGAAGTCTTTTGAAATTGATTCTGTAGTTTACTGGTAACCAGCGTTTTGCTTTATCTGTTCTTGTGCAGGTGTTGATGTGTTTCATGCAATTTCAATAACAACATACGAGTGAAATCCACTTATATTGGTTGGATTTCTACAGCATGTGTTTGTGTTTTTTCAGTAAATCTGGGTTTCCTCCTTATTTCCGTTTCTCTGTATTGATTCAAATCCACACTGAGAATTGAAAATCTCAAAATATGTCAGATTTGTGTCCAGAAGGAACATTCATGGAGGAACTATTTCCCAGCATCAGTTTTGGGGCACAGGTGATCATTTTAACTTTATGGGTTAGGGTTATGATTTTATGCTAAATAATCCACAATTTTACCATTTGAAGATAGAACAAGGCTGATATAAAAGCTTAAATATTTTGAATTCAACTGTTTATTTTCTCAAAACAAATCCATCTAAAAAGGCACTGATATAGCTGGCCCTAACAATGTCAAAACACTGTTTAAGTGATAACACCAAGTAAACACTAATGTTTTGTTCTTCTATCCTTTCCACAGAGATTCGTGAGGCTTTCAAGGTATTTGACAGAGACGGGAATGGCTTTATCTCAAAGCAGGAGCTGGGAATGGCCATGCGCTCACTGGGATACATGCCGAATGAGGTGGAGCTGGAGGTCATCATCCAGAGACTCGATACTGATGGTGTGTCTCACCCTCTATGCCAGGGGTGTCCAATCCTGGTCCCGGAGGGCCGGTATCATGCATGTTTTAGTTTGAACTCTGTTTCAACACAACTGATTTCAATCAGCAGCTAATTAATAGGCTTCTGCAGAGCCTGATGAGCTGCTGCACAGGTGTTTCAACCACTGAATCAAGCCTGTTGGAGCAGAAAAACCACAAAACCTGCTGGATACCAGCCCCCCAGGACCAGGATTGGACACCCCTGCTCTACGCTGTGTGCCGTCCAACCCATGAGCTTCTGTGTGACTTTTGTCTTTCTGTCTGTTTCATCAGGTGACGGCCAGGTGGGTTTTGAAGAATTTGTCACGTTGCTTGGTCCTAAACTCTCTGCAGCAGGAATGCCTGATAAATTCCATGGAGCGGATTTTGATTCTGTGTTTTGGAAGGTAGTTTCTGTCATTATTGAAAATTCAATATAGGTTCCTTTGTTTTCAGATAGCCTACATCACCATTTATTAATACATACTTTCAGTTCTTGCATTCATTTTTATCACAAAATGAAAACTGTTTATTTGAAGGTGTCCTAGAACTTAAGCACATTTACCTTGTTGCATAAAGGCGGCTTGGGGTGTCTAATTAAGTAAACTAAAATGTCTGTGCTGTCTTCAACTTCCGTTCTTAAGGAAATTAGCAATGTTGTAATGGCCACAAAAACACAGTTCAGAAAAACTGATTTAAAACGTTAAGCTTATAGGGGGCCTAAGTCTGAATTATGGGTCCCCGGACAAACGAAAAAAATAAATGCAAGTCAATGAGGCTAAAAAGGTTATTTCCTAATCTCGTTTGTTATATTACACATGATGTCCGTGAATGTTAAAGACACATTCTAATGCTACGAAAGCGCTTATTTTTGAATGGGAGCAAAAGTTATTTTAGGCTCTGTGTGAAAATACCAAATTTAAGTAATTGAACCAGACACGGAGAAGAGTAGATGTAAAATGGCTGTAAGTTTAGCAAACTTTGAATCCTTCATCCAGGAAGAAGAAAAAAACACCATAAATCTCGCCATGTTGTAAGTAGCTATGATAGGGGGAGAGGAGATTCAGTGGTGATGTCATATTTGCAACGTGCCAAAGTCTGATTTGTAGTCATAGGAATCCCAAATTTTTACAAGCTGATAAATCTCAAAGGTTGAGGGTAAGAAGACCACATTGACTCCTTCGGTTGGTGACCTTGTCAGGCACCACAAATCCAAAGGCAGGGGAGGGGGGTTCACAGCATCTGCTTGCATTCCTTCAAAGAGGATTCCTCTTCTCACAGCTCAAGCCTACCAAGGTGCCAGGGCAGGCAGAGATAATCTCCTCTCTGCCTTTTAGTTCTTAACTGGCCTTCAGTCCCATGCCCATACCGTGCAGTGACTTTCTCCAAGATCACATCCATTTTATGTGATAGCAATTCACCTCGAGCAGTGCCCCAGTCTGAGAAGTCTCCACATGGCTGAGACTTGCCATGGGTACGGGTTGCACTCCACTTGCCCCCGACTACCCAATTTTCCAAAATACCAGAAATCCTCCCATTCCTATCAGAAGAAATCCAGTAATTATCAGTCTGAAAATCCATGTGTCTGTGATGCCCTCCACGGACAGCTGGGAAAGGCATAGAATGTTTTACTCCTTCCAGGAATCCAAAATATACCCCACCAGGTGCCTTCCATCTGGAGAAGCTGGAGCCTCCCGCTCCATTCTCATTGTTGACATAATCTTGTCAATTGTGTTGAATGACCAGTGGACCAAATCCATGATTTAATAAAAATTGAGTTTTCAGGAGGAATGCAGAGAAGCGCTTTGTAGACAGACAGGACAGGACAGGACAAGAGCCTTAGGAAAATATGAGGAGGGAGAAAAGAGAAGTGTCTGTACTCTCCAGGTGCCAGAAGAAGAAAGGCAAACACTAGCCTAAGCTACTGATAACTCTAGCTCAAACTACTGCTAAATCTAGTCTGTGCTACTGGAAATGCCAACTTAACTTTCTACTAATAAGAGCCTGGGCTTCTAACACCCTTGTTGGATGAGATGAAAACAACAATTAAGAATGCTGGAGCACTCAAATACTATAGCCCCTCTTAGAGGACATCAGCATAGTACCGCCACCATAGTGAGTCTCATGAACGCGCCGTGGTGACATGGCGATGCAGGAATTTTGTGGCATTCATGCCGCCACACTTGGTAGTAATATTACTGCAACACCAGACTTGTCAATGCATGTTATGCCTTGGCGCAACAGAGGGAGGTGTCAAGATGACGTGGGGAGCTCCAGAAGGGAAATATATTCAAGGTGAAAGTAAACACAGGCCATAAGTTTTGCTTTTATGTTTATGTTTATGTATTTAGCAGACACTTTTGTCCAAAACGACTTACAAGTGATAATCGGCATGTTGCCCTTGAGGCTAACAACAACAATAGCAACAACAACTTGACATGAATCATGGAGAGTAGGGAACAAGAAGTGGACAGTAGAGAGGGGGGACGGGTGCAGGCAAGGTGCTAGTTTAGAAGATGCTCTCTGAAGAGCAGGGTCTTCAGGAGTTTCTTGAAAATTGAAAAGGAAGCCCCTGTTCTGGTAGTGCTTGGAAGGTCATTCCACATTTGTGGAACGATGCATGAGAAGAGTCTGGATTGTCCTGAGCGTGGTGTAGGCACTGCTAGCCGACGATCCTGTGATGACCGGAGCGGCCGGGCCGAGACGTAATTCTTTGCAAGAGGATTCAGGTAGATGGGAGCCGTACCATCTCGGACTTTGTATGCTAGTGTTAGCAATTTGAATTTGATGCATGCTGCTAGCGGTAGCCAGTGGAGCTCAATGAACAGAGGGGTGACATGTGCTCTTTTTGGCTGATTGAAGACCAGACGCGCCGCTGCATTCTGGACCATTTGAAGAGGTCTCACAGTACAGCCTGGAAGACCAGTTAGAAGGGCATTGCAGTAATCGAGGCTGGAGATGACAGTAGATTGCACCAGGAGCTGGGTGGCATGTTGTGTTAGGTATGGTCTGATCTTTCGTATGTTATACAGCACAAAGCTGCATGAACGAGCAACAGAGGCAACATGATCTTTAAAGGTCAGGTGTTCATCAATCACAACACCCAGATTTCGAACTGCCTTTGAAGGAGCCAGAGATAGGAAGTCATTTTGGATTGAGATATTGCTCTGTATGGATGGTTTTGCTGGGATGACAAGTAGTTCAGTTTTAGAGAGGTTGAGTTGGAGATGGTGGGATTTCATCCATTTTGATATGTCAGAGAGACAGTTTGATATTCGTGCAGAGACAGTGTGGTCGTCCGGTGGAAATGACAGATAGAGCTGGGTGTCGTCTGCATAGCAGTGGTAGGAGAAGCCATGTGATCGAATGACCTCACCCAGTGAGGTGGTGTATATGGCAAAGAGAAGAGGTCCTAGTACAGAGCCCTGGGGGACTCCTGTGGCAAGATGGTGCATGGTAGAGGATTGTCCAAGCCAAGATACACTGAATGATCGTCCTGTGAGGTACGATTTAAACCAGGCATGTGCTTTCTCTGTGATGTCCATGCTAGAGAGTGTGGACAAAAGGAAGCTATGGTTGACAGTGTCAAATGCAGCCGATAAGTCGAGTAGGATAAGCACTGAGGATTTGGCAGTCGCTCTAGCTTCTTTTAACGATTCCATCACTGCTAACAGAGCAGTTTCAGTGGAGTGGCCCTTTTTGATCCCAGATTGGTAAGAGTCAAGCAGACAGTTTTGTGAGAGGTATTCTGTGATCTGCATGAAAGCCACCCTTTCAATGATTTTGGACAGAAAAGGGAGGAGAGAGATAGGTCGGTAGTTCTCCACATGATTTGGAGGAAGAGATGGCTTTTTTAGCAGCGGTTTAACCTGAGCATGCTTGAGAGAGGTGGGAAATGTACCGGATGTCAGTGAAGCGTTGATCACATGTGTGACTGCTGCGGCTACAGTAGGAGCAATAGCTTGGAGCAGCTTAGTCGGAATGGGGTCGAGTGGGCATGTAGCAGGGCGGCTGCACGCGAGAAGCTTGGACACACAGTTCTCAGTGAGAGGGGAAAAAGAGGAAAATGAAGCAGTAGGGCTTGAGATGGTTGGGCTAGAAGGAGTTTGAGGTAGCAAATGTTCAGGAGTGGCCAGTTGAGTAAACTGTTTGCTTATAGCTGCCACTTTGTCAGTGAAGAATGAGGCAAAGGTGTCAGCTGATAGATTTTTGGTAGGAGGTGGAGACGGAGGGTTGAGCAGAGTTTTGAATGTAGAAAATAGTTTCTGAGAGTCAGTAGAGCTGAGAATTTTGTCAGTGTAGAAAGATTTATTTGCATCAGTGATGCTGGCAGAGAATGAGGAGAGTAAATCATGAAATTTCAATTGATCACCAGGATCTTTTGTTTTGCGCCATTTCCGTTCCGCAGCTCTAAGATTGGTACGTTGAGACCGGAGGGTATCTTTTGTAGTCAGAATCAGCTGAGATGGGAAACTGGAGCAATGCAGCGCACCTAGAGCTTTTCTTCGTTAAAGCTGGAGCTCAGGTCACCAGAGACTGCACAGGGACTGTGGAGGACAGAAACTTTTAGGAGCAGCTTGTTTAAAAAACTGAACAAGTGTGGCTTCAATCGCAATAAAAAGCAAGTTATGTCTAGATAAAAGGAAGTCTGCGGCAGTCCCTCCATCACCTAATCTTTTGTAAAAACGACAAGATTGCGCAACATCACCATCAAGGTCTGTGCACTTAAAAACGACCTAAGGCTCTCTGATGCCGCCATGGTGTTGTGACAAATTGGCAGTATTATTTTCTAAAAGAAGCATATTATGCACTGGGAATATCTAGACTTTGAATGAATTTCCCAGACAGATCTATAACTTGTAGTACTTGTTCTCTTCTTCGTTTGTCCACAAACCCTAGCTCTGCAACCAGCTGGACATATTTTGTCCCTTGTACATCCACACTCCCACACTGACTTCTCTCTGACTGTTCTCACATTGTCAATGAACCCCCACCACCCACACACACATGCAGAGTTTCTACCTTCAGGTAGTCATTGAGTCATTGGAGCAAACTGACCAATAAGCATGCAACTCATCTAATATTCATGTTCTGGCCTAGCAGTCTTTCCATTGTAGGTGTTTCGTATGGGGTTGTATCTGGTTATTTTAAGGGCTCCTGGGCCATTGTGAGCCCCAACAAAGTTTCACATGACACAAGGAGGCTCAAAGATAAGTTTCCAATAGAAAAAAGCCTGTTTCTAGGACCCCTTTAATGCATACTCTAATTTCTTATACTCCTTTTCATCACCAAATGAAAAAAATATGTTTATTAAACAATGTTTTTAGGATTCAAGCCATAAATTAATTCATGATATTTTGAACATTGCAATCACATTTGTATCACACACATTTTAAAGTTTGATTGTGGCAAATTAAACCTAAACTGAAAACACTAAAAATTGATTAAACAAATTTCTAATGTTCCAGATCCATGTGGTGCGAATAAGGTTCACAAAGACTTTGAGACAGTAAGTTTTTCCTTCCTAATTGAACCATTTTTGGCGTTTCCCAGTGCGACATGCAGAAACTCACTGTGGATGAGCTCAAGAGATTACTGTACGACACTTTCCGAGACCACCTCACCATGAAAGACATCGAGCACATCATTATGACTGAAGAAAACCACCTGAACAGTCCAGAATCTCATGTGGATATTGACAGTAAGTTTAATTAACAGCTTGTTGCATATTGCATCGTCAAGACTTGCAGGTGTGTTAATGTCCTCTCCCCCGAATCTCTCCACAGCGAGCCCAACGCAGCAGGAAAAGCACACATGTGTGCGCAAAAGCCTGATTTGTGCCTTCGCTATCGCATTTATCATCAGCGTCATGCTCATTGCAGCAAATCAAATGCTCCGCAGAGGAATGAAGTAAATAAATTGTACCAGCAGGACAAAGAAATCCAAGGATCAAAAACAAACCAAAATATGTTCCCATTTTGTTTTCTTCACACTTGACACCCGTGATGATACTATCAGTGCATTTTTCTACATTAAAAAGAATGAAATGATGTCACATTGTGGTTTTGTGTCAGACCACACTATACAAGGTGATGAAAATAATGATAGAAAGGCTTCTCAAGGGCTGACTAGTACAAGGAAAATGGGATCGGGTAGTAGAATGTGATTTTATTTTACATTTTAGGATTCCAGGGAATGTTTTGCGCTAACTGAAAACATTCAGTCTTTTTCTTGACAGTCTTTCTATTTGGAATGGACCAAAAACACACTAAGTACCAATGATAGTAATAAAGCAATACACAGGTGAGTAACATAACTCCCATTTTTAAATCTTGAGATGATAAAATAAGAACTCATTCCAGTGCATTGATATTTTCTCTTATCACTTATCATATTTTCACCAAACGACAGCTCACAAAATGTTCAGATTTCAACAACCAGATCATTTGAAGTGAGGTTCTTCAGCAGGAAGGTGATGAACAATCTCAGTTTGGAGAGACAGATTGTTTCTGACTGAGGTGACAAGCTAAGACCTAAGACAATTGTGGATGAGTGTCATCTGAAAAACAGCTTAAGTTGATATAGACACTCACCCAGGTAGTTCGTACAGTCATGACATGTAACCATAGAAACCATATCAATACTTTGCTGAAGGTGCAAACACACTAGTCAAAGTCGAGAGAGAAATAAACCACAGCAGTGTCTGCAGACTACTGATCAGTTCTGATTGAATTGACCAGATGCAGAACATTGTTGGTACATGTGATTTTTTTCAAATGACCACAATCAGATGACGACTCAAAAAGTAGTCACAATGCGTTGTGGGAAGCATGGGATGTCAGTGAATCTTGATGTATTTTAAAAACTTTACAGTGATTCATGCAAACATTTTTCATCTTTACTCTCATTGAATTTGCTTCTTCACTGTTATATCTATCAGACAAGATATTAAAGTAGAGCAGTTTCCTGCTCCTTCGTCCAATTGGTTGAAAGTGGAACTACAACTGTTGTAAACAACCTTGCTGCAGCCTGCTGTAGCTAGCGCTAACAATGAGCTAACGCTAACATGAGCCAACTAATACTAAAATAAACCACAAAGTAAAAAGATCCACACCATTGGATAAAATACATTATTACTTACAAGTCCAGTAACAACAGAGCCAGGTCACTATCACTCTGATTTTGTAGCCTCCTTTAGCTCCCTCAAACTAGCGTAGGCTGTGCCGATGTTCACTCTGATTTTAGCTTTTTGCTTCGTCTCCAAAGTCCTTACTCTGTTACTTTTACTCATAGGCTCCGCCATGATGCCAACAGAAAAAACAAACTTCTTCTTTTTCATCTTCTTGTGCTTTTTATTGACGATCGTGAACTGAAAATGTTAACCACTAGCATTACAGCTAACAGCCGTAAGGCAGGTAAAGAGCCCCCCTCGAACAACAGGTTTTTGATCAGCTGAGGGCAGCAGAGTGGTGTCAAATATGAAACTGGTCAAGTTTCCAACCCAACAGTCCCTAAGATTAATGTTAAAGCTTTAGCTAAAAGTAAAAAAAAAATACTAAATCTATTGTTACTTTAATTGTTCACAACCTTTTTACAACAACCTACTTAAAAAGAGTTTATTTCTGTAAAGTACGACCCCTTAAATTAATTCTGAACAGAACAGACTTCCTAGTTTCCATCTCAAAATCTTGGCTCTGATGGTGAATTTCTGTTGGTCAGTCTGTTGTTGGATGAGAAAATGAAAAACCCTCAAACAAACAGCTGATCTTTAACCATATTTCAGTTTGGCACATACAATCGCATGCATTTGATGATGCCCAGATTGCACATATAAAGTCCCCATTATGTTGAATTTATTTTATTATCTATTAGCAACCTGTGGTGATGTCTACAGCATCACATGAACCATCAGATCATCTATAGGACATAATTGTTAATAGCTGATAAATGAAGGATGTGAAATGCAAGAAATAATCGTGAAATCTTCCATTTCTTATATCAGCCATTTTGTGTTTTATTCAACAAATCTCCATTAAGGATTATTGTGAAATGAAGATTTAAGTGATGGTACAACTTCACAAAAGAATATTATTTAATAATCATGTTTTTATTTCAGCTGTTAGCACTTTATTGAGTTATTAAGCGGTCACAGTTCACCGATGACCAATTTGATGCCAGACTAGATTCATCTGTGCTCCAGTAATGAACAAAATTTTAAGTTTACCTCGATGAATAAAAAGTTTTACTTAATATTTTACGCTAATTGAGCCTGCATCAGATGGGTTTGACAGAGCGTGATTTCTGAATGTTATCTGAAATTACAAAGGTTTAAATAAGTGGAATAAACCAGTGAGGTGTGTGACAAGCACTGCTGAAATTTACCCAAAACTTTTCAACAATGTCTCCTGAAAAATAATCACAATGGTTTAAAGCTTACATGGGGTGATCTTGGTTTGGTTGAGCAGCTGGTGATTTCCCCCAATGGAACAAGTGTAGTTATATATAGTTTTACAGCTAGACCACAGCTATACAGTGAGGAACATACGTATTAGAACACCCTGCGGTTTTGCAAGTTCTCCCACTTAGAGCCATGGAGGGATCTGAAATTCACATTGTAGGTGCATTCCCACTGTGTAGGCAGTATTTTGAAAAACCAGGGAATCACACTGTATAATTTTTAAAGATTATATTTGTGTTGCACTGCTGCAGATAAGCATTTGAACACTTGAGGAAATCAGTGTTGATATTTGATACAGAAGCCTTTGTTTGCATTTAAGAGGTCAAAGGTTTCTTGTAGTTCTTGACCTGCTTTGCAAACACAAAAAGGGTCTTTGGCCCACTTCTCCATACAGATCTCCCCATGATCTGTCAGGTTTCAGAACTGTCACTGAGGTTCAGCTTGCTAGGCCACTCCAGAACGTTGACATGCTTCTTACTAGTTATCCTGGCTGTGTGCTTTGGGTCATCATCATGGTGGAGGACCCAGTTACTACCCATCTTCAATGCTCTGACTGAGAGAAGGAAGTTGTTGCTCAAAAGCTCACTGTACATGGCTCCATTCGTCCTCTCTTTAACCCTCTGGAGGCAGGAGTTGCGGATTTGCAACGTTAAAACCTACCTACCTGGTTACTCCACATACGTATTTCATGAGCATTTTTAAACTCAGAAGTACCCCTGAAGGACTTAGTTGTTCGTATTTTTATCAAAACTTATTTTGAGCCTGAGACGGTTAATCAGTGCAGTCACCCTGTCCCCTTGGCAGAAAACCATCAAAGCATGATGCTTCTACCTCTGTGCTTCACAGTAGGGATGTTGTTCTTGGGATGCAACTCATCCTTTTCCCTCCAATCACAGCAAGTGAAGTTCAGACCGAAAGGTTCTATTTTGGTCTCATCTGATGACGACTTTGTCCCATGCCTCCTCTGGATCATCCAGATGGTCAATGGCAAACTTCAGACAGTCCTGGACATGTGATGACTTGAGCAGGGAACCTTCTGTGCAATGCATGAGTATAAACCATGACAGAGTGTTCTACCTACAGGGACCTTTGAAACTGTGGCCCCAGCTCTCTTCATGTCACTGACCAGCTTCTACTGTGTTGTTCTGGGCTGATTCCTCATGTTTTTTATCATCAGTGATACTCCAACAGGTATGATCTTGCATGGAACCCCCGTCTGAGGGAGGCTGACAGTCGTTTTTACCCTCTTCCAGTTTCAGTTTCTTCAACAGTTTCTTTTTTTCACCAAGGCTTGTGGAAGTCCATGATTTTGTCTCTGATGTATTTTGACAGCTCATTGGTCTTGCCCATGGTAGTAGTTGGAGTCTGGCTGTGGGGTGGACAGGTGTAAGCTCAAACAGGTGCTAGTGCTACTAATTTACTGGACTAGATGTGGACATTTTAAAGACAGAGTAACAGGTCTTTTAGGTCCAGAAGTTCTTGCTGATGGCCAGATGTTCAAATACTTATGTGCAGCACTGCAATACAAATAAATTCTTTAAAAATCTTACAATGTGACTTACTACATTTTTTATGCCGTCTCTCACTGGGAATGTGCCTACAGTGTGAATTTCAGACCCTTTCGTGATTTCTAAGTGGGAGAACTTCCAAAATTGCAGAGTGTTCAATTACTTATGTTCCTCGCTGTATTTATTGCATATTTAGTTGTAGTCCAAATATTTAGCCAAGCAGAAAACTCTAGACTACAGATAGAAAATCACAAAATCCTTCCAAAAAATATCAAACAAAATTACGTGCATATGCAAAAACCCAGAATCATGGACTAACATCAACATCTGGAGCTCAGCACAAATACTAAATATGTTTCATGTCCATTTTCTGCCAGCAAAACATGAAATACATGCAAACTGTAGCTGCATATCTCAGATGTGCATCTATAAGAGTCTAAATACGAGACATTAAAGTCAATTCAGCTGGAGAGAGACCTCAAATGCAAGTTAAGGATAAATAGAATAGTATTCAGACAAAACTATGTATTACCTGTATTATTTATAGCAAATACGCATACATTTGCATGTACAACAAATAAATGTATGTTAAATGTGAGTGAGAACAGCTTTTGAAGTACGTGTTCAAATAATTATGCAATTTGTTAAGTGATTATTGAAAAAAAGAAAATCAAGAAAAAAAATCTCAGTATTTGACATTTTTCTGTAAATGTCATCTTTTGTGGATGTGCAAACAATATCAAAATACTTTGCAGTACGCTGTGAAAAATACTTAACATATCATGAAAAATGTTGTTTTTTTGGGCTTTTACGTGAACCACCAAAACGACATTTGATTTAAGCGTATAAATGGGTTATATTTTCTTACTTGGATGAGTGATGCATTAAATCTGTGTTATTTTGTTATAAATATATGCATAAGGTTTTATAAAAATCAACAAAAATGCAAAAACAATATGTGTTTGATAAATAATTTTCAGCCTGAGTGGAATGTTACTGCATTTAACTTTTGTTGTTAGTAAAAAAAATATTTTTTTTAATATATTTTATTTACTTGTCAAATCTGATCAATTTAACCAAATGGGTTTATTTTTTTTAATTAAGGTCTTTCAGGAGGACCCATTTGAAACAAGGAGAATCACTCTGGCAATAAAACAGATATTTTATCTCATGTAGCATTTTATGTCAAAACAAACGATGTGACATCGCTTTACCTCTACATGTGAACATATCATGTAAAATATGGGGTTTTGTGTGGATGTAAAATATAGTCACTGTGCCAAATCTTGTCTTAAAACACACTGTATTAGCAAATATTGTCCTATTATGTGTGTTAATGTCATATTAGCTTATTTATGTACACTTTGTTGACAGGCTGTCCTGATTGTTGCTATAAATTTCATTTGGAACGTGAATCTCTTGTTTTGAGCCTTTGTCATTTTAAAAACAAGACTTTCTGGAGTCCAGAGAGTCTTGTAAAAAAAAAAAGATGGAAAATCTGTTTGTAGCAAAAATGAGTCTAATCCTGCTCATCCCGTCCCTCCTCCGGATCTGAAATGGAGTTCCAGACTGTAATCATTGTGCCATCCAACTGTGAGACATCAACAGAGATTTTAATGTCTGTACAATGATCTGCACTATTTTGGGTTCCTTTACTGTAAAGGTCACTGCATCATTTATACACTATTGTAAGTGGTGTCAAGATGCATGTAGTCCAATAAAAAAAATAAGTGCAATAAAATTTGGGTTGCTGCTTGTTTGTCACGTTCGTGAGAATTCAAATGAAAAAGTGACTTTTGTTAATAAACTCAGCAGGCTTCTAGGTTTATAAAGAGATGGATGGATATTATTGTGAGGAAACTGCCCAGATGGTTTCATATGAATGTAGAATTGTCAGTCGGATGTTATTTACTGCATCAATGAACAGATTCTCTCGACTCCACTCAAACTTTATTTGTATAGCACCTTACACATGCCACCAAAGAGCTTCAGACACAGGTAAAAATCATCGACATATAAATATTGGACAATGGGTTTGCATATGCTCCAATAACATGTTTTTTGAGGAGAAATGGGAGGTGGCCACCACCGCCATTTTGACCGTGTCACAGGTTCCGTCAAGCCCAGACAATTCCACAAAAGGGAAGAGAGGTGGAGCTGAGGGTGGGGCTGTAAGGCTGGGATCAACTGACGACACCCGGTCGAACTAGCTACAAGCTAACCTGAAGCTAACCCAAAGCTAACGCGGAGGTGGGAGCTAAGCTAACAGAGGTAGCAACCTAGCTACAACCGGAGTTAACTGTGCACAACACCAGAGCTTCTGAGTCAGAGATACGCCGGGCTGACCGCTGGGTAAAACCGGGTAGAACACAGAGGTCTCCCGAGAGCTCCACTAGCTGGCAGCCGCACAGCAGACAAGCACCTCTGCGATCTGAGATGCACAAAGCTGCCGCTGGGGAGAACCGGGTGGAAAGGTTTCCATCCCAGAGCTCCACAAGCTGGCAGCCCGCGCAGCAGACAGAAGCTGTGATCAGACAGAGATGCGCCGAGCTGCGGGGAGGGGAGAAACGGGTGGAAAACATTGGTCTCCTGAGAGCTCCACAAGCCGATAGTCAGAACCCAGCTCCACCAACATGTTATATTTCAACCCATTTTCTAAAGTGCAGCATTATGTTAAATGCACTGAGTTTTACCTCATTACATTTAAATTTCATGGTTAAACAGTACATGTTAAAATCTAAGCTCAGCTCAGCAGTGACCTAAAATACATAAATATAATTTACTGAAAAAAATGAAGTGGAGACTCCTTGGATGCTCTATTAGTGCAATTAATGCCACATCAAGTCATTTTGTCCAACAATTGCACAAATAATATCCAAAAAAGAATACACAAACACAGAGACTCAAAATCCCAGAACAGTTTCCAAGCCAGACCGAGGCTCTACTGAGGCCTTTCCACGGAGCTAGCTCTGTGGTCACGTGTGTCGGATGCTCATTAATTATTCCGAATTTTAGGCTTTTAATACACTTAAACAGAAGAGTGAAAAAAAAATTCACCCCCCTCAGAGTTGCCATGAGTGTAAACTAGATAATTTAAACCAAAAACATGTGTTGGTACCAGGCTGTAAACATGTTTATTTCTGCTGTGAAATTGGTATTTTTAACATGAGAGTCAATGAGGATTTGCTCGCTTCTGACACCAGCCCCCAGCGGATGAGGGTGGAACAGCAATTTCTCGTACTTCTGGGATTGCTTCAATTTTTGAGCTGCATTGTGGGGGCTTGGTAAAAATATAACTCATAAAATCCTCTAAAAAGTAATAAAACACAACCAAAAAAAACCCCATTAAAAATTAGACTAAAAAGCAACACAGTCAATCACACAGATTTAAAAGCCAGTTCATAAAAATGGGTCTTCAGCTTTGATTAAAAAACTGGTACAGAAGAGGGCTACCAAATGTGTAATGGAAGCTCATTCCATAGTTTTGGAGCTGCAACTGAAAAGGCTATGTCAACAGCTATGTCTTCAGCTGTGACCGGGGCACCACGAGCAAGGACAAGTCCTCTGAACGGAGTGCCCGGGAAGGAATAGACATGTGCAGATGTATGTTTGGGTTTTAAAGGTGTAATGGATTAGAACACCCGTTTATTCAATACATTTACAGTGGTATAAAATTTATTTCAACTTCATTGAATTAGGCACAGATTATTCAAACATTAATATTATTATTCATATAACGTTTGTCCATTCAACCACATTATTATTTAATGATGATTTAACTTAAGAGTTGTAAAAGTTCATCTTTTGTCCTGTGAAGCAAGCAGATAGATAAGGCTGCAGCTTGGCAGAGAGGAACCTTGAGGAAGGAACATGATGTTGACAATCAGAGTGTAAGCATGCAGTGGCGAATCTTTCCTGCAGCTTGGAAGATTGAGACGCAGAGAGGCGGATTCATGTCTGTAGATGACCGGTCACTGAAAAGGTCAATTTGTAGATGAAAACTGACCATTCCTGGATGCTACAGAAGTCTAGATACAAAAAATATGTTTGTATATTTTTGGAAAAAATAAAAAAAAGTTGAATTCAGCATATGTCTGAACAAAAACCTTATGAAACCTCAGGAATTCATTTCAATTTTAGGGGAAATCCAATAGTGTTATCACAGTCAGAGTGGGAGCTCCGTTTCATTAAGAGAGCTGAACTTTTGATGCACGTATGGAGAAGGTTTCTGAGGACAAAAACTTAATGAATTATTAAATAATACACATGCTAATATCACATAAACTTTGATTCTTCAGGAAGGTTCTAAAGGGAATTTCTGCTTTCCAGCAGTAGTAGCTTATGGGTAATACTACAAATACACTAAGTAGATGTGTCTATTTGTAGAGGATTTCGAAATGATCATCTCAACAGAAGAATTACTGTTTTAAAATGTGAATGACAGATTGAGAGACATGACTAAACAAAACTAAATTACTTGTGAAACAAAATGATTTTCAGTCGTTTTCAAACCCTATGCACTTACTGGCATCCAAGCTTAAAACTATTGGCTACAATACTAAAATGTTAAAAGCAAAAACTTAGAAACATTAATAAATTACCAATAACTGTTAATGGGGATTATATAGAACTTGCTAAAGATTTCCACGATGCACAATAAAGAGGGCATAACAAGGTTTATTTGAAAAAAAAAACTCATTTTTATTAAATTCTCAACATGAAATCCTCATCTTAGATGTCTCATCTTAGCCATGACCTGCTCATTAAGGGACAAGGTTGCATTTAACCTTTAAAAAGGTGAGGGAGGAGTCTCAAACTCCACAATGAGGCCGACTGACTCAGCAGTGAAGACTCATCCTGAAATGAACAAAGTGGCACTTCTGGGAGTTACATTCACAAACCAAGTATTATTTTGAAACTTTTGTCAGATTCTGTGCACAATTTCCATGTAAATGCTAAACTAAGCATCTCTTATCTCTTAACAGAAACTTGCAACAGTTTTAAGAGCAGTTAAAAAATGGACACACCTTCAAGTGAAACCATAGTTTAATAAACGCTGCTCTTGCCCCTTTAATGCCACGCAACTATCCACTTAAGGGTTACTTGGAAATTACAGAGAATGTCTCTCAACCCCATTCAGAGCACACCCTGACTCTCCATCCGCCAGGAGGAGGTGGTAACAGGGAGGGTGGGAGGTCAGGGATGGAGAGGAGCTGCTGAGGTATCTGGTGTTCTGTTTCAGCCTCCTCTGTGTCTTCCGTAGTAGTTGGATCTCTGCAGGGATAAATAATTGAACAGTTGAATTATAAATGAAGAGGAAGGACTATTAGGTATGCTAACCATGTTAAAACAAAAATGAATGCATACCCTTTGCTACAGAGGGCGGCCTGCTTCTTCTCCCGTTTCTGGAGCCATTCGTTTATATGTCGTCCAAACACCGGTCTTTCCTCAGCGTCCTTTTGGTGCTGTCTTTCCTCTGGAGGGGAAAATATATAACATTTTTCTTAGCATACAGTTTATATGGCACATTTGTAAGACGTAATACGCATTGTTTTCTTAAAGTGGTGAAAGTTTAAGTGTCATTTTCATCCTTTTGATTTCATTTAAAATAATCTGTGACGACTGCGCTGTTTGAGACACCACCAGTCAGTCCTCATAAGAACATGCGAGTATGAGGTTTACATTATTATGAGGAGAATGTTTTCTGATACGTAAAACCATCTATTGCAAAAGATCTGTTTAGAAACTTTTGATGATGAATTCGTCGCATGGTAAAAAGCACCACCCTGTGGTCAGACATTTACCTTCCAGCCTTCTCCTTAAACGATGCTGCTCCTCTTCAGACATGTGAGAAAACTTGCAGTTTGCACCAAAATCACAAACTCCTATAGATAGAAAAGAGTGAATATTAACACCAAAAATGTATAATAGACAACAGTTTGGTAACCAGTTCTGTTACCTCTCTGGAGAAACTGCCTACATGGTTTCTTGGTTTGCTCATCAAAGAGAATAGCTGTGGAATCTGCGAAAATAGTTTGTCTAATTTATGGAACATAAACATAAAGATCACGAAGGCCAATCACAAGCTTATAAATATGCGTATGATTGTTAAAATTACTGCAGTGTCACCTCTAAACTGGTCAAACCAGGCCTTCTTTGCTCTGTGATGCTGAACACCGTTCAGATGCTTCTTTCTGTTGTGCATGTTATCCTGAAAGGACCGGTCACAGTAGTCGCAGTAATACCTCTTCCCCATTATTAAAGATGAATGGGCTGCTCTGTTTTCAAACTTAAACAAAGTAAACGGAGTAAAGATTCGGTTTTTACAGAACTCTTCTGAGAGCAAAAGGTGAATAAACAGCACAGCGTCATGTGACTGAGGAAGACATTTATGTACAAAACAAGTTCACAAAAACTATTCCATCCTCCATCATCCTGCCTGTTAGTCCTAATATAATATCAAGGGTTTAATTTGTAAACATTTCCAATATCCTTCTGGATAAGAAAGTAGGAGCTGGTTTAACAGTATGCAGTATCTGGCGGATTCTATATTCGAGCATTTGATTGTTTACAAAACTGTTCAGAAATTAAGCAGATTTGACATTTAGAGTTGCTTGAAATTAAAATAAATTGTTGTTACTCCGTGCTGTTTCCAGTTGGTTCAAATTGTGTAAATGTTATTTTTGACTTCCTGGTGTACCAGTAAACCTAAAGTTAAAGGCTACAACAGCTGTAAGAAACGTTATAACAATATTCTAATGTTTAGACTATGCAAACACGGTTGTGCTCGTAATTACCCAAAATAAACAGTTGTATTAGAAAAGTTAGAAAACATACGTTTTGTCACAAGTTTACATGAATGTCGTCGTCTACGACAGAGACAAACTACGCTATCTTTCTATGATTCTTGCTTTGAAGCTCGTTTAAAGTGGAAAAATACAACAATCAATCGCCATATTTGAAGTATCTTCTTCTTTTATTTGTTAGCGGTTGACTAACTACTTAATAGTGCATTACCACCACCAACTGGTAAGAAATGGGAATTATTACTTGTCTGTGACTCTAACGTCTATGTGAAGACAAAAAAGTATCCTGAATACAATAGTACAGGAAAGAAACTGCAACACAAGTGGATAATATTTATTTTGTCTCCAATAATTCTTATTCGTTATTCTTATAATGTGTTTACAGCCTTTTTCCGGTTTCTGATTTTCGTTTCCGCTCATGCGCAGTAACGTTCCATCAACGACATGGCGCTGTCGAAGTCTGTCTACAACCTTTTCTTCAGGAGGACGTCCACCTTCGCTGTAACCATCATGGTGGGAGCAGTCTTCTTTGAGCGGGTGTTTGACCAAGGCGGAGACGCGATTTTTGAGCAGTTAAATCGCGGGGTAAGCGTTTCTCTTCACGTTCAGCCGGCGCTGACCTTGTAGGCAGAGGGCGAGTTGCTAATGTTAGCATAGCTTGACAGAGATGTTGTTTCTGCTCATTTACAAATAACACTTCTGATGTTTACAATTTGCAGAAGCTGTGGAAGCACATCAAACACAACTACGAGAACAAAGAGGAGTAGGGCCCTGGGTACCAAGAGGCTTCGGTGCTAATGTTGTCGTGGTTCCACACTTGTTTCCATCCTTCATTCATCTGAAGCTATCAACATGGACAATATGCACCAAGTCAAACCCAGGCTGGAAGCGGCTGTCAGAAGACCTGTGGTACATGACAGATGACACAGACCAAGATGGAGTAAAGCCTCCATCATCTTGTCCTCCTTCCCTTCTGGTGTTTGTAATGCACTCATTGTCATCACAGATTGTAAATTGTTATATTAAACATGTACTGATATCGTATGAATCTTGCATTTTTTTAAACTAAATTATCTCCTAAAATATTTTTTTCTGTGCAGTAGCCGTACACCTGTCTTATGTTGATTTGAAATTTCTGATTTTCTTCAACATTAAATTAATCTGGTTTCAGTTAGAGTGTAGGAGCTCTGCATAGGTGTCTATTTTAACAGCTAAAAGAATTCCTCCTGGTAAAAGGCCATGTTTGGAAACGTTTGCCCACTCCCCAAGTTCAAGAAATCAGCTGCTAATGGTACAATAATCTAAAGGGAAGCTTTGCGATTATAAACGCTTTGTTTAAAAGCTGAAAAGAAATGTCAAGGTTCTTTTTTTTTTTGGAAGAAAATGTGAGGTTTCCAGGCAGTTAATATGTTTGCAAATATCTACTGTCCAATAAAATCTAAATAAAACAGTAAATAGATGGGATAAAGTAGTAAAATTGCTAAAAGGTATTTAAAAATGTCTGCACATGTTCATAATTAATTAAAATCCAGTTACATTTGGGATATTTGTTGTTTTAACCATGAAAGTAGAAAGACATTTTCTACATTTGTTACCAGTCAGATTTTGCTAGTCTTGTGTTTTGTCAACAATCAAATAGGCTTGATAGGAAATGCCACAGTTGTGACATTTATAGATTCAGAACTGAGAACTTTTTTTCTTTCCTCTGGAGTACATTCATACATCTATTTTGCAAAAGCAGCACCTGCTGTGGTTGAATCCCTTGTTCTTTTTTTAACCTTCAAAATAAGAAGAGAGGGTAATGTATTTACCCGTCCAGTTCATTTTGAAACAACTCAGCATAAAGAGAACTGCATTTCAGTCCAATCCACACAAATTATAGTAAAACATTTATTTTTTTTGAGGAGGAAGAGGTGAATCTTATCACAGTTACAAGAATGAGTTCACACAAAAAGATGGGGTTTGTTTCCAGCAGCAACCTGGTTTGCATAAGTAAACCCATTCTTGAGGAGGGCATTAATGTTACCAGTGATTTACATTAAATGCTGGGAATTCTTACCTCTTAGCACATGTCTGGTGAATTACCTGACAGGTTAGTGACGAGACATTTATCTTTAAGTAAAAAAGACTTGGCTAAACAGTAAGTCAGCACTGGCCTACTGAGGAAATAACTGAGCCCTTATGCTGTTTCCTGTTCATACAGTCATATTGTTCTTTTCTGGTTAGCACCAATACCATTGTTTCTATAGGCACTTAAATTAACTACATTAATAACCTAAACCTTGTTTTAGGAAAGGTGGAGTTGGGGATGTGTCAGTGCTTCAGTCATGTCAAATAAATGATCGATAACAGTTAGTCCCACAAGCACAAATAAAAAGTGAATTGGTTTGTACTTAATATCTTGTAAGGGTGTGAGGCTAATATGCCAAAACCGGTCAAAATTGTCCCTGGAAGTATAGGATGAGCAAGCCAAAATACTTTGGAAATGTATGAAAATGAGGATGGAAGACAGAAGTGTGCGGCCAAAACAACAGGAATCCAATTTTTTGGCTTGATCATTAAACTTGGAACCATTTTAAAATGGTGTAAACACCGTGTTAGCATGCTTCACATGTCAAAGCAATCACATTATTCAGCATGAACACAGATCAAACCTTTATGCTTCAGCTCTAGCTCTTAGAGAACTTAAACACACTTCAAATATTTGGGGTGCTGTTTGTAAAGTTACACAGTCGACATTTAACAGCAACATTTTGGGTTAGTTAGCAATGTTTTATTTGGAACTAAATAGCTACCATACAAACAAAATATTTCATCTGGAGCTAAATTTTAATTTTGTATTTATTTACATGTATACATGTGTATATATATACAAAAATATAAAATATTTTGGTCCAAACTGACATTTTTGATCCAAGGCAAATATTCTGTTTGCAAAATACATTTTTAGTTTGAAAAATAAATGTTTAAGTCTGACCTATATAATTGAGGTAGCAAACTAAATATGTAGGTTGTAAACTAAATATTTCTTTTGGAGTTTAATATTTATTTAGTAAATTATTTATATCCAAACTGAATATTTAGATCCAAGATAAATATTTAGTTGTCAAATAAAAAAAATTTTGTCTGGAAAATAAATATTTAGGTGTGACCAATATCATTGATTTAGCAAACTAAACATGTAGGTTGTAAACTAAATATTTCATTTGGAGCTAAAGATCTGTATTTCAATTGCACATTCTAAAGTTCTACGGTCCCTTCGAGTTGTTAAACTACACAATCATCCACCCATTCACATGTATTTTGCTCCAAACTGAATATCTAGATCCAAGCTAAATATTTTTTGTTTGTAAACTTAATATGTAGCTTCACATTAAAAGTATGTGGTAGTACATGGTAGTACATTTAGTTTGTAGTTTGCAAACAAAATGTTTTCATTTTAAACTGTGACATGTTTACATGTTTGAAGGACATGGTAAAAGTATTACTTAGAAAAAATAACCTCCACTTTTTTCTCTAAATTCGAAATAATTCAAAACATTGTTGTAACATTTTGACAGCGTAACTTTACAAATGGCACTCCATATAAACAAAATAATTTATTCAAATACATCTTCCAAACACATTCAGTCATAAAAATGAAAGTCATGAAATGTTATCTTTTAACCAGCCCCAAAGTCTTGTAATCCAGAGGCTTACTCCCAAGTCTGATAAGTACTGTATTTCAGGCGTAAGCATTTTCTCACAAAGTGTCCTGAATCTGGGATCAATCTCTCTTCTAATGTTGTATCCCAGGATGGATTGCTCTCCGACTGGCTGCCAAGGCAGGAAGCGTGAGTTCTGAATCTTTTGCGCCTCGACTGCATCTCTGCCTTCAATGCAGATGTCTTTCATCTCTATGTTTTTCTTTTTCAATTCTTTGACATCCTTTTTCATCCTCTCAGCACCATAAGCCTCCACTTTAGCCCAGAAGGTCTCATTGAAGTATTGGTAGAGTTTCCAGTCCGCCCAGTTCCACAGCAAAGCTTTGCGTCTCATCTCAGAGTCCAACCGGGACACAAATGAGCTTTTCCGCATGTTAAGCTTAAAATACAGAATGTCCTCCATGCTCCAACAAAGTAAATCCTTGAGAAGGATCAACGACTCCTCAAAATATTCTGCTATGAGGACCAGGTGAAAGCGGTTTGATAAGTACTGGATGCTCTTTGCAACATGGGGATCGTCAGCTTCCAGGTTGTTTTCAAAACCAAAGTCAAAAAACTGCAGATTTTTCAAATAGAATGAGTTAAAAGCCTCTGAACTGTAGAAGGCCAGAGGATTGTTCAGAAACTCAACCAGCTTATTCTCCCCACCGATGCTCCACGTGAGGGGAATCACTCTGTGGTAGTAATGGAAGGCTGATTCAAAGAGGTCAGCCGGGTCACGTAGGATGGTGACATATACAGCGTCTGGAGGCAGAAGTGTGGCCACTTCCTGGTGGTTGAAGCGCATATGGTTGCTCACAATGTTAAAGCACTCCCCTGGCCTGTAGTCCTTCACCTGGGAGCGCAGGAATGGAGCTGGGTAGAAGAAGTCATTGCGCCCGTCAGGAAGGGCGAACCTGAGCTTGTGTTTTTCCCCAAATCTGAAAAGGATGTTGAGGATGGTGCTGCTTGCTGTTTTATGGGTTTTCATGAACATGATGTTTATCTTGGGGGAGCACTCTTCCCTAGATCTGGAAGTTTGATACACCACAGTTTGACTTTTCTGTAAAGATTTAGCAACACTGATAGGACAGGTGTCATCTTCAGAGTTCCTGTGAACAAAGCAAACTTTTAGGTTAGATTTGGTGACTTGTTTAAAGACCAAGTTCACTTTTTTTTAAACGCATCTGCAGTGGTCTCTAGTATAAATGAATGCCTTGTGAGTCTGTCTCAATGGGAAAAAAAGCTCTGGTGCTACTGTTTCAGGAACTAGAAGAGAGCCTGAGCAAAAGAGGGCAGGAGTTGGAGTCTTGTTTCATTATATTCTGACATCTTGCCTCTGATTAGCTAACAGCAACATGACTTTACCACTGACTCTGTTTGCTCTGCAACCTTGATGTTTTATCTCCGCAAATAACACAAGCCTGAAGGAGTTCTGCCATGTTATAGAGTTGCTAATGCTAACAGTTAGCTTCTACAAGTCAAGACATGCTCTGCTTTCTTCTGGACACTAAATCAACAACATTCCCCATCGCCAAGGTGGGTGAGTCCATGAACGCTAATTTTACAACGTGACATAGACCTGTCTGGCTTTTCTGACCTGAGAGTTCCCCTTCTATTTTCTATCGGCAGCAAATGGGGTATTAGGCTAATTTTCACATTCAGCCAGCATGTTAAAGGGGAACTAGACAGTTTTGGCTTGCTTTAAGCGCCCCCTAGTGTCCATTTGTAGAACTTAGCTGTGCATTTGTCTTTTAACACTTTATTCTAACAGCTGAAGAGTCTCCCCCCAGCCTTTCTTAGTGTCTACAGGAGTGATTCATCACTAAATTAAACAAATCAGCTGTGTTCATGATCTAAAACATGCAGGAATTTTTTTCTAAGTCCCAACAGCGAGGCCCGCCAGTCTGAAGTTGCAAGTGGAATATTCTGGCCACAGAGGGTGATAAGGGCTGGGTGGCCTTTTATTAAACCTGTAAAGGGTCATTTTGGCACATACTGGCTCAAGAAAATGATTTAAAAATACGAAAAAGTTTCAAAGTATCCCTTTAAACTCAGAGTGACCGATCAAATTTAAAAAAAAATAACAAGTAAATCACACTTTATCAGTCTGCTTGGTCTTTAAACTTTTAAAAATTCTCAGAAAATATATTTACCCGATATTCACTTGGTTTGTGTTGTGGAAGCTGTAAAGGACCATCATGATGTTAGTCAATAAGATCCAGGGTATGAGACCCCGTGCCACAGCCGAGCCTTTAAATCCTTTCACCCAAGACATTATCAAATAAAAACAAGCAGCCTGAGAATGAGATTAGAGAGAATACACAAAAAAGAGCAATAAGGAGGAATGTCTCCAATGACAGGAGGAGAACAAAAGAGAAGCCATAATGCAGTAGCACACGCTTGTCAAATGCAGCACCCGTCTTCCCCCATGTTGACACATGAAACATGTACACGGAGCTCATGTTTCCACTTCAACAAATGAGATAAAGGAAGATTACACTTCATTTTATGAAACACATCACGCAAAGCGAAAAATAAGTCTGAAAGTGACTAGATAAATCTCTAAATACGCATTTTCTGATGAACAGATGCTCTCTGATGTGAGCAGGTGTGTTTATTTAGCTCCGACTTCTGCTCTTTCACTAAGCAACATGCTGCATTCAATAAAACCTACCTCTAAGTAACATGCACCACTCACTGACTAAAATAAATTCATTGAAACTGCTTTGTTTGCCTAAAAAATATCTACGCATTTTTTACTCAAGCAGCCAGAGTGGAAATGTCATTGTGGAACAAGCGGAGCGTTAGGATTCATGCTTTTGTGGGAAAGTAAAGCAAACAAAGAGACATTCAAACTTACCTGGAGGTTGTAGTATACGTCTCGTGCTGTTTATGCTTTCTTCCTTTTTCAGGAGGCTGCACACATTCCAAGAGGAGGTATCTAACTGGCCATTTCTAAAGAAACCGTTGTCTTTGTTCCTCCTCCTCTCACAGGGGCAGGTTCTCATGAGGGAGGATACATGTCTTTGTGTGTGGAGACAGAATGGATGGTTTGAAAAGAAACTATTAAGTAGGGTGACTATTTACTACAAACTGGGGGGAAATGGGGATAACAATTAAATCTGCTTTATTCAAAAATAACATTTTGGGTTAAACTAAATCACTTTCTGTTCCTTCTTTATCTTCATCATCCTCTCTGTGTAGAAAAAGAATGACCTCCTTGGTGACAATCATCTGTATAACACGGGCCCGGATGTAGGCATAGGCAAGGAGGGGCAATGCCCCCCTAAAGATACTGACTGCCCCCCCCAAATGCGATGACATGTAGAAACCCCAAATTTGAAAAGATTTGATGAAAAAGGGTCAGAGTGCTCTCTCTCTCTCTCTCTCTCTCTCTCTCTCTCTCTCTCTCTCTCTCTCTCTCTCTCTCTCTCTCTCTCTCTCTCTCTCTCTCTCTCTCTCTCTCTCTCTCTCTCTCTCTCTCTCTCTCTCTCTCTCTCTCTCTCTCTCTCTCTCTCTCTCTCTCTCTCTCTCTCTCTCTCTCTCTCTCTCTCTCTCTCTCTCTCTCTCTCTCTCTCTCTCTCTCTCTCTCTCTCTCTCTCTCTCTCTCTCTCTCTCTCTCTCTCTCTCTCTGTCGTGTCACTCGCTTCACAGTTCACATGCTCCCAGACAGTCAGCAGCAGAACACAGGGACGCACCGATGCTATCTGAGCTCTGAACTTGAGACAGTTATCCACACCTTCATCTTCTCACGCTTAGACTACTGTAACTCTCTTTTCACGTGTCTGAGCAGAACCTCCCTGAACCGTCTACAGGTGGTTCAGAATGCCTGTGCTTGGCTTCTGACCAAGTCCTCCAAACACACCCACATCACCCTGCTTCTCCTCCAGCTTCACTGGCTGCCAGTCAACTTCAGGGTTCATTTCAAGATCCTGGTTCTGGTCTATAGGGCCTTACATGGACAAGCACCATCTTACATTGGTGATCTTCTTAGTCCCTACACCCCCAGCAGGTCCCTGAAGTCCAGTGATCAAAGCCTACTGGTTGTGCAGCGCACCAGGCTAAAGACCAAAGGTGACAGATCATTTGCTGCTGTGGCCCCCAGACTCTGGAACTCTCTCCCCCTGAGCCTGAGATCAGTGGACTCAGCGGTCTCCTTGAAAAAGCAGCTGAAGACTCACCTGTTCAAGCTGGCTTTTGTAATAATAATAATACATTTTATTTAAAAGCGCCTTTCAGAACACCCAAGGTCACTTGACAGAAAACACGTAATAAAATACAATAAAACAATAATAAAACCCAAACAAGAAAAAAAGAGAGAAACAGTTCAATAAAATCAGAGGTTGTAGGCAGATTTAAACATATGTGTTTTGAGTTTTGTTTTGAAAAGGGTAAAACTGTCGATGTTCCTGATGTCTGGGGGAAGTGAGTTCCAGAGACGAGGAGCAGAGCGGCTGAAAGCTCTGCTCCCCATGGTAGCGAGACGGGCAGAAGGAACCACAAGATGGATGGAAGAAGAAGATCTGAGTGAACGGGATGGGGTGTGAATACTTATAAGGTCTGAGATATATGAAGGAGAGAGGTTGTGGATTGCTTGGAAGGTATGGAGGAGAATTTTGAAGATGGACCTGAATTTAACTGGGAGCCAATGAAGCTGCTGGAGAACCGGGGTGATGTGGTGAAAGGAAGGGGTTCTGGTCATAATACGGGCTGCTGAATTCTGGACCAGTTGCAGTTTATGAAGGAGTTTGTTGGGGAGACCATAAAGAAGTGAATTGCAATAGTCGAGACGGGAGGTGACGAGGCTGTGGACGAGAATGGTGGCAGTGTGAGGGGCCAGTGAGGGGCGGAGACGGTTTATGGAACGTAGATGGAAGTATGCTGACCGAATTATGTTATTAATGTGAGCTTGAAAAGAAAGTGAGCTGTCGAGAATGACACCCAGACTCTTGACGTGAGGGGAGGGGGAGATTATGGCGCTGTCAATAGTTAAAGAAAAGCTGTCAGATTTTGAGAGGGTGGAATTAGTGCCCACTAGAAGAAGTTCAGTTTTATTGCCGTTGAGTTTGAGGAAATTAGAGGTGAACCATGATTTGATTTCAGAGAGGCAGAGTGTAAGGGAGGATGGTGGGAGAGTTGAGTTGGGCTTACTGGAAATGTAGAGCTGGGTGTCATCCGCAAAGCAGTGAAACTGGATATTGAATTTGCGGAAGATTTTGCAGATAGGGAGGAGATATAATATGAAGAGGAGGGGCCCCAGGACAGAGCCCTGGGGCACACCTGACTTGACTGGGGAGGGTTCTGAGGTAAAGGATTTTAACTGGATGAACTGAGCGCGGCCAGTAAGGTAAGATTGAAACCAGCGGAGGGGGGTGTGAGTGATGCCTAAGGAAGAGAGTCTATTAAGGAGGATGGGATGAGAAATGGTGTCAAAGGCCGCACTCGGATCGAGGAGAATGAGAATAGAGATTAAACCAGAATCAGCAGCAATGAGTAGGTCGTTAGTGATCTTGATGAGAGCTGTTTCTGTGCTGTGGTGGGGACGGAAGCCAGACTGAAACTGTTCATAAAGGTTATTGCGGGTGAGATGCGGGTGAGATGTATGACCTTCTTCACCACTCTCTCTTTATTCTGCTCTCCCCGCCTATTCCACGTTCCTCAGGATCCACTGATTTCCCTCTTTCCTGTTCACTCTCTCTCTTTCTTAACATTTTTTTAATCACAATTGTCTATTTTTGCTCATTTTAAATATATTTTTAAACATTTTTCTAAATGCTTTTTTTACATTTTTTGTTTTTGTGAAGCGCCTCGTGATTTTTTATCTTGAGAGGCATTATAGAAATGATATTTTCTTTTTCTTCAAGTCAATGCCACATAAAAAATTAAAAAGCCTGGTCTGAAATGTCCCAAAGAGAGGCCACAGGGGAAACAATAGGTAATTTAATAAGTCCCACACAAATAAAAACAAATAAATAAATAACAGATACTACGTAAAAACTATTGGAGGAGTAGTTCAGTTCCTAGCAGTAAATGAACTAGTGTGGAAAGCTCCAGCGGTGATGATTTCTCTGCATGACTGTTCTTAAAAATGGCAGACCACACACTGGCCAAAGACTCCAAATGTAATGAAATAAACAAACACATCCCAGAAAATGCAAATTACAAATCTCACAACATACAAAACGAAATTATTGCAACACTGGCAAAAAGGGTATTAAAAAAGATCAAAGACAATCATGACAAAGCAGATTATGCTGGGTTTTGCATTAAAAGTGATGGAACTAGGGACAGATGCAATGTGGAGAATCAGTCAGTCATGGTTAGATTTGTCAGTAATGGCATTCCAGAGGAACACCTGATTGGTCTGCTTGACCTCACTCAGTTAAATGCTGATTTTATTTCCACCCAAATTCTTGAGCATCTCTCTGACTCAGGCTATAGTGCAGCTGAAATGATCAGTCAGTGCTATGATGGAGCTTCTGTCATGAGTGGAGTCAGGGGTGGGGTTCAGGCCTTACTGCAGAAAAAGGTGGGGAAGGATATTCCCTGCATCCACTGCTACAACCACCAGCTGCACTTGGCATTGGTCCATGCAGGCAGAGCCATGTGCAAAAACCTTCTTTGATCTTTCAGGATCTCTACACTCATTTTTTCATCGTCATTATGTTTCACAGAACTATGACATTCCCTCCCTGAAACAGCTGTTGGAGATCAGGTGGACAAGCCACCATGATGTGACCAAGTGCCTTGTGGAGAATCAGGATGCTATTCTGAGAATCCTGTCAGAGGTTACAGAGGACAGAGCTGCTGCTGTTGATATCTGTACTGAGGCATCAGGACTGTTGATGATGTTAAGGAGGCACAATTTCTTTGAAATAGGAAAATTCCTCCAAAAAGTTCTGGGTTCCTTGAAATCTGCAAATTCTATGCTGCAGTCTCACTCTGTTGACCTGTGCTGTGCTTCAGAGGTAGTCAATGCATCTCTACAGGCTTTGAAGCAGATGAGAGAGGAGGAAAGCGAGACATTAACCAGCACACCTGCACCAAAGAAAAACAAGCTCACTGCTAACAGGTAGTATTGTAATGTCCACTGTGGGCCACGCAGAAGACTCCACAACTCCTAGCCAGGCTTCGAAGAGCGATCTTCAACATTTTGGACATAGTCATTGTAGAGATGGAGACAAGATTCTTCAAAAGCAATCTTGACCTCATGAAAGCAGTTAACTGCCTTCAACCTCAGTCTCCCTCTTTTCTGGATCCTGACATGTTAAGTCCTCTGCAGAAAATGACAGAAAGTGACAGTGACAAACTTTCCAATGAGATTCTTGTTGCAAAAATAATGTTGGAGAAAGAGTTCAAAAAGACTGATGATGATAACAGTGTAGAGTTTGTAGACCTCTCCACCATTTGCACATATCTACATGGGTGTAAGAATGCCTTTCCTCAGCTCCATCGCATGTATGTGACCTCCCTTGTGATTGGAATATCAGCAGCATCATGCAAGAGCTCTTTCTCCACTTTGTCTCGTGTTCTTACCCCGTTCCGCCGTACTACGCTACACGAGAGAAAATCAAATGTAGTCATTCTGGCTCACGAGAAGGCCATAACATCAGGCATAGATATGGATGGATTTGTTAGGACTTTTGCACAGAAAATCAGACGGCTGATAGAAGTCACAAAGAAATAAAAACAACAATTCTAAAAAAGAAATTAAAAAAATTGAATAAAAATATAAGTAAAATAAAAAATGGAAGGATAGACAGATAATGTATCAAATTGATTAAAGACATAAAAAGATAAAAAACATTAAAAAATTAAAAGATAGATAGATAGATAGATAGATAGATAGATAGATAGATAGATAGATAGATAGATAGATAGATAGATAGATAGATAGATAGATAGATAGATAGATAGATAGATAGATAGATAGATAGATAGATAGAGGGTATGTGAGACCCAAAAAATATTTCCCAGACCTGCACCCCCTGATAATCTACCTGCCCTCCTTTGTAGGGCTGGCTAAATCCGGCCCTGGTATAACACCGTCATACCATCGCTCATTACTCATCACTTCCAACAACAGCACAATTCATGTTCCAGTAACATAATCCCTCTGGTTATTCCCAAAGCTCGCACCTCCTTTGGTCACTGCTCATTCGAGTTTGCTGCTTCCAACGACTGGAATGAGCTGCAAACATCAGTAAAGCTTACCACTTACATCCCATTATCTACCTTCAATAATTCATTGCAATCAGTAGTTTCTGATGCTTCTGAGTACTTAAAGATGGTTTTCTTAAGTCTGTTTTGATATATATATATATATATATATATATATATATATATATATATATATATATGAACCGTCCTTAGTCTTCATGTCTAATTGTTTTATCTTATTTATATATATATATATATGTATATATATATATATATATATATATACATATATATATATGTATATATATATACATATATATATATGTATATATATATACATATATATATGTATATATATATACATATATATATATATATGTATATATATGTATATATATATATATATATATATGTATATATATATATATATATATATATATATATATATGAACCGCCCTTAGTCTTCATGTCTAATTGTTTTATCTTATTTTTAGCTTGTTTTTATCTTACCTGTTTTTCTTTTATATAAAGCAAACTACAGTGTCTGTTGCTGCTGCCTCTTGGCCAGATTGTCGCTGTAAATGAGAACGAGTTCTCAATCGACTCATCTGGTTAAATAAAAGTTAAATACGTTTTTTTAAATCCTTAACGTTGTAAAGGTCTTCTCGAGGATCCTCATCCTGTCTGAGCTTTTTTGCTCCATGATCAGCAGACTCCTCACATTTCCTTTTCCAGTCTTCCCTCAGGATGCAGACGTGCTGTCCCCCACAGCAGGACTCAGATTTTATTATATTTTCATTATGAATTTTTCCTTTTTTAGCACCTAACCTGTGTTTATTTATTTATTAGATGTTCGAGAATGCACCAGTGCAGTTTCCTGTTGACTTTATTCATCAAATGTTTAAAGTGTTTTGACTTGAATTGAATAAGAATGTATAAAACTGTTTTTTTTATGTTTAAAACAATAAATGTTTTGAAGGTTTCATGAGTAGCTGAACTAATCAGATGTGCTATTTGAAAACAGCATGGGTGTGTATTGGTGAAATTCTGGCGATACAATACGTATCACGATACAGGGGAGACAATACGATACACCACAATATATTGTGATACATTCAGCCAGACAATATTAGACATTTTTAGACTGAATTTATTATAGGAAAATTCAGTAAACAGTCCAAACTGATACGTAACATGTTTAACATGAGGTATCTGAACCATAATAGAGGGATTTACATTTCAATGGTGGAAGATACATCCATTGCACACTTCTGCCAACTAGTGGTTGGCATTTGAATTGCACTAAAAGAAAACAAAACTTTGAATGTAAATTCTTCCATAAGTTCGATATACAATAAAATATCACATGAAAAAATATAACGATATATAACCTTATAAATATATCATTAAATTTTCTTACATCCCTAGAAGTGTCTGAAATATTAATGTTTAGGTTGCAAATGTTGAAATCTAACTTAATTTGAGAAGATTTTTACATTTCAATGAATTTATATATAAAATGTTTTTTTAAATAATTAAAACTAAAATTTTTACTAGACTGTCAAGTCCAACATGAGTACATAAGAGGTCAAAAGGTATTTTTGATTAAATAATTTAAAATATGATAAATAGAACAGAAAAATATATTCAAAATATTAAAAACAATTATAAAATGAATAAAAACATGGGATTTTTTAAATGCTTTAAATGTTTTAGATCAATGCCCTTTCTTCCTTACCTCCCATTGTTTATTTTTTATTTGCACTGAAACTCTAATGTGGTTAAAACAAACAGTGCATGCACGGGGAACCTGGGTTTTCTGGCTTTGAAGCAACTCAGGTGCTGCTGCCTCTGGCTGCAGATGGAACCAAGTCTGACAGACGAAGCCAGAGCCTGTGTAGCAACAGACTTTGATGTCACGGTCGTGAAAGAACATCCGAGAACAATCTGAAAACCCACTTCACAAAGATAAGAGCATGGCTGAATTCATCAAACAAGAAATTTGTTTACCTTTCAGGACAGGAACAGACAAAAGATGAGATTCCTTTGAAGTTTTGGTTCCTTTATTGCGTTAATTTTATTTTGAATAAAACATAAAAAAATCCAATTTATTGACACACTAAACACACACTGAACACTTTAGAATGGATACTTGAATTTACAAACATTAAAAATAAAACCTCTCTTAACTTGTTTCAGGCTTATTAAAAGGCACTTTGCTAACATTTATAGTTTCAAACGTTCCTAAATCTTTCCTCCGACAGCAAATTAACTGACTTTTCCCACTGGTGTTGCAGCTGATAAAACGACGCCACACTAGTGTGAACAGGCTTTCCCAGAACCCTGCAGCGCTCGACACATGATCCCAGGACATTGAGTGACCGGGGTGGATTATATTTCCCCTTTTGTTTCTTTGAAATACTCCCATTGTTTAACAGCTGGAAGATATTCTTTACTTCAGAGAAAACTGAAGGTAAAACCATCAGATGCCACCAACAAAGCATAAATGAATCCTGAAAGACAAACTTTTATCTCAGAAACATAAAACTGCACACCATAACTCTAAATTTGGAGTTTAAACCAACAGCAAACATTTACACATCCTGGTATTTCTCTTGGTATTAAAGCATACACAGAAAAGAACAAAGTAGCTCATTAAATCAAGCACACCACTAGCATAAAATATGTGAATTAAACAAATTATGATGGCCGGTGGATACAAAAACCAGGTTTTGACATGTTTGGTTGTTTCTAGATAGTCTTGATAGCAAATATGAGGCACTTGTAAGTGACAGCTACTTGAAACAGGATTTACAGTGAACAAAAATACCATGAAATGCTCTAAAAAACCACCCAACAGTTTGTATGTACAAATAAATCCCCTTCTGTCATCCAAACACACATTAACAGCCCCACTCTGTCCATCATCAGAAGATATCTGCTTTTATAAAAGCTGGTTGTGCAATTTAAGATCGAAACATGTGTCAAGTTGCATTTTGCAAAAGTGATTAAATAAAGAAAAACTGATTATGACGCAACACAAACCACACATTATCCTGGCAATGCACCTCTTTAACATTTACATTCTAAAAGCAACACGTCTGCTTTAATCTCGCACCTGAAATACTTAAAAGTAAACAATGATTTAATTTATTTTAGCAGCTCTTAAGCAAGACCTTGTCCTCCCACAATAATGACAAGACAGGAAAGAGTAGCAACCTGAAGACTGTGGAATGATTCCAGACGTGCTTTAGCAGCACGATGCGCTGCAGTCCCTCAGTAAACAGGCCTGTAGAACACCTGACCACCCACAAGCCTGCGCCTCAGCTCCTTCCACAGCAGGCTGCGCTCTCTCTGGGACCCTTTCATGAAGCCGCGGTTCTCTTGAGCGCGGCGAGACAAATAGGGGATGACTTCGTTGACAGGACCGTATGGAACATACTTGTAAACTGGAAAACCTGCCTGACCTTTTTTGGACACAGAGCAAAGAAACAAAGAGGCTTTGAAAGATATTTCACTGTCACCACCATGCAAAATAGTGTTATTATTCTGTCACTGTAGTGTGTGTGTGTGCGTGCGTGCGTGTGTCATGTTTCTTTGTTTCTGAAAGTTTGTTCGACGTTGTTGAAATTTCAAAGCTTTATTGTAATATGCATGGCTACCAAACATGTATTTTTTCTGTTCAGTGAGATTCTGACTTTGCTCCCCACACTGGATACAAAAAGTATAAATTTAGATATAAAACAGATAGTACGATAGCAGAAGAATGCGCAAACCTTTCTCAGTGGCCTAGTGGTAGAGTGTCCACCCTGAGACTGGGAGATCAGGGGTTCGATTCCTGGTCGGGTCATACCAAAGACTTTGAAAAAAATGGGACCCAATGCCTCCCTGCTTGACACTCAGCATTAAGGGGTTGGATTGGGGGGTTAAACCACCAAATAGTTCCCGAGCGCGGCTGTGTCTGCAGCTCACCGCTCCCCCAGGGGATGGGTCAAATGCGGAGAACAAATTTCGCACACACACCTGTGTGTGTGACAACTAATGGGACTTTAACTTTAAATACAACAGAATAAAAACAAACTGTAAAGAAGTGCAAACAATGCAGGGTTTAGTCTATGCACACAGTTTAGGATGGATTACACAGACACTGATTTTTCCACTTATGTACAGTCCTCGTACCTGGCAAGAAAATGTGATAAAATCTGGAGCCATTTTGAAATTTTTGTGGCAAAATGATAGAAGCTTATTTATGAAATGTATCTCTTTACATGATGTGTATTTTTACCATTAATCTCTGGAAATATCCATAGAAATGTTGTTGAAAATATTGGCAGCTTCGTAACTCATAACCACAAAAATTTGTTCTAAAGTACATAGGGCACGGGTCTAAGTCTCTGGGGGTGTGTGTGTGTGTGTGTGTGTGTGTGTGTGTGTGTGTGTGTGTGTGTGTGTATGTGTGTGTGTGTGTGTGTGTGTGTGTGTGTGTGTGTGTGCGTGCGTGCGTGCGTGCGTGCGTGCGTGACAGCGTATGTGTGACTTCTATTTTAGCCGTGTTATTTTTTTTTCCTCGTATTTTACTACCTCTTACATGAGCTGTCTTTAGTGATCGCAAAGTCTGTTTTGTTGTACGCGTGACCTGTGCAATGACAATAAATTATCTTGAATCTGGAATATTAGATGTCGTGCTTCCTTCTGGTCGGCTTGGGGTCCTGTGCCTGTAGATGACGTCACACTAGATGATCGGCTGGACGTACGAAATACGGAAGTTCCACGTTCAAAAACATTTTGGCGGTAAGAAACATGAATTTGATAATAAAACTGCTAAATTATTTCCAAAACATATGTGAAAGAACAGAACCCAAAAAAAGATTAAATATATTTTGACCGAGCGGTATTGCCGTAGTATGATGACATCATCGTCAGGCGCAAGACCCTAGGCAGATACAGAAACGACAGAAAACTAGCATCAGCACTGCTTTCTCTAGATGGAATAGGAGTCACGCCGAGGTTGCATGCTTTCTGCTCCACAGGTAACAACATTTACTGTAATGTTTTTTTAAACTAACAAAAGTCATGGCGATATGGTGTAAAACTACCCAGAAATGTATGTACTGCCCCCTAGTGCCAGGACACTACACACTGTTACTTTAATTTCCAAACTTTTTACAGTTGTTACACATGTACCGCTCGGTACTTTCACGCAATAAAAACACTTTTAAAAATACTTCATCATGTATGTGACATAAAAACACATTTTTAAAAATACTCCAATAATATAACTAGTATATATAAAAACTGCGACATGTTTTCAGGTTTTAGCAAAGACAGTATCAGGATACAACTGATGTGTCAGTTTGTGTTTGCAGATCAAGGACATTGCCCGCTTTAGTGAGTGAAGATGAGACAAAACGTTCAAACCGTCGGTGTGTTTCCTGTCCTGAGGCAACGTGACGTAATGTTTGGTGACCCTTACTAAACAGACAGGAAAGATGTTTGTTCTCAACACATCGCCGGATCGGACTAATCGATCTTAAGGTCAGAAACCGTCTGAGTGGAAAAAGGTGACATGTGCAGGGACGGTGTTACAGCTGTGCTTCCATGGCCAGCTGAGTGTGTGATGTAAAAGCGCGTGATTTCATAACTCTGTGTTTGGTTTTAGCGAGTGCAGCTTACCTAGCGGGAAGCTGATCTGGTCACACATGCCGAGGAGCTGTCCAAAGTAAACTTTATTCTCCACGGGAGACAGGCTCATTTCATTCATTCTGAAAAAGAGGTGGAAAAACAAATCAAAAAGCTATCAGCTGATCATGTGATTGTTACAGTATTTTACCACTTGTTCTTAAACCTTCATTTTAAAGCTTTCTTTTAAGTCTCGCCCCGGTATCACAGGCAGCCTTTTAAACCTTTACAAGAGAAAACTATAAAAAATACGTACTTTTCAAGAGTGAACTTCACCGTGTCCTCATTGTGAGTTGCAACCATTACATTTGCTTTCCTGTTGTGTTCAATCTCCTCCAGAACATACTCCAAACACCTGAGCAAACAACAGAGCAGATGGCTTTGATTCAGACTCGATCCAGTTAAAGTATGAGAATGTTCTGGAAAATAACTGGGAGCATACTTGTGATACATCCTGTTTGTGGCCTCGTAGTCTGGGTTTATCGGGTCTTCGTAGCCGATCTCCTGGGCCCGGGCTCTCTCCTGGTACATGTAAGCCCCCCGGACCAGTTTGGCACCAAAATACCAGCCTTCTCGTCGAGACAGCTCAACATCCAGAGTTACATTATCGTAGGCTTCCTAAATATCATTTAGGATTTTAAACAAGAATTTATTCACTTAATCATCTCGTTGTCTTTAAAGCTTCTATATGTGATGGGCAGTTATGTGGCCATTTAATATTTTACTGGTTATCCTATTATTTTGGACACAAACCAAAATAACAGGTCCAGATCAGTAAAGAGGAGTTTTATCTCACCTTGAGGTAACACTGATAAGTGTTGAAGATCACGGGCTTTTCTCTGTTAAATTTCCTCTGCATCTCCAGGGTCAGTCGACTGATGGCTGGTTGGAAGTACGTCTGCTCTGCATCCACCATTAGCCTCACCCCGTTCTCCACAGCATGCTGATTGAAACAAATTTCACTTTTATATTATTGTTTTACGTAGACCAAAGGAGGGGAAAAATAAAGTACAGCTGGAACTTCACACATCCACACACTTCCCAAGGTTTTTATCCACAAACACTAGACTTTTTGAGACTTAAAATCTTTGCAGGATTCACAAATGGCAACATTTCTCATCCAAATGAGTTGGACTTGATTTAAAATAACATAAGAAGTGTAAGTGTGCCCATTAAAGACCATATTTTAAAATTCCTTAACTAGGAGCTTAAACAAAAGTTGTTTTCTGTGTATATGTCTGCAAATTTGTGATGCATTTGCATGAAACCATTTTTGTGTTCTAACCTTTGCCAGAATGTCGACTCTCTGTAACATCCTCTTCATTTGGCTCTCCTCCTCAGCAGTAAACGTGCTCAGTAAAGGCTCCAGCTGACCGGTCTGCACGGTTAAAACACAGAATGCTACCGTGTCTCATGAAAACTAGAAATGGGATTCATTTTTCCCATTCCTTAATTTAGTTACATGTTCCCACACAGAGAAGAAAGTCAACCCTTACGCTTATTTTTAACTCTAACTTACACATTATTTCCCTGTTTTATTGTTTATATTACAAACTTTCTCATGCATTTAGAGCATTCATCACAATTTATGTAGATGAAGACAGCTCAACTATAACCTCACGTCAGCAAAATTACTCACTTTTATAGGATTATTTCAAAGCATTCTTCAGCTATACATCAAAACAGCCAACTTAGAGAGACTCACCTCAACATTGGGCACCATAAGCAGATTGGAGATTTTTGTTGTGTCAGTGATCAAACTGTTCCAGTCCAAAAGATCAATCGTTCTGGAAATATAGTAAATAAAGTAAGACAGGGAATGCAAATCAGTTCAAAAGCTGAAATTCTATTTTCTTTAAGTAAAACAGATGTGAGCTGAGTCAGTGTACTTGTGCTGAAACTAGTGACTAACCCACCCCGAAGAACCCAGCTTCTCTCCAGTAAACCAGTTCTCAATGTCATCTTTGGCTCCTACTCCCAGCTGAGCCAAGTTTTCCTGCATGAATAAAACACGTCAGAGGTCAGAAATACTTCCTACAGAAAACGGGACACCAAATTCATGAGGACAGGAGCACAAAAACATTTGTAAACTAGAACTGCAGACAGTTATCAACGGGTTCCAAGTCAACCAGCGCAAGTTCATCACCCGGCCCCGCCCCCGCCTTTGCCATTCCTCACATGGACCCTCCCCAACAACACGTTCTCCTGCCAGCATCCCTTCAGCTCACTTCAACCGGCAGAATGAAATGAACACTCAGGAAATCTCCTTGAACCTTTTGCACGGCCTATTCGAAAATCTTTCATAGGCATGGCTAACATCTCCATCCATATTACAATCCAGTTCCATCATGACATTTTTAAAGATTGTGGAGATTTCGTCAGTTAAGTCATGCGTTGTATGGGACAGCAGTAATTCAGGAGGTGGAGCGGGTTTTCCAGTAATCGGTTGGTTGCATGCTAAATCCCGACTCTGACCAGAGAATGCTGCCTTGCCTCTCAGTGTGTGGTAAAAGACTGGCCCGCCACAGCCTTCGCCATTCCTTACATCGCATCGCCACAAAAACGCATTCTCCTGCCGAAATCCTGTCAGCTCACTTCAATTACTTCAATTGGCAGAATGAAATGAGCAATCAGGGAAACTCTTTGAAACTTTTGCACAGCCTATAGGAAAATCCTTCATTAGCATGGTAAACATCTCAATCCCTGTTAAAATCAAGTTCCTTCGTTTCATTTCAATAGATCGTGGAGATTTATTCAGTTAAGTTATGGTCTTTATGGGACAGTAGTAGCTCAGGAGGTGGAGCGGGATTTTCAGTAATCAGAAGGTTGCAGGTTCAATCCTGATTCTGACCAGAAAATGCTGCTGTTGTGTCCTTGGGCAAGACACCTAACCCACCTTGCCTGCTGATGGTGGTCAGAGGGACCGGTGGCGCCAGTTTTTGGCAGGCCTCGCCTCTGTCAGTGTGCCCCAGGGCAGCTGTGGCTACATTGTAGCTCATCCCCACCAGTATGTGAATGTGTGGGTGAATGAGTGACAGACTGATTGTTTTGTAAAGTGCCTTGGGGGGGGGGGGGTAGAACCCTACAAAGGCGCTACACAAACACAGGCTATTTACCATTTACAGTTTCAATATTACTGACAATGTTTTTAAAATTAATTAAAAATGTATTCTTTTTCTTTTTAATTTTATTTATTTATTTAATTTTTTACCGTGTCCTGTCTGGCTGTGAAGCAAACTGAATTTATATCTGAATGCTGGTGACAAGCCTTACAGATTTACTCTATACTGACTGAAAAAAAACACTTTATTATAAAATCCATATTTGATCGAAGCATTACCAAACAATTATCTAAGCATCAATAGTATATTGAAAATATTATTAGTACTTCATAATGTCTCTAGATTTTATAAAGTTTCAACAAAAACTACGAGTTTCATTTTGTGACTTACTGATCAAATGGTTTTAAAACATCATAAAAAATACATAAATCATCATAAAATCACCAAAGTATTCTCACATGGCAATGTTAACATGGGGAATACAATGCTGTTGTTTTTAATTCAGTAGATTCAAAGCTTTTCTCAAGAAAAATAGGTAAATATAATTTTAAAGGTCACGCCCAAAATTTAAATATTCATAAAAATAATGCTATAATAAAATTAGTAGAAAAATCTCAGATCACCATAGGTACATGTGGAATGTTATATATGATTTATATTTGCTCTATACCTAAAAAACTTTCTAACAAAAATGATTAACTTTTTAATTCAACAATACTGAAAAACTGACAAAGTAAAAAAATTCATTAAAAATCTATGCTTTCGTAAAAAAATCTAAATATTCCAAGATTACCTTTATGATGTGGGACATCTGCCTGTATTTTTATAAGGATCATAAATCTTGGATATATCTTAAAATAAAATCATATTTGCATTAGTGGCTGTCAATAAAAATAAGTCCTAATATGCAACTAAATAAATAAATCTAATATTAATATTAAAGGGAGTGCTCAAATCAGGACTATATTTTATGCGTTTCATAAACCACCTAAGAGTAAACTCTGTGCCAAATTTCAAGAAGTTTGGCTTATTGGAATTTGCGCTACAACTGCTAGCCTAAAAATGCACTTTCGTAAATAGAAAGATTAAACCTCTTCACGGAGCTGTGATTTTTTGTTACTTGAACTCAACTCGAGGCAGTTAACACAACCTAAAAGCCTTTGCATCTTACGTGCAAATAATGGTTTTTAGGAATTTTTTCAAATCCGAAATTTGAAATTATTGTAAACCACGCCAACTTTGATTGACTATTACCATATTGATAATGTTGTCTTAAGACTGTATAATGACGACATCCACAAAGTTTCATGCAGATCCATTTAGCCAGTTCAACAGTATAAATTCTTCCTGTTTATAGCGCCCCCATTGTTGGATCAAGCTGAAAATCAACATACACACTTGAAATGATCTTAGTTACTGTTTTTATGAAGACCTTTGAAAAATGTCAAAATCTTTTAACGTTATACCCCAAAAAACTTTTTCAGTTAAAAAATATTTTAAATGGGTATATTTTCTCAAATAAATAAAATATCAAAAATCCGTCCAAAACATTTGGTCAGCCAATCGTCCCCCCTTGTCAGGCTAAGCTTTGACTTGATTGGGTTTGACGGCCGGGATGAGTTAACAAAAGTATGTTTGACATATTATACAATTTTCTACTAATTTGCATAAGTGTAAAACTTCTTTTTAAATATTCTTCCAAATTAGATTGACTCAAAGAACACCCAGGATAACAACATTTGTTTCTATACTGAAGACATTTGGAGAAAACTGCCAAAAGCATTTTTGGGGTACAACAGCGCCACCTAATGGACAAATTACAAAAACGTTTCTGTGTTTGTAGATGATACTATTACAAATATGAACTGTAAATTTCTGTATAGAATATATGTTTTTCATGAGTCAAAGGACACATTTTTTTAAAGCCTATAAACCACGCCCACTTTGTAATCATTTTCAATATATGGCTTAAGGGTCCGATGATAAACAACATGTGGGGTCTGAGCTGAGGGAGGAGTTCATCGTGAGAAACAGTTGCTCATACAGACATTTTCTGGCTCTTGCGCCCATAAGGATTTAGCGGAGAATAATAATAATGAAAAATCCGTACAAAAATAATAGGGCTCCCTGCCCTTTGGGCTTGGAACCCTAATGATCTGAAGACACCAGTTTTGCATGAGGATGCATGAAGAAAAAATGGCTGACGGGTCTGAAATACCTTCAGCTGTTCCAGTTCCAGTATTTTTTCCAAAGCGGACATGTCAGATTTCCCTTGCTGTGCCGCGAGGAAGTGAAAGAACTGCCTCCATTTGACCAGAACCTCTGAAAACTGAAGCTATAGAGACACGGAACAAATTAAAAATAACATGGAAATAAGAATCCATTAATAATCAAAGTAAATGCAGTTGATTTGATGTTCATTATTACTTAATAGAAATAAGGTGTTTTGGCCAAAATTTTAAAAAGCTAGTTACTTAAAATCCTGTTACGTTAACTTTTGATTAAAGATAGAAGAGATGTCATTACAAGAAACTGTGGTCGTCCAAGTGCAGTCATTTTTATTGCAGAAAACCCATCACTGGAAGCTCCACCTGCAATTTCCAACAAAACGAGGAGTCAGTACCTTACCTGTAACGGACGTAAAACAGCATCTCTCTAGAAAGTCTATGTTCATTACTCAAACGTTGTTGAACATTACCATCGGTGCCATTGTAGCTATAAAACATGAACCCCACTAATTAATTTTAGGTTTATTTTTAATGACATACCTGAGGCTTTAATGCAGTTAATGAACGTCTCCATCTGGTTGTCACATTTTGCTTCATCTGCATAAAAATAGGTCCGAGCACTGATGACCCCCCCACGTCTGTCCCCAAACTGTCGATGAGCCTTGTACTTCTTTTCACGGTGATCAGTGCCTAAACAGAGGGGTCAGACTTGAGCTTTTTGTTGTGGAATGAAGTGAAAACATTAACCTTTATTCACAATTTTTTTTCAACACATTTGAAGTGGTCTCTAGTAAAAAATAATGTCTTGTGAGTTGATTTCTGTCAGAAAAAAGGTCTTGTGCTTCTCTTTCAGGAAGTAAATATTAGCCAGAACAGAGGAGAACAGAAGACGCCAGGATTTGGACTCTTATATCCTGATATTCTGATGTGTTCTAATCTTTGATTAGCTAACAGCAACTTGATCCTACCGCTGACTCGGTTTTCTTCGCAACACTGATGTTTTATCTCCACAAATAACACAAGACTGAAGGAGTTCTGCAGTGTGGTGGAGTTGCTAATGCTAATGGTTAGCTTCTACTAGTCGAGATATTCTCTGCTGTTTGCTGGACGCTAAACCAACAACAGCCTTTCCTATTGCAAGCCAAGATGGATGAGTCCATGAATGCTAATTTTCAGTGTGACATAGTTTCGACTGGCTTTTCTAATCTGAGCGTTTACCCGTTTTCTATCTGAGGCTGATGCAGATTGGTGTGAATTTTTTCCAAGTTCAGCCTGCATGTGAACCTTAAAGTGATCATCATACTTCTAAGAAACAACATCAACACCATTTCTCAGTTAACGCTGTCTTTGCAGGCTATTAACAGTGATTACTCAATATTCAGGAGCCTCTCTTGGTGGATGCTACCTGCCTGTCTGAATATTTTATTTTTGTGCAACTTGACTGGATCTTGGCCAGAATTTTAAACATCCCAGTTCTACTGTTATCACTGAAGCCAGATCCCCAGAGAATGTATTTAAATATAGCTTTCTTCAGAGCAACCTTGGAAGTGTGTGTCTTAAACATCCACCCCTTCAAACGCCAAGCTTCATCCCACTGTTAACAGCTCAGCTGCACATTTCAAACTCCACAGGAGATCCGGCTATGATCAGCACAGTCCAGCCAAGACGATACGGACATGTGAGCTTTTAACGTAACAGTCTTGAAATGTCAAAGTGTAGACTTTCAGGCTATCCAAAGCAAACAAGTAGTTCCTCCTGACACCAACACAACAGCTGCTTTTTACTAAAATTAACAGCAGAACTATTAAGCTAAGGAATCTACGTAGATTTGAACTGACAAACACACCTGGGCTTTCTTTCTCTGCTTCAGAAACACAGGAGCTGAAAAATAAGAAGAGTTTTTTTATTAGACTCAAACAGGAAAAATACCATCGTTTCTTTTGAAATTTGGTGATTTCATGCACACTTCAAAGGTGTGGTTCACTCCTTTAATCAATACATTTGCAGTGGTAGGAATGAAAGCCTTCTAAGTCATACTATGGGTACAAAAAGCCCTGGTGCATCTTTTGCAGGATCTAGAAGATTGCCAGATCAGACAAGATTTGGAATTTTACTTCCTGATATGCAAACACCTCTCCTCTGATTGGCTAATAGCACTGCAACTCTTCCATGACTTCTGTTTACTCTGCTGTTGATGTTTTATCTCCACAAATAACACAAGTCTGGAGGAGTTCTGCTGTGTGGAGGAGTTAATAACGCTAATGTTAGCTTCTACTAGCCAAGATATTTTCTGCTGTTTTCTGGACGTTAAACCAACAACAGCCTTCCACGTCACGAGTCAATATGGGTGGCACCATGATTGTTAAGTGACAGTGTGATGTAGATCTGTCAGGCTTTTCTAATCCTGGAGTTTCACCATCTATTTTTTATTAGAAGTTAATGCAGGAGATAGGTGTAGGAGACTATTTTCATGTTCAGCCTGCACGAAAAACTCAAGAGTGACCGAATATAATCAGAAATAATCATTAAAAATGGGTTTTCAGTGAATCACACCTTTCTAAAATATTATTTTTCTTTACTAATTTTATTGATCCGACTGTTTGTACAATAGTTTATGTGAATAATAATTATTAAAATTATAATGATTATAATCAAGAATAATCATTTAAAAATGGCTGTTCAGTGTACCACACCTTTAAATTCTACATTTTAAACAACAATACAGTTTCTAATAGAAATAACAGCAACGGTTGCATGCTGAGTAGAAGGCATGTGATTATATTTGAGCCAGTCCTGATGAAACATGTGGTTGCATGCGTTTTGTTTTTTTTATTCAAACCGCAACACGAGACAAGCGTCCGGGAAATGAGAACACGCTGTTCTCTGGGTTGTTTCAGTAACAGGAACGATCTGTTCTTTTTAGGAACTTAAAAGTACCAATAAACATAATAAGTCAAATCTGAAGCTGGTCATAATTTATGTGTGCATGTAATTAGTAAAATAACCTCTTGGAGGAATCTACCAGGGAACACTGTGTAACACACCCTGACGCACGTGCGTGTGTGTGTGCCTCAGCACAGACGATTTCTCGTGTCATCGGCCAATGGAAGGAGAGGGGCATGTTCCAGCTGACCAATGGGGGCTCAGAACTCTTTGTATACTTGAAAATAAATATAAGACTTTCAGATTTTATCACGATCTGTTTAAAAGGAGGAAACATGACTCAGGCGGCCTCATATGAGCTGTATTAAAGAGAGAAAATAAGAGCAGAATAATGTCAAAGTTCAGCACTGTGGAATCTTTGTTTTTTTATAAATTATGAAGGTAAACACAAGACATAAACATAATAACATAACATAATACACATAACATAATAATGCCTAAATGTGACCATGTTAAGTTTGTGTGATCAAGCTAGTTTTGATCAGATTTTGTTTGTAAATTTCTGGTCTAAATGTAATCTGATGTGAAATATTCTTATTTTCATTCATTTATGACTGAACTGACCTGTTACAGTAGGAAAATAAGCTACATCTGCTCTCTAATCACTAAGGTTGTGATCTTAAAATCAGTAACAAATACTGGACAAACATCAGCTTATAGTTCTTCAGGTGACTCCTGTAAAAGTGTATATTGCTGAAAAATGTTGTTGTCAGCACTGTTTCGTGTTATTTCTCCTCAGCCGATCCACGGGGATAGGCAGTGCAAGAGCTTTAGAGTCCTCTGATGTCACAGGTTCATTAAATGTGATTGGTTTAAAAAAAAGGCAGAGAGAGACCTGGGCTTGGTTAAAAAAAAAAAAAAACAAGATGCAGTTGGGACCCAGCCACACCCATCCCTCCACTTGAGAGAGTGGGATGGGCTATACAAATACACTTGCCTAAACTGGTTTGTGTGTTATGTAACTGCCTGGCTTCTCAGCTGATGTTTGCAGAAAAGTGTTTTGTTATTTTAAAACTCCAAACTTTGACATTTCAAACCTCAATCATGTGGTGAATACTTACTCCATCTCCTTCTTCTCTGCCTCCTCCTGAGTCAGGTCTTCCTCCACACTGTAGTCCAGGACTGCCCCCACGCCAAACGACTGGTTCTTCTGAATCAATGGTTTGATGGAGTTGTGGTCTTCACCTGCCACAAACTGACCGTAGAAGGTCATCTTCATCAGCTTCTCGAACACGCGCTGACCCAGCAGCTTCTTGGTCAGCTCCATCAGCTGAAAAACACAACACCAGGAATAACATCTCCCCTCTCTGTACTTTAAATGTTCACCCATGGAAGGTTGGATACATTTAACTGAACTCACTTCTTTGTTTTTGTCCACGAGGAAATCAACGGAACACAGGTGGAAAACGAGCAGACTTCTCAGCAGTTCTAGGTTACCTTTGCTTTTGTAGGCTTCCTCTGTGTTGTCGAAGTCTATTTGGATGTTATCTAGGTAGACCTTTCTAGCATCTTTGGTCTGGCTGATAAGCTCGAGCGGCTCAGCTTGGACCACCGTGCACCCATCCAGCTGTTGCTCTTTCTCTTCCTGGCTCGACTTCGGGGATGCGACGGTTGACCGACATGTTGACGGTGAGATGCGTATTTTATTGATATTACCTAAGTTTGCCCGAATGAGAGATGCTACAAACTTTGCGTAGGACATCGTTTTCCTCACTCGCTGAACGAGATAAAAGAGCAGAAACAAAATAGCCGCGGCCGCAGACTCCTAACTTACTTGCTGCTGTGGAGTTGTGTAATGTGCGCGCGCTAAGGAATGGTGCTTTAACGTCAAGGGGCGGGGCCTCACATGTTGATGCCCGAGATTGGCAACTGTCTCGTGATGCGTGATGCGGCATGACGTAGTATATTAATCAGAGTAAAAGTAAATATAATGCCATTTTATTCTATTTTATATTATTTTATTTTATTTTATTTTAGATCTTCACTTCAAATACAAGCCAGCCCTACTTGTAACATCGAATAATATTTGATAACTGGCAAAAATAATTGAAGATTTGATTAATCACTGACCAGCTGCAGAATTTTGTGCTGTATGCTTTATATAAGGAAAGTGGACCAGTGAGAGAAAAGGGCACCAGAACATAAACATTTATTTAATAAACATAAAAATACTGTAGACAGAAGGCTGTCTGAAAATGTATACGTGTAATCTATTACAGTAGTTCCCAGCCTTTTTTCACCCTTCAGTGTGTCCAAGACTGGCCAAGACCCTCAACTCCAGCTCCTGCGCAAATCAAAGGCACACAATAAGTGATTCATTACAAACATGTATTTGCAAAATAAAAGCAGCTGTAGGCTTTGTTCATATTTGATGTGTGTGCCTTCCTTAACACTTAATTAGGGTTAGGATACCTGCTTTATTTATCAGGAAAGCAGGTACCATTACATATATATATATATATATATATATATATATATATATAAAGCTGTACACCAAGAGTGAGCAAGAGTGAGCAAGACATTGACTCACTGATCCACACCACCAGGATCTACAGCACTGATATTGGAGTGTCATTCGGACTTGAGAAGTGTGGTCGGATGGTGACAAAGAAAAGGAAGGGGTCTCCCTTCTAGAACAATCAATAGCAGACATTGAGGACAGCTACAAGAACCTTGGTATCCCACAAGCAAATGGCAACCTCGATGAAGTCGCAAGGAAAGGAGCCACAGCTAAATACCTACAGCGAGTAAGGCAAGTCCTAAGAAGTCAGCTCAATGGCAAAAACAATGTCCAGGAAAAAAACAGCTATGCCTTGCCATTAATCAGATTTCCTACAGGAATAATAAGCTGGTCAAAGCAAGAAATACAAGCTCCTAACCATGCATGGAGGGTTCCATCTCAAATCTAGCACTGTACACTAGCTATAAGAAAGGAGGCTGAGGACTAGTGAGTATGAGAGCCACTGTCCAGGATGAAACATCCAAGATCCATAAGTGCATCAAGGACAAGGCCCCAAAAGATGGCATGCTCAGTGAATGTCTCAGACAATGGCAATCAGAGGAGGAGAAATACCATCTCGGGAGGACAAACCCCTACATGGGATGTACCACCGATAGATAATTGAACTGGCTGATATCAAGAAATCCTACCAATGGGTAGAAAGAGCTGGTCTGAGAAACAGCACAGAGGCACTCATAATGTCTGCACAGGAACAGGCCCTGAACACCAGAGCAATATGTAAGATCTACCACGCCCATGGACGTAATTTTGTTTTTTTTTTGGGGGGGGGGGGACATGTCCCCCCCACTTTTTCCAAAGTCAAGTTTTGACCCCTGCACTTTTTACCATCCAAAAACAATATTACGCTATATTAAATTGACACTGGTTGAGCTCTAGGACCAAGCAGAAAACAACTGTTTGTGTTGAAGCCTGTCTCCCATTAGAACATACTGTAAAGATACCCCCCCCCCCATGTCCCCTCCACTTCTAAAAGTGAAATTACGTCCTTGACCACACCAGACAAGACCCAAGGGGTACGATATGCAAAGAGGCCCGTGAGATAATCCACCACATAACTGAAGGGTGTGAGATGCTGGCAGGAAAAGCATACATGGAACAACACAACCAAGTGGCTGGCATCGTGTTCAGAAACATCTGTGAAGAGTATGGACTGGAAGCCCAAAGGTCTTAGTGGGTAAAGCCTCCTAAGGTGGTTGAGAACGAGAGAGTCGAGCTCCTGTGGGACTTCCTGATCGGGGGTGGGGGGGGGTGGGGGGGGGGGGGCAATGCTGACAAACAACAAAGCACCAACACAACACTCTGACGCAGACAGGGTTATATACACAGGGCTGGGTGATTAGGAGACTAGGAGCAGGTGCGTGGGAGAGAGAGAACAGAGGAGAGAACGGTGAGATCAGTTAAAGAGCAAGTCACCCCCAAATAAACTTTTTTTTGCTGATAAACTAAATAAACGAGTGTCTAATCGTGCTGCAGACACGTGTCGTCAATAATTTGGCACTTTAGTGCATCTTAGTTAAAATTTAAATATTCTGCCTAAAACTGGCAGTGTTGTGCCGTTGTCAGGTAAAAACTCTGCACTGCATTTGAATTTAAATCTGCCACCGCTATTGGCTAAGAGGTATGCTATGATGTAAACTGGTACATCTATCTATCTATCTATCTATCTATCTATCTATCTATCTATCTATCTATCTATCTATCTATCTATCTATCTATCTATCTATCTGAGAGAGAGAGAGAGAGAGAGAGAGAGAGAGAGAGAGAGAGAGAGAGAGAGAGAGAGAGGGGGGGGTGTGCGTGCGTGCGTGCGTGCGTGCGTGCGTGCGTGTGTGTGTGTGTGTGTGTGTGTGTGTGTGTGTGTGTGTGTGTGTGTGTGTGTGTGTGTGTGTGTGTGTGTGTGTGTGTGTGTGTGTGTGTGTGTGTGTTCAATGAAGACCACAACTAGCGAATCTAGTTTTTAGGTGAAAAGCAGCAGACTCCAAACTGAAAGGTGGCGCTGAAGCGCTCTATGGTGGTTGCCTCTCGAACAATGAAGAAGAAGACAGGCCAGGGCGGGGCGGGCCACGTGATTTGGAATCGTAGTATATCCAAGGAAGAGCCCGCCTGTCTCACCTCTAATTGGCTGGAAGGGCTCTCCTACGATTGGCTAGTTCTTGTAGAACTAATCTAAAAATAATCTCACAGGAATCCCTACTACAGGGGAAACCGTCCTCCTTCCTTGCAGGGATTTTATGTTTGCAGCCAGATCTTGACTTTTTTTTTTTTAGAGAAAACGTTAACTCATCGCTATAATAACCAGTATGTCTTCCTTTGCAACGTACAGTTTCAGTTTATTTTATAAAATAACCTGAAAAACGTCAACCGCGAGCTTGTAATAAATCTAGTTGCATTTTATCACACTGTTAGACTGACTTTTTATCTGTTGGCTCTATTGAGGTTGTGTTATTACTTAATTAATAGCTATCTTATGTTTACTAGTTAGAGCACATCTTTCACCATCTGATTAAATGTGAATAATTTCATTGAAATGCAATTCAAATCTGATTATGATTTGGACATATTTTTCACCAGTTTTCATTATTCTAGAAGAGAAGAAGACCTGCTGCACACAGCTGGGTAAAATATGGCGGGTTTATTATATTTCATATCCAGTTGAGGCACACATGTTTATTCTATTTTCTCTGCTTTCATAAGATCCCATGAGAGCCAAAAATAAGAGTCCAACAGTGTGATAAATGCAACAAGCTTTATTATAAGTTTACATTTTACGGTTTTCACTTTTTTAAATAAAAGAATCGAACAAATTAAACTAGTTAGCAACAGGACAGAATGAACTAGACCACATTCATGTTTTGCAAAGTTTGTTTATTATAATATAAATAACATATTTATTTAGTCTGGCTTGCCAGGCTACTAATTTCACATTTTCTTTACAAAATTCCCCAAAACTGCAGGAGGACAGTCTGCTCTTAGCGAGGGAAGACGGTTTACTGCTAAATGAAATAGCCAATCGTAGTAGAACCCTTCTAGCCAATCATAGAGTAAAAGGGCGGGACCTTCCTTGGAAATCCTACGATTCCAAATTACGTGCGCGGGCATTGTTAAAGCTAAAAGCTAAGATTGCTAACGCTGAAAGAGCAGCGTGTCCAACCAAACTCGTAACAATAAACCTTTAACATAAGGCGTCGTTGCACTCCTACGAAGGTAATCTTACACCTTTATAAATAAAATAGTATTTTTATTTCATTATTTACAGTGCATTCACCAGTGCACCTAAATAGAAATGTTTAGTTTTAGCCGTAGCAGAAAGTCTTTAGCCCCGACTAGCTAAACAGACTGCTCAAATTGTTAAATCGAGTGTGTAAGATGCACACGTGCACGTTTAAACAGCACCTAAATATATTATGTTAAAGAATTACATTGTGTTGGTGGCTAAAAAGAATATGTATTTTACAAAAACGCTTTAATTCATGCATCACGGATCAAATTATTAGCTAATGGCCGTAGCCTTAATCCAGTTGTTTTTGTGTTACGTTGAAATAAACTTCATATATATACTAGAGTTTTAAAGCGAATGTGTGAATCAGTCAGTTGTTGGGACGTTATGTTATTTTGTTAGTTGTTACCTAACCAGCGAATCTGGTTTGGTGGGCTGAGCAGCTTGATTTATTAAGTAGGCCACAAAATCATCCTCAGTTTAATAAAGAAAAGCAACTGTCTGCTTGGAAACTGCTGCAAGTTAACAGCCTTGAATATCTGTTAAAATATTTGATCAATTATGTAACCAATTAATTATAAGCTTATCATAATAGTAATAGTAACCATAGTCTCTAAATATCTAATGAGAAAGGATCCTATATTTGCTAAAATTGCAATTGCATCCTACACTATAATGGTATCAAAATATCCTGGGTTTACTTTATTACACTATATTTAAATGTGTTTGGCTATAAAACGTAATTTTAAACTCCTGTTTTTTATTACATTAGCTTGTTTTCCCTTATTATCTGCATAAACAAATCAACAAATTCTAATAATCATATGGGTGTTTGCCTCATAAGGTTGGACGATTAGACCAATTATTCGACCATCTGTGATTGGCCAAACGAATGAAAAGTCTTGCGAATGGGGCATTGCAAACTTCCGTGTCAAATCAGCATTTTTTTTTGCAAAACTTGTTCTTTGTATATATACATATTACACATAATTTGAAAGCTAGAATTCCTGTGGTTCCAATGATTTATTGCAATCCAGGATTCAACCATAACTGTAGACACATTAAACGCTTTTGTCAAACAGCTCGTAAATTCAATATGATGTCTAGCTCACACTTTTCAAAGTCTCTTATTGACAGGATAGAGCAATTTCCAACAAGAATGTTTTTTGTGTCCAGAAGTAGGGATCCACCGATACTGGTATCAGTATCGGTGCCGATACAGATACCGATATCAGTATCGGTAAAAGTTAACAGATACCAGTAACCGATACCAATGCAGTTGCTCGAAAGTGACTTCACTGTAACTTGTCATTTCTATTCACCTAATATTTTAGTTTTGTGATCATTTATATTAACATATTTTACTTTTTATCTACCTCACAGTCTTTTCCTATTGAAAACAGAGAAGAAAATAAAACCCGTATTCCAATTCATTGTATTTTTTTTTGTGTGGTATCGGCAATCGGTATCGGCATGTACTCGGATCCAAGTATCGGTATCGTATCGGTTTGGAAAAAAGTGGTATCGTTGTATCCCTATCCAGAGGTACAATAAAAGTACTCCATTAAAATTGTTAGCCCATAACAGGTCTTACATTCACACCCCCAACATTCAAAATAATAATTTCCCTCGGATGCTTCTGTCATAATCCCTGTAATCCAAATTTTGGCTTCAAACATTTAAGTGACATCCTACAAATATGTGAAGGGTTACCCACCCTCTGCTGGTGCAAAATCATTAGCTATTGGCTGACAGGTCAGAACTACCGCCCTCTTTTCCAACGTATGTAGCATAGGGCTGCTTGATTATGGCAAAAATGATAACCACTATTATTTGGACTGAAATTAAGATCTCTATTACTTAACAAAATCTTTAATTAGAGTTGAAAACACAAATACTGATAACAAAAAAGTTTTTTGAGATAGTTAAAACCCAGATCATAATTGAGGTCAAAATTCAATGAATCAACCAGCCCTAATATAACCAACTGCAACGTATGTAGTATATAGTTGTTTGACATATCAAATTGGGGCTGGACAATAATTCAATAACGATATATATCGAGACATATGGCGTGATAGAAAATTATGGGTCGATAAAGTTTCCTTTGCTTTTTTCTATTATAGTCTATTGAGCAGCTTAATACTAGAGTCATTACTTACTCCCAACCAATCAAAATACAGACACAGGCACGCGCCATCACTAAGCCAGAGCCACTCAAACCAAAACAGACAGCAAGATGTTGCCGCAAGGAGAGGTAGATGAAATTGTCCCGTTAAAAAGGTTACAGTAGTTCATCAGCATGGCAGTGATTTGGTTTTTAAAAGACACAAAGGTCAATTAAAAAATTAGCAGAGAGCAATTAAAAGATCAAGTTTGGTGACACAACCAACTTGTTTTATCATAAAGCAATGACAGAAAATGGCCAGGGCTGCACTTAATAAAAATGTCTACATTTTGTATAATTATCCATAATTATTGATATCAATCAATATAAATTTTTTTCTATATTGTCCAGCCCTACATCAAATGGCCATTGTAATTTGGAAGAAAACAACCCTTGTGGCTTGCTTCCACAGACTATGAACGATTGTGATTGGTGAAACACCCTGTGCATTGTGTTGGGCCAACATAAAATTCTAAGTGTCTCCTTTTCGAAGATATTGCCCATTGTCATTTTTTGGACTGACTAATATTGCTTGAAAATTTTTTACATATCGTCCAACCTTATCTTCTACATACAGATTGTGCTTATCACTATGTATTCATGTTACTAAACATTTTTTATTCTTTGTTTTAAAGTTTTCAGGATTGGATCCATTTGCTTTTTCTTGAAATCAACAGTTATTCTTCACATGGCTGCATCCCATATTTAGATGTTTATTCTGGTCTAAATTAAGGAATTGGCACTGGAAGGACTAAGTTCTGGTTCTAGGAATAGGATAAGGAGGACTTCCACCGCTGTTTGTGAAAACAAGAAGTGATCTTACATTCTGCAGGTGCCCCTGTTCTGTGTCAGCAGTGCCCTCCGCTCAAACAACATGTCTGATGGACGCATCTATGTGGGGAATCTTCCTACGGCTGTCACAGAGAGAGACATAGAGGATCTTTTCTTCAAATATGGAAAAATTCGTGAAGTTGAATTGAAGAATAATAGAGGCACCGTTCCATTTGCCTTCATTCGATTTGAAGACCCGCGGTGAGTTTTGTGGATGGTGTTTGGCCAGTCGAATCACTTTCCTCTTTGTGGAGACCTTAACCTCTGTGATACAGTGTCACACCTGGTGACGGCCAGCCGGAGTGGATGGAGACTGGAAATCCAACCAATGTTCGCTAGGTGTGCTTTGGTAAGGGGTATTTTGCTCTCTTCTCTTAGGGATGCAGATGATGCTGTCTATGGAAGGAATGGATATGAATATGGAAACTCCAAGCTGCGTGTGGAATATCCCCGAGTTTCTGGTGGTAAACCTGGTTCAATGGGAGGTGCTGGAGGAGGAGGACAAAGGGGAAGGTTTGGACCCCCAACTCGGAGATCTGAATTCCGAGTCACAGTGACTGGTAGGTGGATGCCATGAGTTGTGGCCAGTTAATGTAAATCTCTTTTGGTGCTGCCTGGAGGCCAACGGGACTAGTCGGAACTTAGATGAATCATAGGCAGATATTTCCCTCCTCTCTCATGGCATACTGGAGGACAAGGGAACTAATGGACATAAGTCATAGGCAGCTACATTTCAATGTCTCTCTCCCCCGTTTGGCGGACTGGAGGACAAGGGAACTAATGGACATAAGTCATAGGCAGCTACATTTCAATGTCTCTCTCTCCCCTTTGGCGGACTGGAGGACAAGGGAACTAATGGACATAAGTCATAGGCAGCTACATTTCAATGTCTCTCTCTCCCCTTTGGCGGACTGGAGGACAAGGGAACTAATGGACATAAGTCATAGGCAGCTACATTTCAATGTCTCTCTCTCTCCCCTTTGGCGGACTGGAGGACAAGGGAACTAATGGACATAAGTCATAGGCAGCTACATTTCAATGTCTCTCTCTCCCCTTTGGCGGACTGGAGGACAAGGGAACTAATGGACATAAGTCATAGGCAGCTACATTTCAATGTCTCTCCCCTTTGGCGGACTGGAGGACAAGGGAACTAATGGACATAAGTCATAGGCAGCTACATTTCAATGTCTCTCTCCCCCCCCCCCATGGCGGACTGGAGGACAGGGGAACTAATAGATGGACTTCATAAGCCGTAGACAGATACGTGTCAATGTCCCATGGCGGACAGAAGGACACGGGAAAGTGTAGATGGACCTCATAAGTCATGGGCAGATACCTTTCAATGTCCCATGGCGGACTGGAGGACAAGGGAACTAATAGATGGACCTCATAAGTCAAAAGCAGCTACATTTGAATGTCTCTCTCTCCCCCATGGCGGACTGGAGGACAACGGATCTAATAGATGGAATTCATAAGTCATAGGCAGAAACGTTTCAATGTCCCATGGCGCACTAAAGGACACGGGAAAGTGTAGATGGACCTCATAAGTCATAGGCAGATACTTAGGTATTATATGGACCTTGTAAGTGTTAGGCACATATGTTTCAAAGTCTCTCTCCCATGGTGGACTGCAGAACACAGGAAACAGTAGCTAGACATTATAAGTCATGGGAAGATATCTTTCAATGTCTCTCTCTCCAAGTGGACTGGAGGGCACAGGAATGAGTAGATGGATCTTGTAAGTTGTAATCAGATACATCTCAATGTCTCCCTCTCCCATGGCACACTGGAGGACAGGAGGAACTGTAGATGGACCTCATAAGTTGTAGGCAGATACATTTCAATGTCTTTCTCTCCCAACGTGGACAGAAGGACACAGTAAACTGTAGATGGACATTATGTCATGGGAAGATACAGTTCAATGTCTCACTTTCTTGCTCTCTCATTGTGGACTGGAGGACACAGGAACTAGCAGATGGATCTTATAAGTTATAGGCAGATACATTTCAATGTCTCTCTCTATCTCATGGAGGACAAAGGGACTAGTAGAAGACATAATGAGTCATAGGCAGATAGGTTTCTCTCATGGCGGATTGGAGACCAAGTGGACTGAGTGGATGAGGTCAAGTCTTCTGCTAAAGTCCCAAAAAACAAAAGTAAAGAAAAACTGGTCACGTTGACTGAATAATCCCAAACTCCAGCTATAGTGAATGGTAGGTGTGTTTTGTGATTGTTTATGATTCTTTATAATGATCGCTGATGAAAGTTTATATTGGAAACTGAATGTGTTATCTGCAAGTTTTCTTGGGTTTGGTAATGACTAGATCTTCTTAACCCTCCCACTGTCTTCATGGGTGTGACCCCGCGAGGAAAGATGACCATTGAGCAGGATTGATGGTTTATCCCTTGAGGTCCACGTGGCAGGGGTGAGGTGGTGCTCACTCCTCAGCCCACCTCACCCCTGCCACATGGACCCAAGGGATAAACCATCAACCTTGCTCAATGGTCAACTTTCCTCGCGGGGTCACACCCATTAGGACAGTGGGAGGGTTAAAGGAGAAGTAGTTACAGGCTTTGAAATGAAATACTTTACTTTTTACAGTTAGTGACTGTCCATTTTAATCAGTGGTTTCTCTTGGTGGAACTTTAATTTTTATGAATAAGTAACTTCTTCATCAAGGTACAACTGTGAATTAATAAAGGAATTATATATAAACAGTTTTATCAGTCATAATCACTAGTTAGATTTAATTTAAAACTGTTTCTCTCACAGTCAACCTCCCACCCCAAAAACAAACAAATATAAGTTTACTTTCCTTTTGTTTTTAGACTTTATGGTTGTAAGAAAAACTGATTCAAGGCCAGATCATTGTCAAATATAGAAATGTGTTTTAACATTTATTTTATTTTGAGTTTTAATATGTAATCGTATTCTATCCTCACCAAATTCTTCCTTTTCTAATAGGGTTACCAGCAAGTGGAAGTTGGCAAGATCTGAAGGATCATATGCGAGAGGCGGGAGATGTTTGTTTTGCAGATGTTCAGCGAGACGGGGACGGCGTGGTGGAATTTCTCCGGAGGGAGGACATGGAGTATGCGCTGCGCAGACTGGATCGGACGGAGTTTCGTTCACATCAGGTAAGGAATGACGACAAAACGATACAACTGTTCTTTGTCAGTAAATCGTTAAAAAAGCTGTTTTATTGTTGTAGGGCGAAACCTCTTTCATCCGCGTCTATGAGGATAGAGGAAGTTCCAGTTGGGCTCCGGCCCGCTCTCGTTCCAGATCCAGAGGTCGCTACTCTCCTCCCTACTTCAACAGAGGATCTCCTCCTCCTCTTCCTCGCTACCATTCTCCTCCTCGTATGTTACGGCATAGCCCACCTCCAAGGAGACTCCCTCCACAGCACCATAGCCCGCCCCCTCGCCACTATCGATAAGAGGGCCCAGTGTTGGTTTGGTGGAAATATTTTGCAGTTCTACATTTTTATTATTTTTCCCCCAAACTCAGGCCTCTTTGTAGAAACAATATTGTTGATGGGTACATTCCACCAAAATTTCCCGTCCTCCCCACAATTATCTTTCTTTTAAAGACATTTAAGTTTTAGGTAATGAAAACAGGATTTGGGTCTGGTTTTCTTTGGTTATTTTTTGTTCCCTGTCTTAATACTTGGATGTTTTATTTGTTGGGAAACAGTTAACCGTGACCACAAATTGGGCAGAAATTAGTACATGACTAATTAAACAAATCACACATCTCTGCAGCTTTCAGATTGGTCATTGTGTAATCCTACATTACATTTAAGTATCTTTGTCCTTGTTTTCACCCAATCATTTGGACCCGCAAGTTAGTGTTCCAATTCACTTTTGACTGTGAGCCTGATGTCTTTATGTGTAAACCTTTGATTCCAGTGATCCGTAGCTGAATCATTTGTGTGTTTTTTTTAACCAATAAAAGGAAAACTTTTACTTTAGTTTCTTTTTTGATTCTAAAACAGCTAAAAACTTTTTCCTTACATGTGGTTACAGAATTCTGTAGAAAACTTGGTTCATGTTTTTGACTGATTAACATTCACTGAGCCTTTTTTTCTAATGCACACAAGTTGAGTCTGGGAAAACCACAGATGTTCCCAAACTTTGTCTTAAAGCACTGATCTATTGAATCGGCAAACTAAGTCATGTTTGATGCAAAATAATGCAAAATTTCTTTAAACATTTTAGAACTTAACAGATTTGTTTATTATTGCTGGAAAGACCTACAAATATAGCACAAATGTAGTTACTAAAATGTGTTTTATTTGAAAAAATTGTAGTTCCGATTAAATTTAGTATTAAACACTTTTAATTCTACCTGTTTTTTTTTCTAAATTCCAAACTTGTAACATGAATGCCACTCAGAAAAAGTTGACAAGTCATTTTATGCCTAATTCAACTTATTTTTGTGCTTCAACTTAAATGTTATCACAAAACGCAGATAATTTTTCTAAGTTAATTTCTTACAGTGAAATAAATGGACCTAAGTGGCCATCAGCACAATGGGAAGAAAAATGCATCAACTTCGGTCAAGGTCAAATTTTATTGCTACATCACATTTTTACCAGTTCACGATACCCTAAAGTGCTGTACAACAAAACGCAAACAATATATTAAAGTTAAAACAACAGACAGAAAAGTAGTGAGAACAAATGAGCTAAAACCTATCTAAAAGAAAGCTCAAATGCTTGAGTCAACTCCGATTAAAAGCCAGATTTAAAAGGTTTTCAATAAATATTTAAGATGCTCAAGACTAAGCAGTTCTTAAATGCAAGGGCAGACTATTCCACGGGTCTTAAGACGGTCCTGGTTGATACGTGGGGGGTCAACGTAGATGTAGGAGGGAGAGATACCCAGCAAGGATTTAAAAACAAAAGTAAAAATGTTAATGAATCCTGAAATAAACAGTCATCCAATGCCATGAGGCCAAGACTGGGGTTATGTGTTTGTGTCTTCTGGCGCCAGTCAGCAGCCGTGCCGCTGCGTTTTGGACCAGTTGAAGGTGTAACGTCCGGATAGAGGGAATTACAAAAAAATACATGATATGTTTGGTTTGAGTGTCACTTCATGGATGCAACTAAATGAATGCAATGCTTTTGGGAAAAATACACACAAGGCACATTGGATTCAAAATATATGATTTTTAATACACAATAAATTAATTATACTTAGTGACCATTTTAGAAGACAGAAAAAAATAAATATATTTATTTCCAGTGGTATTCTCTTTTTCATTAGTTGACTGAACTCATATACAGACATTGTATTGCAATACAATAATATGTACCAGCTTAGTTTTATTTTATTTTACAATAATTCTGCATCATTTCAGCACATTGTTCGCACAGTTAATATGTTCTGACCACAAACGGTAATACACAAGCTGCAATACTCAGGCATGTTTTAGAGCTTATGGAGACACATTAGTGATGACACTTAACGCCACAGTGAAACAAACTATTTTTGCAACTTCTAAATGGCACAAATAAATTATTTGTATCTGACCAACCCCTATCTGCATCTAACCATACTGAAGATTTTGTGTTTTCTCTCCTGAAAACACAACAAAGGCAATTTATTAGTCTTTCCCCACAAATATCAAAACTAACAGACTTTAACAAAGTCTCAAAACCATTTGCTGCCATTAAACATTGTAATTTTTTTATACAACCTAAAATACACAAATTTTATGTTTTTGAGTGTTTTGAAGTCACCACCAACTCAAGGCTGTCATGGTTTTCTGGGCCCGCTACATTTTGATGAGAATGTAAACACGCACCAGCCACTGTATGAAGTACACTTAGCTAAAACCAGGTTGGAACCATGTTTTTTCCTCCTGAGCTGCTTGAAGAAATGTTTCCAACAGCCTGTTGAATCTGACATGAAGAATTCGAGGTTGTGGTCTATATTGACATGACAGCATCACAAAGACAGCGTCAATGATAAGAATCTCTTGTTCCTCCACATCCAAAAGGTTCTGGACTCGGTGGAGATCTGGCGAATGTGGAGGCCTCAATGGCAAAGATTCAACAAGGTGTCAAAAAGGCAGCATTCCTCCGATTTTGAAAACATCTTCCACACATCATTAGCCTTGGGCTTCCTGACAGGGTTGCGGAAGGCGCTTTATAAATAAAGCATTGATTGATTGATTGATTGATTGATCATTAAACCATCAGCAGCAGCCTGAATCATATCCCTGTTTTTATGTTGACACTAATTTCTGACCGAACCAAATGACCGTTTCAACTGAAATCAAGACAGACATTTTTCCAATCTCATATGGTCCAGTTCTGGTGATCCTGTGTGAAGTTTCCTGCTCATAGCTGTTCTTACACAGGGTGGTCTGCTGCTGTAGACCATCTCAACTGAACTCAACTCAGCCTTTATTTATTAGCCCCTTACAGGCACGTTCATGCCACCAAGGTGCTGTAAAACAAAAGAATAAAACATATAAAAGCAAAAGACACAATTAAAAGCAACTAATTAAATTCACAAGATCAGAACGTAAAACACAGAATTAAAAGCCAGATCATTAAAATATTTTCAGCCTCATTTTAAAAACCGCTACTGATGCAGAGATCCTAATAGTTAGGGGCAGTGAGTTCCACAGTTTCGGGCCAGCAACGGAGAACGCCCCATCATCTGTTGACCTCAGCCAAGCCGTGGGAGCCACAAGCAGCAGCTGGTTCTCAGAACAAAGTGTTCAAGCCGGAGCATATGGCTGCAACAACTCCATCAGTTAGGCTGGAGCCAATCCACTCAGCACCAAAAAAAGAAGTTTAAAATGAATTCTAAAATCTACAGGTAACCAATGGAAAACAAACAAGATTGGTGGCATGTGTTCATGCTTTCTTTTGCCGTCCAAGAAACTTGCAGCCGCATTCTGGACAAGCTGCAGTTGAGCTACCCCTTACCTACACCAAATAAGATAAAGTTGCAGTAGTTGAGGCGTGAGGTAATAAAAGCATGAACAACAGTCTCAAAGATTCGTCTGGATTAAAAAAGCTTTACTTTGGCCAAATGATCAAATGAAGAGGATACTGCAGCACCAACATGGGCATCTAAGCAGAAAGCACTGTCCATCTGCTTCAAGGTTCAACGTGTTGTGGTTCAGACATGATATTCTGAAGACACAAGTTGCTATTTTAGCTGCTGTTGCCTTCCTATCACCTTTAAATAGTTCGTTCACCTCTGACGTCTTACATCAACTAAACATTGTCATACATCCAATTGCTCACTGGAGATTTTCTCTTAACAAGTTGTGTGTGGAGATCCCAGTAGATCAGCCCGTTTCTGAAACACTCAAACAAATACTTCAAAATGCCATATTGAACAGAGTTGCTGCCGTATGATTGGCTGATCAACTGTTGGAATTAACAAGTGTACCTAATGAAGTGGCCAGTGCATGTGCATAATTTTTAAAACGTTTGAAGGTAAAAAAGATTTTTTATTCAAGTTTTACTGTTTGCTGACTACTGGTCTGAGCTTAAAGACCAAGTTAATTGAGAAACAGTTTTTTTTTTTACTTGTTATTTTTTGAATATGATCGGTCACTCTTTAACATGCAGGCTAAATGTGAAAATTATTGTCTATCCTATTTTCTATTTGTCTTATTTGTCTATCGCATTAGCCTGCGATAGAAAATAGACGACAAAATGCTCGGACTAGAAAAGCCTGACAATTGCACGTCATAATGTCAAATTAGCATTCATGGACTCACCCATCTTGGCTCACGATGGGGAAGGCTGTTGTTGATTTAGCATCCAGGAAACAGCAGAGCCCGCCTCAGCTAGTATAAGCTAACCGTTAGCATTAGCAACTCCACCACACAGCAGAAGCTCCTCCAGGCTTGTGTTATTTGTGGCGATAAAACAACTGTGCAGAGCAAACAGTCAGTAGTAGAGTCGCATTACTGTTAGCCAATCAGAGGTGAGATGTCAGAATATAAGGAAATAAGACTTCTATCATCTTCTGCTCACCTCTCCACTGACTCATTTCTAGTTCCTGAAACAGGAGCTCCAGAGCTTTTCCCCCCACAGAGATTGACTCACAAGGCATTCATTTATGCTAGAAACCATTGCAGATGTGTTGAAAAAAATGAGTGAACTTGGTCTCCTTTAATCTCCTAAGTGTGCCACTATTAACTCTTTCTGATTGATGGTTGAGGGTTTGGGGTTTCCTTTGTGTTGTCGCTACAGTTGTGATGTTTTCTGGCCAAACTGTGTCGGACATTGCCCTAAGACATCAAGAAATTGTGAAAGCTTGTGGAAATGGATCATCAGATGACCATTCGTCACCATGGATCTGAAATGAGGAAATGTAGCAGCCCTAAAAAAAATCCAATCTTATCTACAAGGCTACATAACATAGTACAGTTACCAGTTAACTAATATGTTTTGAGGCAGTTTAGACCTTTCATTTTCTTGTGCCTGAGCATTTCTGCACCACATGCATTCACTCAACTGTGCAGAAGTTGATCTGGTGACCAAGGAGCACCATGAGAGATGGGTGAAAAGTCTTTTAAAAAAACATATCTAAATGCACAATATAAATGATCAATAACTAACTCCATAGGATGCAAAATCCTCCAAAATTGAGAAAAAATACTTCTGAAAAGTAAAAGAAGGAACCTGCAGTTGAAAACGTAAACAGTTTGAGTGGATTTAAGGTATGAACACATTGATTTTGAGGTCCGAATATTTTACTGACAGCATTGCTGCCAATCAGCTCCACAAAAACATGATCAAGAGACAAATAACATCCAGAAGAAAAGATTGAGGCAAAGATTTTGTGCTGATGTTGCTGTAAAAACAGGAAGTGCACTCGTACTGCTTTTTACCATGAACTGAAAATTGCCAGTCACGACAGATGATCTGATATTGGCGCATAAAAGCATAATTGGCACTTGTTTGTTTTAAAGTTGCCATGCTCAGCTTGAGTGACCAAAACGCTTATGTAACTTAAGAACGCTACCTGAAAAAGCTAATCCTAGAGGAGCATTGGTCCGCGCGGAAACAGAAAAAAAAAAACTACTGGCATCTGAGTCAAGGGATGAACGGCAACAGATTGAGTCATTTTCTCAATCAATGCACAGAGAATGTCAGAGGTGGAAGGAGCATGTGTGGATATCATGTCTCCATATGAATTACGCTGCGATGTTCTGAGTTCAGGTCTGCAAACCTCGAAGGCTTGTGTGCATCAGCATCACAGACAGGGTCATTAAATGTCAGAGAGCCAAAGCGAGCAGTTCTCAAAATGGCTGTTATGATGCAGGCCAGGGATGACACACGACTTTAACACAATCAGCATGTTCTTCTAAAGTTTAGAAAACCAGATCATGCCATGAAGCATAACTGAAAGTATAAGTGCATTTCATGTGTAACCATGGCAGCTGTTGTTTCTGCTAACTAATAAGGACATCACTGGTGTGTCTAACTAAATGTGCGCAGAGAAAATAATTTGTTTTTATCCCTGAAAAAAAATAAACAGCAACATTTAAGGCTAAATAAAGAACATCCTGAAGTAGATTCAACATTCACTGGATTAACAAGAACACTTCAAAAAGGGAATTTCACTGGCATCACTTTCAACTCCTGACTATAAAGAGGAGCAACTGAACGGAAGTGGTTTTACAACCAGATTTAGGACAATGGGCAGCTTTAATTCATTCACCACCTGCCAAAAAGCTGCTTCAGTTAATACCAGCACCTCTTGTGGAGGATGTGAAGACTGTCATCTTTGAAATAATGTACAACAATCATAGGATCATGGAGTGAGCAGCATTTTTAAATTACTTGTTTTCTATGAGAGTCTGCACTTTGTGGACTAAGTCTTGGGCTTTCATTAAGACCCGCGGGACGTCGTGTCGTTCTGCCATTTCTAAAAAAAGAGAAGATAGAAATGAGCTTGTGAGAGATGACACGAGTAGCAATACAGGGAATAAAACAACGAACACATATTTTCTTCTTGAAGGGATATTTCATTCATTTTGGAGTTTGTTTTGTGTAAAAATTAAAAATCATTACCTTGTTACTGATTGTTGATAGTTTTCTGAAAGCTGTGCTTAGTCCTGCTGGGCTAATAAGCTAACAGCTAGTTTGAGCTCTGCCAGGATCAAAGTGGATTGCCTCCATCCTAAATTAAGCTCCTGTCTCCAAAGTTGATTCACAATTCATTCAACCATTTCACTGCCATCAACTTAGTTATTTATATGCAGAAATATCACCTGCAGCTGCTAACTCAGACTTTTCACCGAAATGTGATACATGTGGTTTCCCCGTGACCTCAGCGGTGCACGTGTTCGTACCGGGAGTGTTTTAGGTGCATCTGAAACTTCGTAGACATTATGTGCCACTTACGCATCCAGTGGAATGCATAGGTAAATGTTGCACTTCCGATGCACCCAGTAGTCAACCTTTTTCCAAAGTAGACATTAAATGCAAATTAAAAACAGTTAAAATGTTTAAAAAAAACTAAGTTGCATTAACCAACATGGCATTTGGGAGAATGAAGATGTTTGAAGACAAGTGGCAAAGTCTTGTAGGACATAAACTGTTTCTCCAAAATGAGGCAATTCATGAAGATACCTTTTACTTTACGTTTCGTGACCATGTTCGCATTCAAAGCCTAGCTTGTTTGCAGAATTGTTATAACAGTTGTCACCCATAAATAAGAAAATTCCTTGCTGATAAACTGTATAAATGAGCGCCCAATAATGCTGTAGATATGTGTTGTCATTATTTTGGCATTCTAGAGCATCTTATTTAAAATTGAAAAATTCATTCTAAAACTATACATAGCACTGGTTTAGAATCAGCTATTGCTAATGGCTAAGAGGTACCCAGTGCCGTTGCTGATGTAGTACCATGTGGCTTCACTGCGCTTTTCCAGCTAGCTCGGCCATTCTCGAGCCACTATGGAATGATATAGCTTAGAGCTGCTTGCTTCGTTCAAAGAAAATGTCTTCCTCCTTTTGTTCTAAAAATGGGGTGGAGACAAAATCTTCCAGTGTGTTGTTTCTCTGTTTGCTCTAAGTGTGGTGTCTATGGCCTGGAATATACTAGCTGTTTAACGACGTGTACACATGTTTAAAATGGCTGCCACGTGTAACTTGCATTGATTTGAAGCGTTGTTTGCGACGTCCCCTGAAATAAACGTGATGCGTTCGAACGCTGCAATATATAAGTAACCAGTAGGTTTTGTTGAAAAATTGAGTGAACACACTCCTTCCCTGGTTTAGAGGTCTTTCATACCATCTATGGTACAGCTGCTGTCTTTTTCTGCTGTGAACTCAAAATTACAGATCTATTCTATTGACACCATGTTTGTTTTGGTTGTACCCACAAACCCGGCTCTCTATCCTGTTTGAGTACTCTACTGTGACCCCTAGTATAATCTTCCAGTACTACATGTAGTGCAGTGTCATGCAGCAGCAAGTATGTGAACAAAGACACAGCCTGCACCAATGCAAGGTTAAAAAGCAAGTATTTTCCAGCCCTTAATGTGTGTGCGTGTGTGTGTGTGTGTGTGTGTGTGTGTGTGTGTGTGTGTGTGTGTGTGTGTGTGTGTGTGTGTGTGTGCGTGCGCGCGTGCTTGTTGAGAGCACTTCTTTCCAATGGAGAAACTCAGAGAGCATGTGTGCAGGGGGGGGGCTCAGTCACTGCCACAATGAGTACGTTTACATGCAGCCAATATCCGGGTTAAGGTCAGCATTCGGGTTTCTGAGTTGATCAGAATAACCCGTTTACAAGCACACATAGAAAGAGTTACCCCTAACTTGCATAACCCGATGTAAATGCGGACGTTGGGGAAGCGTCAGGACGTGTGGACTACGTCCAGACGCAATATGCGTCATTTCCGGTTCTTCTCGTTCCGGTATCCGTGAAAACAACCCCCATTCTGGCATATTTACATTGGTTCCCGATGCATTTCAGGGGAAAATTCAAGTTGTTGACATTGGTGTACAAAGCTCTGCAGAGACCACCATACCTTACTGGCCTCCTGCAGAGGCATCTCCATCATTGGTTCTTAGCTTGGCTGATAGCGTTGGTGGTTCCCCATTTAAAATGTAAGTCATAAGGGGATCGTGCATACTCTGTGATGGGTCCAAGACTCTGGAATGAGCTGCCTATGGCTGTGCGCCAATCTCCTTCACTGTTGGTTTTTAAATTCCATCTGAAGACCCATGTTTATGTCTCAGCTTTCCACCACTAAATGAGTTAGCTCGGCATTACTGTCCTGCTTTTTTAGTTGTCTTTACTGTTTTTTAATGTTTGCATTTTATTTCCTGTTTTAGTAAATCTTGAAATGTTTTTTTAATTAATTTACGTTTATAAACGCAATATTGGATTTCTGACTGTGTTCAGCCCCTTGGGCGTCAGATGAGGACATGAAAGGGGCTTTATAAATAAACTAAAGTGAAGTAGTGTTTTGCGTTTTTCACACCGATTTCTATTTATCTGTTCCCATCTTACCATTGAAGAACTTGATGATGTCAGTGAAGTCCATGTTATTTTCCAGAATGATGTCTCTGTACATCTCCACAAGCGCCAGAGCGATGAAGAGCACAAAGTGTTCAGAGGAAGTGTGTTTGGCTGCCCAGATAGTTTCCCACACAGAGAACACGTCATCGTACACCATTTCTGTCCGGTAAACACCAGAAAATAAAACTTTAAATAGTAATAATAACCATATAAGATGATGTCATCAAGACACAGTGGATTTACTCAAATGTTTGGATTCCAGAAATTCCCATCCCACCTCTTTTGAAGTCCAGAAGAAACCAGCGATAACAGAAGTAGAAGTGGGTGTAGTCTCCATTCTGCTGCATCAGTTCAAACAATTCGGAGTCCAAAATCTGAGAGAAAAACAAACTTATAACTGATCTGGAGCTTGTGTGTGTGAGACTGTCTTGCCAAACTTCAAAAAGCTTTTCAGGACCAGTTCACTGATGGTATATTTTGCAAGTAACGTCAGAGCAAATGTATAGTTCCAGGGAAAAAATCCACAATATCCACATCTGTCTTGCAAAGTAACAGCTCATCAAACCTTGAAGTTTGATATAAATCAAATTTCTTTCATCTCAACAGCAGGAGAAGGTACATATATTGTGAATCAAGAGGGGATAACTGAAATAAACGTGGCTACAAGGAGCGATAGGGGAGCCAAGTAAGCCAACTGGGCAAAATCACCATGGCAACCAGATTTGTTCATGTCAAAAATTAACTTGAATAAGCAGTTCTCCTTCTGTGAACAAATTACAACTATTGGGCATGAAATTGGTGGGTGTCACCATGAGAGAGGGATAAAAATCTACCCTGCTGTGGATGTGTGGATCACCATTTTTAAAAAGGGTGTCAAAGAAATTTAAATATAAACATCTACATGTTCTTGATCTTCTGAGTGCTCAGGTTCCACCACAATTTATACTTGAATTTAAACATTAGTTTCAACCAGCTTACCAATTTAAAGGTGTAAAACAGTTGTTTAATCAATACATTTGCAGTGGTGCTTTGCAAGTCGTACTCTGCCTTTTAAATCATACTTAGAGGCAAAAAACATCGGTGCACCATTTCTAGGAACTAGAAGTCAGCCACATCACAGCTGAGCTTCGGACGGCAGATTTTGGAGTCTTATTTCCTGATATTTAGACATCTGGCCTGGGATTGGATAACAGCAATGTGACTATCACCGACTTGCAATAAGGATGTTTTACCTCCACACATAACACAAACCTGGAGAAGTTCTGCCATGTGGTGGAGTTGTTAATGCTAACAGTTTAGCTGAGACGTTCTCTGCTGATTCCTGGACACTAAACCAACAACGGCCTTCCCCGTCACAAGTCAAGATGGTGAGTCCATGAATGTTAAGTGACAGTGTGACGTAGATCTGTCAGGATTTTATAATCCTAAAGTTTTACAGTCTAATGAAGGAGATAGGTGTAGGAGACTATTTTTGTGTTAAGCCTACATGAAAAACTGCATTATAAACTACAAGCTAGCAAAGCATAAAATAAAAGTATGATCATGCCTGTATCAATGAGCGCATATTTGCAAAGTGAGTGTCCATTGCACCCCCATGGGGAAAGTTCTGGTTCATCCTCTTCATCAGTTCACTGAAGCAGCTGAATGCCATTACCTCTGTAGAAAAGAAACACAAACATGCACATATATATCAGTAAACAAAAAACTTTCTGCACTGAGTTCATACTGAGAGTTAGACTGACCATCATCCAGAATAACCAGGAGGGGAGCCAGCAGGTCACACATGCCCTGCACATAACCAGTATCCAGATGCCGCCACACGTAACTGGAAAAACAACCACACCTTTTTCATGTTTCCTTTTTTTTCCCTTTAGGGTTGAAATAAACCACAGAGATGGAGTTTACCTGCACATTATATTACGCAACTTCTCCAGATTCTCTGGAGTGAAGTACCAAAATGTTCTGTCACAGCGTCGGACATCTTTGTCAATGCGGTGCAAGTTGATCAAGTACATGTCCAGCGTTTCTTGCTTAAGAAATACAGAAATTCTTTATTATTGGATGTTTTGATGGATAATTTGTCTTTAGTTTGGTACAAGACTTACAGAATAGGTTTGCTCCTCAGATGATTCTTCATATTTGGCGACGCCTCCCATGTCTGTAGACTCTTGTTCGGTGAGGATGTTGTCCATCTCAGGCTCCTCTTCAGAAAGAGCCAAATCAGTGCCCTCAGGACTGGTGTTGCAAGCTGTGTCCAGATTTTGATCTGGGACAAAATTCTCAGATGCCATCTTTTCTATCTTTTCTCGTTGTGCTAAGGGAATGGGAGGAGAGGCAAGGCCAATTAAAGGCCTGACGTTGATGTCTTCTGAAGTCACACATGTTATCCCTGCAGGAATGTCCTCCATTTCCAAAGCAGAAGGAGAGTCGTCGGAATCGGCTGTGTCTGTAGACTGCCGAGAGTGTGACGATAACGGAAGGGTGGCTCTTGATGCAGACTGGAGAGCATTCAGAACCTGTCTGACTGGAGAATTTGAGCCGGGTTTTTCAATAGGAACCTCTGCAGCTTTTTTGGTTTCAGCACAAACAATTTTTTCTGTCACATCATGTGTTTTAGGAACATCCGTCTCACTTTGTGAAATAGCATTTTCTCTCAGTGTGAGTGAACGAGAGGTCTCTGCTTCTGGATCTTTGTTCTGGATTGCAAAAAAAGCTAAGGTCTGCCCAAGAGGAGGAGCTTGGAAATACTCATTGCGGACCTCCGTTTCTAGCTTCAGAACATTGGTGTTCTCTGGAGCTGACTTCCCATTCATATTTCTATCTACTGCTTTAACATCTCCATCAGTTTTTTCTTTATTCTCAGCATCAGGTTCATCTTTGGACTCCTGGATTTTTGTCTTCACTGCTTCTCTTTCTGACTCAGTCTCCAGCTTCTTCATTCCAGCCTCTTCCTCAAGAATGAGGAGTTTTACATCTTTTCCTTTGGATCCACCTACAGTGGGATGACTTCTTCCTGCCTCTGATCCAGCTGGCGTTTCGCTGCTGAAGGCTTCTAACGTTCCAGCTGTCTGCTGAGAAGCTGCAGGTTCTGCTGCTGACTCGGTTGCAGGAGGATGGTCTGAAACTAGATGTTCAGTGGAGGAGAAAAGCCGAGTGTCTTTTTTAAGGCTGCTGTGTGTTGTTTCATCTCCTTCGGCCTCAACCGATTCAAAGACCTTGAGACCAAAAAAAAAAGTACTGAAACATCACAGCATATGTGTCTGCATCTTTTATCCCACGCAAGTTTTAGTTAATGTTGGGAAATTGTTTTTAAATATTACTTTCTGTTGCAATTTGCATGAAAATAAACAGCTAAACTTGCATAGTGTTTTAGTTTAGTCATGCATATACCTGTGCACTGCTGGAATCACTTTGTGAGGGGACGTTCTGCTGGTCTGAGCTGCTGCTCAGAGACGACTATAGCATCACAAGACAAAAGCAGAACCTTCAGTTAGGACATTTTCTCATTCTTCTAAATAATTTGTATGTTTTTCTTGAACGTTAGAACTTGCATCTGTGCTGATGGTGGAGTCCCGCTGGACAGGTCCTCGTTCCACACTTGCTCCTGACAAACATCGCGCCAGAGCCTCGGCGTGCTTCTCTCTCTCCCTCTGACGGACGATGACCTCACAACCCTGCCACTCCTTCATCGTCTGTTCGTACATGGTCCGCATCTGCTCGTCGATCTGTAGACCCGCAGATAATAGATTAGAGAACAATCTGGAGTTTTGTGCATTTGTCTTGGAAGATGGAACCAGCAGGAAATACCTCCATCCTGCATTTCTGTGTCGTGTTTAACTGGTAATGCCCCAACAGGAAGGGCCACACTTCTTTGCGAAGCGACGGGGTCACACCTCCAAAATACACAAGCCTGTGTATCTCCTTTTCCTGGAAGGCCTACAAAATGAGTGACTTTTAGTTTTAATATTCGCTGAAAAGAAAAATAAATAAATCAAGAACAGTGACATGAGTCTTACAGAGCTGTCCTCGAGGAAACGGGCCCAGACCTCTACAGTGAGCCCACCTTGAGAATCACAAGGTTCACCTGGGTCAACTATGGTTGTGTTAACCAATGCAGAGAGGTGTGTACGGACTGTGGACAGATGGCGGCAGTACGCAAGCCCTGCAGAGAAAATTTAACTACATGTATTAAATGACTGATTAACTGAATAAATCAGCAGTACTGATCATGAAAAACATTAAAATAGCACATCATGAATACTCACATCCATAGAATGCACGAGAGATTATTTGGTGTTTCATTGTATCGCAAAGGAGCTTTATGGGAGCCCTGTTAAGGTCAGAAAATGGTAAACTTAGTCAAGTGGAATAATCTGAAGGTCAAACTGAGTCAGTCTCTTGGAAACGCTCACCTTTCATGATTGCAGCCATTCGGCAGAGAGCCATCGGATGAGCCGTTCTGCGAGCAGGAGGAGCACGATGACTTTCTGGGGGTTGGCTGCCACATGTTTATGCCCTGATCCATCATCTCCAAGGGCACTGCACAGCAGAGGAGTTCTTATCATTACTATTGCTCTTATAACAGCATGAAACAAACAACAGAAGAATGAAATGTCAACTGATTTGGACACAGCTTATATCTGCAAATACTAACAACCAAGCAGAAAAAGGAAAGGGGGGAAACCCCATGCTAGGGCTTCTTATAGGGAACATATTAGGATTTTTAAAGTTATAATAGATCTGTGGTCAATACAACACAAGCTTGTTGCACTAAATCCCTCTCAGATAAAGTGGCAGTTCTATTCTTGACATTTTCAGCACCTTCCAGAATGAGCCGTTTCAGAGCTCTGTCACTTTGACCCCTCCTTCCACCGGAGCCGTCAGCAGCAAGTTACTGCAGCGGCACGTCTTGCTCGCGTATGCTGTTGCTTGGCCCTTCCCATGAGACGCGAAGCAGCAGGGGAGCAGCTGTCACCGACAGAGCACGAAGTCACGCGACATTAGCAAAATCACGCGTGACTTCATCAGTAAACACAACAACAAACAGGAGAAAACTACAACATGGCTCCAAAAGGTCCAAAACGTCGTCCATTATGGAAAAACAAAGGAGATCGCTAGCTAGGTGATGACTTTTTTTTTAAAGTAAAGCAACCGGAAGGCAGTATGTTTCTTTATTCTGAAAGTTTCCGCGTCCGATTTCCTGTCTTTCCTTCCCCAAAAATGTCAACTTGACCCGTTTCAGAGTCGTAGCGCGTAGAAAATAGAACCGGCGCGTAAGGGCCACGACATGCTGCTCCTGAGATGCGGCTGACTCGCGCTGCTGACGGCTCCAGTGGAAAAGGTTCTGTTGACCACAGCAGTTCCTATCAGCAGCTATGACGTGCTGCTGCAGTAACGTGCTGCTGACGGCTCCGTCACGGCTCCGGTGGAAAGGAGGCATAAGAAAACAAGTTGGAGGTGGCCAAACCCACTCATTCCCCACTTAGGCTGCTATAAGCTGAGAAGCTCTGATATCTGGGAGGGGCTTGGAGTAGAGCAACTGCTCCTCCAGCAACAGCTCTCTCTCTCGTTTCCCCCTTTGTGACATCACAAATAGGGACTTTTAAATAAGAGCTTGTTTTAGGCACATAATTTCTAAAACCAAACACTGACAGGAAATGGATGGACTTTTTTCCCACTATTGGAGTGTTAATAGAGGTAGTATAGACCCACATGGCAGCCCAAATAGATGCACACAGTGAGTTTTGCTTAAGTCCCATTTTTTTGACAAAACCATGAAAACAGACTCTAAAGTGCAGAAAGGGATTAATGGTGTAGAATATGTGCCAAAGAAAGAAGAATAATCTAAAAAGCAATGATTGGGAACCACGTACAGAGTGTGTGGAGCAATCATGGAAGTACTTTGAAATGCTTCTTTGGTGAATTATCACTGAGAGGCAGGACAAGAAGGTTAAAACGCTTACTGAAATCCATCTGATTGCCGGGAAAGATGATTCGAAACACATAATCAGTTGCTTCATCATCCTCCTTATCTGAGACGGAATCACACGAACTGTGAGGACTTCTCTTACGCAGTTTGGGGAAAACCTTTCCCTGCGAGGAAAACAATAACATCCATGCATAAATGAAGTCGATGATCGGTAAATGTTGTCTGGTGAATCATGCTAACTTTTCCTCGTTGATTCCATAACGGTGGATCCAGCTGACCATGAGGTAGCAGGCCAGTTTCAAGGCAGGTAAGAAACTGCAGCAGGTGACCCCCTTTGGGGAAATGAAGAGGAGGTCTCTGGATTCCATCTTGGCTCACCAGAACTACTGTCCCACCACAGTTCACTGGAAAAGTCACCACATAAAAGATGAATAATCCTTAAATCTGTATTGGGACATTTCAGTTCTTACCCTACCTTGCTGATGACAGTGGAGATACACAATCTCCTCCAAACGAATCGTCATAGCATAATCCCAATAAACACTATTTAAAAGAAATGTTAATATGGGTCATGTGGGTAAAAACAAAAGCTCAGTTTGCAATAGATCATGCCTTAACCTCTTTTCTGAGTCCAGCTCTCCAACATTTCCATTCATCAGCTGATTAGGAGTCCATTTTAGGGTCATGAGATCTGCAGTTTGATGAAGCGAAAGGTAGCCCGGTATGGCTTCCATTCCATCTTTCTGCAGGCAGAAGCGAAGCTTGGTAAGTCTCCACATTTGTCATTACAGCACCATTACGATCGGTTACTAACGAGATTATTAGAAAACCTGTCTACTGACTCAGACTAAAAGAAAACACATACACACCGGCTGCACCAGAACATTGTTCTTTCCAAACAGAAGTGTTGCTCTGGAGTTTTGGTGAAGAGATTCAACATATTCTCTGACCCACAGGAGGGGCCGGTCATCCATGCTGCCACTGGACTGCCTCTTCTGGATCTGGAGTAGGAAATCAGAGCCATTATTGGAGCATTGCAGATTGCTGTTGCTTTTTCCCCACAAGATCTGAATTGGATGCTTGACGATCGCACCAGAGCGGGCCTCCTGGAGGGAGAATCCTGCCGACAATGACCACTGTGGATTCGATGTCGCTGTACGAGCTCATCGGCAGACGGATCTGTCCAGAAATGGTCTGCGGTCTTCACCTTGGTGTACTCCAAAGCACAGGGGCCAACTGTAAAATGAGGTTAGTAGGTTAAATGTATTTTAAATGAATAATTTGCTGATGTTTTCACAACAGGAGGAAGTACCCAATAGAGAAGCAAGGATTGGTCCATCCACTGGATCCATCAGCATGGCTCCTTTATCATAAAATGCACTAAAGCGAAGCATTAAAACTCAATACACACAGAAGGTATTCTTTTTTAAAACTAAGGTTTTATAGAAATAATGTGTAAGGATACCTGCTGCTTTCCACCAGATACAGAACTATCTTGTCCAGGACTTTCTCCATCAAAGCCGTCCGTATCCATAAGTGTTTGAGGGCCTGAGGAGGAAGGTTAGGCAGCTTTGACATTCGGCTACGATCATTGCTCAGGGAGGAATTGTTCTGCTTGCTAAAACACAGAAAAAGAAACATTTTGTATTACTTTTATAGCAAAACAATTACATAAGCTCAACATAGGCATGGACGTAAATGCAGTAGTGGAGTTTCTGGGATTTCTTCGCACTCATTTCTTTGCAAGGCAAAGACGAGACAAGAAGGCTGACACTGCAAATTTCTGTCAGCTCTGTGGCAATGACATGACCTTTGCCCTGCTGGAAGTGAGTCACGCCAAATATTTGATGTCACTTGATCTCCTTTTGAATTCAGTCCCCCCTCCCCCCATGAATAATTTCAGATTTTGACATTCTATTTAAACTTCATCAGCTCCATCAACCATAAGAGTCAATGTAAATTTGGGATATTGTCCTGTCTTTAACCATCTAGTATGGTTTTAAGTTGTGATCAACAACCACAAAACGGTGTAGGTACGAGATCTGCATGAGGCCCTGTCCCTGCTGATGACATCACATGACATGAGTGGCTGGACATTGGCATGCTGACGTAGAAGATTATGGTTGGTCCAAACAAATTACAAAAATTATGTTGGCACATATAGGTTGGAAATGTAAGCACTTTATGTGCTCAGGTAACTAGAGGGTCGTAGTTCTTTTATAAAGAAATGCATTTTTAATTGATATTTGGTCCACTAAATTATCCCAGATTGTACACCATAAATAAATAAAACTCATGCAAAAGCTAATTTATGTCAGTAATTCAAGTTAAAAAGAAAAAATATACGAGATAGACTCATTACATACAAAGATAATATTTTTAAGCCTTTAACTGTTATAATTGTGATGAGTACAGCTTACAGCTTATGAAAGCACCACATTCAAAATCTCAGACAATTAGGATATTATGAAAAGGTTTTAATATTCTGGACTCAAAGTGTTGCACTCTACTCGGCTAATGAATCCAGAACACCTGCAAAGGGTCTCTGAGCCTTTAGATGGTCTCTCAGTCTGAGATGAATTACTGAAATAAATGGAACTTTTGCACCGTATTCTCATTTTTCCTGTTTCACCTGTAAATGCTAATTTTCACATTAATGAGTTCTGTGAGCAATTCTGTGATATCTGATATTGATATTAGTGCTTCAGCAAAAAATAAGAGCGGCACAACATAGTTTGTCCAAGTGGTATTCCTGTAGTGTGGTGACATCGGCAGGGCCTCGAGCAGATCTGGCACTTACAACGGCACCAGATGATGGTGCTGCCATTATTTAGCACAAAACAGGCACAACAGGTTAGCTTTAAAAAAATAACTAAAATGAAAAGAAGAATTTCACTCTATAGTGTCTTGCATGCAGAAAGTATTTCACCTGTTCTCAATAAGCTGCTCCAGCTCCTGCACTTTGCGACAAAGCTCTTCAGCAGGAGAGAAGGTCTTTGCCACCTTCATAAAGAGTGCTGCCACCTTATTACTGCACAGCAGGCCTGCGATACGACGTTTCAGCCCATGTAGCATGCACGCCTCTACCACAGCTACAAACACACAACCACAAGGAGCTTCGGTCGATGGGCTTCAGATGGACAGATATAATTCTGTGTAATGCACCTTCTATGGTTTAGCTTCATCTGCACAATCTACTCTTTCAAACTTTAATGTCTTTGTATTTTATTGATAATAATTTAAAAAAACATGAGGGGGCAAGCTCAGGTGGCACGAGTAGAAATGGGCTGAAATCCACACTGTCTGTGGTTGCTAGGATATGAGGGAGGTGAATCACATATGTCTCACTTCTAGTTAGCATCAACACCTCTGAAAGGCGTCAGTCTGCTTTAACATTCAGTTTACTTCACCTATCCACCCACTTACCTTATTAAATATGAAAAGATGTATATTTAAGGATCTTCTAGTGAGCAGATTTAGAGAATACATTTTAATTAGTGTCATGTACAATTCAACTGAGTACAAAGTGGCTATTGTTTAAATTAGAAAGGATCAGGCATTTTTTTCTACTATACAATTATAGTCTTCACCTTCACATTAATGTTATTTACAGATAGGAAAAAGGGAAAGCTGCTGTGAAGGTTTCAGTTCAATAGAAGAAAGCAAAAGAAAAAGGTTTACCGCAGAAGGATATAATGTGGCTGCTGTCTGCGTGCACAAATTTCCTCGTTACTGCCTCCTCCATAATTTGTTTCACCTAGAAGTGAGAGAAGTGTGCCATGAGAAAAGTCTTAGTCGGGGCAGAGATGCAGCAATAACAAGAGCTAAAAGTGAAGCAGCAGCTTTATTCTCTTCCAGTCAGAGCTTATGGCACAACGCCTACACAAGCAAATTCAGAAGCAGCTCGCAGATAGGATGAGAAAATGGAATTAGTGTCCTTATCCACTTAATAAACTTTAAATCTTTGTTTTATTAAGCACCCCAGATTCTCTAAAAGCACCACAAACTTCCTTTCAAAACATAAAATATGAGTATTATTTGTCCCCCCTTCAATCTCTTAAAATTGTAGTACAACAAAATACACACTTTGGTAATAAATAGTATCATCTAAAGTTCCAGTTCACTTTCTACATTATCAGCTATCAGTTTTGAGCATTTGGCCATGATAAATTCAAACCGGGCATCAGAATGGAGGAGAAAGATGTTTTAAGTGAACGTGGTGTGATTGATGGTGCCAGACGGGCTGATCTGAGTGCTTCAGAAACTATTGATCTACTGAGATTGTCACCTTCGACCTTCGACCTTCTCTGGGGTTTACAGAAAATAGTTCAAATGAAAGAAAATATGCAGCAAGTAGCAGTTATGTGATGAAAATGTCTTGTTGATGTCAGAGGTCAGATGAGAATGGGCAGCCTGCATCAGAAGGATAGAAGGACAACAGGAGCTTAAATAACCACTGGTTCTGACCAAGTTCAGCAGATCTGGACCATAACATGTCAAAAGTGTGGGGCACTCGTTTAATCAATCATTTGCAGTGGTGTTTAATAGGAATGAATGCCTTGTAAGTCGTACTCGGGGGGGGGGGGGGGGGGGGGGGGGCAGAAGTTCCTGTTTGGAGAATTCAGATGACAGGATTTGATATTTGGACATTTTGCCTCTGATTAGATAACAGCAACATGACTCTCCCACTGACTCAGTATGATCTGCAACTTTGATATTTTATCTCCACAAATGACGTAAGAGTGAAGGAGTTCTGCTGTGCGGTGGAGTTGCTAATGCTAACAGTTATCCCGGTTTCACACTGAAAGCATCAGCGGCGCGGAGCAGCAGCGGAACGTTGCTGCTTCAAATATAATTCATTATAGACTATGGAGTGTTTCAAACCAGCCGCAACGCAGCGATTCTGTGGCGTGTCCCAGAAGCGGCACGCCGCGCCTCTAAAGCTGGGGTCAGGTTCTATTTTTGCCACGAGCCACTTCTGGCACGCAACAATTTCCGTAGTTAACATAGAGCTAGACACAAAATCACATGTGGTTTCAGTTTAAAATCCCTGATAATTTTCAAAATAAGAGTGGTGCAACAATGTAATTTCGTAGTTTACGTGTGACCCAACAGCTTATTTATAAATGAATGATAAATGACCTGCACTTGTATAGCGCCTTTCAGAATCAGAGGACTCCAAAGCGCTTTACACTACATTATAGCCACAGCTGCCCTGGGGCACGCCGACAGAGGCGAGGCTGCCGAGCACAGGTGTCACCAGTCCCATTTATATATTACTCCCAATATCATTCCAGAAGTGCAGCTGTTTTTTTCATGGCTTTAATCCCTGCAGTGGAGAGGAACAACATCATATGTGACATCAAACAGTGATATCAAACGTGATTTCCTTCTTTTTGGTTTAATGAAAGATTGCATAAAAAACCATGACCTTTGACGTCTCAAAGCATCTTGTTATCTTGCGAGTCATTCGAAGAGAACAGCGAGGAAGCTGTACCGTGGCCAAGACTCTCCCAGTGTGAAACATTCACTAGTAAACCGTTCCGTTGCTGTATCGCTCCGCTTGATGCTGAATGGGGTTAGTGTGTAATTGCTAAGATGTTCTCTGTGACTTCCTGGAGACTAAACCAATAACAGCTTTCCCCGTCACAAGTCAAGATGGGTGAGTCCAAGAATGTTAAGCAACGGTGTGACAGATCTGTCAGGCTTTTCAAATCCTAGAGTTTCACCATCTATTTTCTATCAGAAGCTAATGCAGGAGATATGTGTAGGAGACTATTTTCATGTTCATTCTGCATGTTAAACTCACAATGACTGATTATAATCAGAAATATCGATTAAAAAATTGTTTTCCTTTAAAGCTTGAAGCAGATGGATTCCAGTAGCAGACGACCACAGCAGGTGCCAACACTGTCTGATTAGAACAGGAAACCAAGTCTTCAAAACACACACAGGATCAACAGAACTGGACTAGAAGAGACTGGAAAAGTTTCTGATGAGTCTGGATTTCAGCTACAACATTCAAATGGTCGGGTCAGAATTTGGGAGTCACCAACATGAAAATATAGATCCATCCATAGCAGTACCAGCGTGTCATCTCTATGACCATATAGTCATATCTTCTGATGGCTACTTCAATGCACCATGTCACAAAACTCGGATCGTCTCTAACTGGTTTCTTGAACATGACGATAAGTTCACGGGACTCCAACAACCTCCAAAGTCAACACATCTCAACTTGAGAGGTAGCGGAGGACTCACATCATGAATGTGTAACTGTTGTCATGCCAGTATGGACCAGAACCTCTAGGGAATCTTCCTAACATCTTGTTGAATCTGACATGGTGAACTAAGGCAGTTCTGAAGGAAAAATGGGTGCCAACTGGGTGAGCAAAGTGTATCTGATGGTGAATGTCTGAAGCACAGAAAAGTCCCATTTCCATAGCTTATAATGTCCAATCCAACATGTATCAACATGAGTAAAACCTGTATCAGCCTCTCCTTGCTGCAGGATCTCAGCTAGAGCCATGGATTTTTTTAAAGGAGGCAATGAGTCACAGGTGAGGGTGAGCATGAACACAATAAAAGTGTGGAAGCTCCAGGTTCTCCTAATGAGAATTTACAAGCTCCAGTTTTTATTCTTTGGGTGTAAGCAGGCTGGATGTGGTGTACTCCGTGTTACTAGATTATGTAGTCAAAAATATTTTACCAAACTGGGATTGATTTGAGCTGATGTTGGAGTCGCCAAAATAAAAAAGAGCAAGGTCACATCTTGAAGTTTATATGATGCCTTTTAAATATAGGATTGTTTATTAAATAAAACTCAAACAGATCATGCAACTATTATTTTTCTCCATCAGTAGAGACAAATCTGTGCGTATATGGTTCCTCCACCAGTTTTATCACCACTATCGTCATCATCGTCGTCGTCGTCGTCATCATCTCAGCTTACGCCACTTCGGCAGCAGCAAGCATCAGACTGTGCGGTTCTGCTGCGGCTTTTTGTTATTTTCTTGACGCAAGGGATCTGTTGTTTTGATCATAAAAAGGCTCGTGGCGCGCGCGCGCACGTACGTACACACACACACGCACAGGTAAACATGAACAAGATAAGCTCTGAATAGAAACATGTACACAAACCTCCTTTTTCACATTGCGGAGCAGTTTCTGACGCGTCTCGGCCTCTGTCACAGGAGAAAACATGATGAATGTGCTGATCAGCTGCTGGCAGGAGAATTAATGATGATGCACGGCCGTAATACCTCCCATCGCTCCGGGCGGACAGCTGTCTGCTGATTGACTGGAAAAGCGAGCGAGACAGCACGGCTGGAAGAGCACAGAACCTCCGGGATGCGCGACGTGTTCTCGGGGACTAAATTAAACCTATCTGCTATCTCACCGCGAACCACCACCCCTTTAAAGTCACAGCGTTAAAATACTGACGCCGACACACGCGCCTTTGATGCGCACACACACGCCGTTTCTATCCATGGCACACAGAGCAACATATGTAAACACGTAAAAAAGCGTTTACTTTTTAAAAACATACTGATCCGTTTAGGGAAAGTGTTTTGTCCACAAAAATTTAAAAAAAAATCTTTAGTCACGTTTCTTAAAGGAGCACGTTTCCAAAATGTGCAACTATGGAAAAACACCTAATTTTACCTAACATTGTAAGTAAAAATATGAAATATGAATGTCAAACACCTAAACTATCCTAAAAGAGGATAAAAAGATTTATTAAGTGGTCACAGTGGACAGCAAAAGCAATTTTTTTTTCTTTTTTTTTTTCTCTCTCATTATTTTTTGTGTGGGTATTGGTCAAGGGGAAAATCCAGCTGCCAATAACTGAAGCATCTCCTTCTGGTTGGACGAGGACAACTTCACCAGGGAGGCATCCTATGCCCGAGGCACCTCAACTTGCTTCTCTTGATGTGGAGGAGCAGCAGATCTACTCCGAGCCCCTCCCAGATGACCAAGCTTCTCACCCTATATCACCTGCCACCCTGCAGAGAAAACTCAATTTGGTCGCTTGTATCTGCAATCTCGTTCTTTTGGTCACTACCCAAAGCTCGTGACCATAGGTGAGGGTAGGAAAGTCGATCGACCGGTAAATCAAGAGTTTCGCCCTCCAGCTCAGCTCTCTTTTCACCACGACAGATTGGTACAACGCCTGTATCACTGCAGACACAGCAGCAATCCACCTGTCGATCTCACGCTCCGTCTTTCCCTCGCTCGTGAACAAGACTCAGAGATTTTTAAACTCCTCCATTTGGGGCAGGACCTCATCCTTGACCCGGAGAAGGCATTGTACCCTTTTCTGACTTAAGACATGGTCTCTGGATTTAGAGGAGCTAATTCTAATCCCAGCTTTTTCAAACTCGGCTGTGAAATGCTCCAGCGAAAGCTGGAGATCACGTTCTGATGAAGCCATCAGGACCACATCATCTGCAAAAAGCAGAGACCCGGTCCTCAGGTCACCAATTGGATCCCCTCAGCACTTTGGCTGCATCTTGAAATCCTGTCTATAAAAGTTATAAACATAATCGGTGACAAAGGGCAGACTTGGTGTCACGACGTGCAGGTGTGGTGAGCGGAGGTGAGGATCCAATCGCAGGGGAAGAAGCAGGCAGGCAGGCAGGCAGACAGGAACATTAAAACGAGGATTTAATAAGGAACACGCGGGACAACGAAACAATAAACTGACAAGACACAAAGAACTGAGAGGGTTTAAATACATGAAGAGCTGGGAGCTTGGGTGATTGGAAAACAAGAGGCAGGTGGGAGTAATCAGGAGACACAGGACTGAACAGAGTGGGGAGACAGGACAGGTGTGAGAGTACCCCCCTCCCCAGGAAAGGGCGGGGCCGGACGCCCAACACAGGCCAAGAGGGAGTCCAGGGGGCCGGCGTCTGGGGCACAGGAGGCGAGGCCTGCGTCTGGGGGGCCGGCGTCTGGGGCACAGTAGGCGAGGCCAGAGTCTGGGGGGCCGGCATCTGGGGCACAGGAGGCGAGGCCAGAGTCTGGGGGGCCGGCGTCTGGGGCACAGGAGGCGAGGCCAGAGTCTGGGGGGCCGGCATCTGGGGCACAGGAGGCGAGGCCAGAGTCTGGGTGGAGGCACCGGACGTGGCGGCGACGACTTGGCCTGGAGCGCCGGGTGTGGTGGTGACAACTTGGCCTGGAGTGCCGGACTTGGCGGCGACTGGACATGAAGCACCGGACTTGGCGACAACTGGACTTGAAACGGAGCCGCTGGGGGCGGAGCCTCTTGGACAGGCGGAGCCACTGCCTTGGCTGGCGGCGCTGGACATGGCACTGATGGCTTGACTGGAGGCGCAGGACGTGGCGCTGGCTTGGCTGGAGGCGCCGGACGTGGCGCTGGCTGGGCCGGGGGCGGAGCCTCTTAGACAGGTGGAGCCTCTTGGACAGGCGGAGCCTCTTGGATAGGCTGGGTCAGGGGCGGAGCCTCTTGGACAGGCTGGAGGTGCTGCTTCAGGCGGTGATGCTGGCTGGACTGGAGGCGGTGCCGCTGACGGGATTGGAGGCAGTGCCGCTGACTGGACACGAGGCGCTGACTGGAGTACCGCCTCCTGGAGAAGCAGGGAGGACAGAGCGTCCAGCCAAAACTCCAAGGGAACACACTGCCAGTCTGGTGCCCAGAAAGCCGGAGCGGTTCAGCTGCGGCTCCCAGCCCAATCTCCCATCTGGCTCCAGGAGGGTGGAGAGGATCGCCGAGGCCGAGGTTCGACGGCGGCGTCTGCGGCGAGGTGGTGGTGGAGGGGATGGTGCGAAGCTGAAGCTGGTGAGCCCTGGGAGCAGACCGTCCCAGGGCAGGACTTCCCCGCTGGATCCTTCAGGAGGTCGGTTCATTTTGTCACGACGTGCAGGTGTTGTGAGCGGAGGTGAGGATCCAATTGCAGGGGAAGAAGCAGGCAGGCAGACAGACAGGAACATTAAAATGAAGATTTAAAAAAGGAACACGCAGAACAACAAAACAAAGAATTGACAAGACAACAGAACTGAGAGGGTTTAAATACATGAGGAGCTGGGAGCTTGGGTGATTGAAAAACGAGAGGCAGGTGGGAGTAATCAGGAGACACAGGACTGAACAGAGTGGGGAGACAGGACAGGTGTGACACTTGGCAGAGTCCAACTCTCACCATGAGTTCAACTTACTGCCGGCAATACAAACCAAACTCTGACACCGGTCATACAGAGACCTATCTGCCTTTATCAAAGGGCCTAGTACCCCATACACCTGAAGTATCCCCCACAGGGCCCCCAGAGGGTTGCCGTCGAATGCCGTTTCCAAATCCGCAAAACACATGTAGACTGGTTGGGCAAACTCCCACGCACCCTTCAGGACCCCCTAAGGGTATAGAGCTGGTCCAGTGTTCCACAGCCAGGACGAAAACCACATTGTTCCTTCATAATCTGAGGTTTGACAGTCTAACGGACCCTCTTCTCCAGAACCCCTAAATAGACTTTACCAGGGAGGCTCAGAAGTGTGATCCCCCTGTAGTTGGAACACACCCTGTGGTCCCCCCTTTAAATAGGGGAGCCACCACCCCAGTCTGCCAATCCAGTGAAATTGCCCCCTATGTCCATGGGATATTGTAGAGCTACGTAAGCCAACGCAGCTCTTGCCACCGAGAAACTTTTTAAATGCCTCAGTGACCTCAGCACCAGAGATTGGAGAGCACAACCCAAAGTCCCTGGACCTTGCTTCCTCATTGGAAGATGTGCCAGTGTGATTGAGGAGGTCCTCCAAGTACCACACCAATCACAGCGTCCCAAGCAGAGGTCAGCAGCACAACGTCCCCAGTGTTGGAAGGGCACTGCTTTCCCCGCCTTAGGCGCTGGATGGTGGACCAGAATCTCCTCGAAGCCATGTATAAGTTTTGCTTCATGGTTTCACCTAACTCCTCCTGCGCCCAGGACTTTGACTTTGCATTCCACTTGGACTGCCGGTATTTATCAGCAGTGTCTGAAGTCCCACAGGACAAAAAGACCTGATACGACTCTTTCTTCAGGAAAACAATTCCAAAAACTGACATAAAATGGATGGAAAGGTTATATCTGGAGTTTATATAGAGGTATTAGAGACTCACGCAACAGCACAAAGTTATGCAAAAGTGAATTTTGCAGTTTGCATAATATGTCACCTCAAAGAAACAAATCCTGATGTCACAAATATGAAAGGGTAAAAAAACACATTAAATATGCATGAAAAGTATGTTTGATAAAACTAGTATAAAAAAGGGAAACAGGAAGCAAGTACACACGCACGCGCGCACACACACACACACACACACACACACACACACACACACACACACACACACACACACACATTTATTTAGATAGCTGAATTGCTAAAATAAACTAAATGGCCAAAAAGACACGTAAAAGATGTCAACTGAACAAAGGCCCAAGACTAATTAAGTGGACCTAAAACTCCACCTGAAATGTGAAATTTAAGAACTGGTCCAAAAACCAATACAAATATATAAAATAGTGAATGTTAAAAAATATATACATAACCTTTAAAAGAACCTCATAGTTATGTGTTTCACCGACCTTCCTTTTGGAAGAGTCAGTTCTCTTCACAAAACACAACCTACTGTATGTTTTGGTACGATGTTTTGCTAAGAAGATATAACCATTTTAGGTTAACATGTGAATTACTTGGCACAGAGTGGCAAATAGTTTTACAAATCTGTTTAAGAAGTGCAAAAATATGTAAAAAGAAAAAAAAGATTTGACCTGAGTCACTCACTGTGTTCGTTAAAATTATTTGCTTACTTGCTCATCCTCAGCATAACGTGTGGTTTATGAAACCAACAACAACAAAAAACGCTTGACAAGGTTTATCAGCTTACTGAATCACTGCATTCCATTTTTAGCTTTCTAATTAAGACCAGACAATTAATATCAAAAGATATAAAAGGGAACATTTTTAACAATTGCTAAAGACTTTATCTGTATGCTGTACATGCTGCACCAAGCGATATGATCTTTGGCTAAAAAGATAGGAATCGAAGGAAACAAGGAAAGGAAGCGAACAAGGAGGCGCAAATGAGGTTGCTTGAGAGTTGGAATGAGACCTCGCTTTGTTCAATAGAGGGAGGGAGAGAGGCACGATAGCTTGTTATTTACCTAGTAGCAAGCTGTCTATCAGGACGGATTACTTGTACTTTACCTCGAACATATTTGCCCTTTTTGGACTTTGAAGGTTTTTTTATGCGGGGATGTCCAAGCGAGTGCGAAGCAGAGAGGTCTGCGCTGATTGCAGTGCTCCTGGTACGAGTCCAAACAATCTAGCCTCGCTGTTAGCCGCTTAGCTAATTAGCTAGCCTTGCCCACAACTTATTTCTTAAGTCCGATTAGCGAAACTAGTTAACATTACCGAACGGTGACAAGTCACTAGCGTTTGTTTTACTGTCTTACTTGACTCGTTAGTTTGTCAATGGTGTTTAAACACAAGTCTGTTGAAAATAGGAAAACCCGTTACTGTTAGCCAAAATTCTTGTTTTGTTTTGTTCAGCTCGAGTTGGTGTTTAAAGGCGTGTGTAACGTCGTTATCCGCGTGTTATGACTTTCTTAGTTTAACAAACATGGTATGTGTGTGTTGTAGAGCCACGCTGGGCCTCTGTTAACAGGGGTGTGTTGATCTGTGATGAGTGCTGCAGCATCCATAGAGGTCTCGGGCGACACAGCTCTCAAGTCCGACATCTGACTCATTGTCCTTGGCCACCTTCTCAGCTGCAGGTAGGAGGAGGACATACTCCAGGAAATGATTCAATTTTAGTTCAATTAAATTATATGTTGTTTTCCAGATGTTCATGGCTGTGCACATGTCTTGACTCATCCCTGTCACTTTTCTTTTACAAGTCACACTGTTGTTTCTCAAGCCATATAAACTCGGATCTGTGAATCTTTCGTATATCAAAAAGTTACAAGTTTCAATAACTTTTAACTTATTGGATATCTTAAATAATATCTGTTTTTTTCCTTCCTTTCTTTCGTTCTTTATTTGATTTAGATTTTTTCGTAGGTCATTTACCGTTTTCAGGTTTTAGCAATAACGAGAAATGGATTTTCACACCAGTGAAGCTCTCATTGTACAATTTATCGAGACATTTCAGGCCCCAGTTGTCATCTTTAAATAGTCAGACCAGAGCCACATGATAAAACACATGTTGAAAAACTGTCTAGGTACATATTCATAATCTCAAAACCGTGGTAAGATATGTTAATCAATTACACAATGGGAATTAGACTGATGTGTGGATTAGAGATTGACTGAAATGGGGTTTTTCAATTTCTGATGCTGATATGTGCAGCAGATTATTTTGACTTTGACTTATTTTTATGGACAATATCTAGATGATTTCTACCCTATTTACATACTAAAATGTCACTAATGACAACAGTGGATGCACATTTTTTTAATTTAACCAGCTGTTGAATCCTAAATGTAAGTTGATAATAATGTTATGAAGCTTAAGCAGAAGTTATTTACACAAACGTAAATACTAGGGATGTTCCGATCACGTTTTTTTGCTCCTGATCGATTCCAAGCCATTTGATTTTAAGAATCTGCCGATAGCGAGTGATCGGACCGATTTTTGATCACATGATCAGATCGGAGCATCCGTAGTAAATACACATTTAAATAAAAATTGGCAGCAGCACCATGCTTCCCTCGCATGTGCCTGACTTTGTATCAACTCTGATGGTCGATGTCGACATATCGTCCCTAGTGTGGATCTATTCATTACTATTTCACAGGTTATAGTTTTCTGATCCTGCACCCACTCTTAAGAGAAGACTTTTGGATGTGCATATTTGACTGGTATTTATTTGTTACTTATGAAAAATACCAAAGACAACAGGACAGTTTGATGCACACAAAATACTTTCTGTACCGATAAGTTTTTTCTCTTACATGATTTAAGTTGATTAGTTGATGGATCAGCTGAAGGGAGGTACACGCTTCTGCAATGGATACTTTAAGTTATGATGTCCAAGATGGCGCCACAGATGGATGCCCTTGTACTTAGGTGTGCTGTTTTTGCTTTGCTTTTGTGTATAAATTGTGTGTCTGGGTTCTCCTATGCCAGAGAAGAACTCATAAGCTACAACACTACGATACTGGTGGATCTATCTATTGATTTTTGCTGCATCCGCGACAGATTTAATACCAACTTTGATCAGGAGATAGAGACGCAGAAGGAGAGGAAAACAAGCAGTGCACTCGTGCGTCTGAGGAGACGGGGATTACACACAGCTCTACCTGGGATCTTCCACTCTTAACGTGCCCTCACTCTGCAACAAAATGGACATACTGCCACTGATGTGAAACATAAACGGAGACTTTTCCTCATCTTGTGTCTAATGCTACACGGAAGTGTGGCTCAGTGATGACACCCCAGACTGCGCCCTCCAGCTGGAGGGGTTTCATCTCCGCACCGATCAGCAAGCGGCTCTCTCCGGCAACACCACGGGTGGAGGTGTGTGCTTTTACATCAATAATGGTTGGTGTACAGACGTTACAACTATATCAGCATTGCTCTCCCTTTCTGGAATATCTTTTTATAAACTGTAAACCGTTTTACTCTACCTATTGGTAGAGTGTCCGCCCTGAGACTGGGAGATCAGGGTTCGATTCCTGGTCGGGTCATACCAAAGACTTTGAAAAAATGGGACCCAATGCCTCCCTGCTTGACACTCAGCATTAAGGGGTTGGATTGGCGGGTTAAACCACCAAATAGTTCCCGAGCACGGCTGTGTCTGCAGCTCACCGCTCCCCCAGGGGATGGGTCAAATGCGGAGAACAAATTTTGCACACACACCTGTGTGTGTGACAACTAATGGGACTTTGACTTTACTCTACGGGAGTTTGCTTCATTCATTCTAGCCGCTGTTTACATCCTGCCAGACGCGGACATGCACAAGTCTCAGAGCGCGCTCGCGGAACAGATGTTGGTCATGAAGTGGGCGTACCTGGACTCCATCATTGTTCTGGGAGATTTTAACAAAGCCAGTGTTAGCCAGGAGCTTCCCAAATATAAATAGTATATTAAATGCCCAACCTGAGAGAAGAAAACCCTGGACCACTGTTACAGCACGGTAACAGGAGCCTATCACGCAGTGCCTCGTGCTGCGCTCGGACTTTCTGACCACGTGACCATCCATCTGATCGCTGTGTACAAACAAAGGCTAAAACTCTCCAAGCCTGTTGTGAAGTCAACAAAACATTGGAACAATGTTGCTGTAGATGAGCTTTGGGACGTAATGAGGGCTGCCTCCTGTAATGCTCAGGACAGCATCATACCATCGTGCACCAGGGTGAGTTGTAACAGCGACAAAGCCTGGTTTACCCCAAAACTCAAACAGCTGTGGTTGGCAAAGAGAGAAGCTTTAAAAGTGGGGACAAGGACTTCTACAGACGCTAAGTACAGGTTCAGCAGGGAAGTAGTGATAGATAAACACTAGCACTATGATAATATGCAGCAGCAGATATCTGAGAACGACTCAGCCTCCGTGTGGAATGGTTTCCAGAAAATCACCAGTTAAAAACCCAAATCCCCTGTGGCTCTGACATCTGTAGTCATGAAGTCATTTGAGCACCTGGTTCTCTCCCACCTCAAGACTCTCACAGCCCCCCTCCTGGACCCCCTGCAGTTAGCCTACAGAGCTAACAGATCTGTAGATGATGTCATCAACATGGCTCTACACTTCATCCTGCAGTATCTGGACTCCCCGTGTGTCTACGCCAGGATCCTGTTTGTGGACTTCAGCTCTGCCTTCAACACAATCCTCCCAGACCTTCTCCAAGACAAACTGTCCCAGATGAACACACCTGACCCCCCATGGATCACTGACTTCCTGACGGACAGGAAGCAGCAAGTGAGGCTGGGGGAAAATCTCTTGGGCCTGCGGACCATCAGCATTGGTTCCCCTCAGGGTTGTGTTCTCTCCCCTCTGCTCTTCTCCTTGTACACCAACGGCTGCACCTCCAACCATGAGTCTGTCAAGCTTATCAAGTTTGCAGATGACATAACCCTGTCTGACACTCCCGTCACAGTGGTGGACTCGTCACTTCCTGGGCATCACCATCACCCAGGACCTCAAGTCACCATCACCCCCATCATAAAAAAGGCCCAGCAGAGGATGAACTTCGTGAGGCAGCTGAAGAAATTCAACCTGTCAGTACAGTCTGGGGCAGTTCTACACCGCAATCATCAAGTCCATCCTCACCTCTTCAGTCACCGTGTGGTATGCTGGAGCCACCATCAGGGACATTAAAAGAATGCAGTGTGTCGTACACTCTGCTGAGAAGGTCATTAGTTGCAAACTCCCCTCTATACAGGACCTGTACACCTCCAGGACATTGAGGCGTGCAGGTCGGATAACAGCTGACCCGTGTCACTCTGGACACAGTCTCTTTGACTCGCTCCCATCTGACAGAAGTCTCAGATCCATTCAGACTAGAACTTCTCACCACAAAAACAGTTTCTTCCCATCTGTGGTCAGACTCATGAACGACAATCGTTTCAGTCACATGACCCTGTGTTGTGTTTGTACCTGAACTGATCTGCTCTGACCAGTACCTATACTGACTTGTATAAAGTAGCTGCTTCTCTAATTATTGTTTCCCTATATTATTATCATGCCATTGTGTTTATTTCTGAATTCTAATTTTTGCATATCATTTAAAAAAATGTTTTTTTGTGGCACCTAGTACCGCAGCAATTTCCTAATGTTGATATTCTCGCACACATGGCAATAAATCATTCTGATTCTGAAACAACATTTTTGTCCTTTTTTCCTCTTTTAATGTAAAACCTGCACACTATTCTGGAAAGGTCAAGAACAAGGCCTGGGCAGAAAAATAGAAGCCAAATATCAAAGGAATGTTTTTTAAAAAACAACTTAAGAAAGCAAAAAAAAAAAACAAAAACAAATAAACAATAGATGAAGACTTTTTTTTTTAAAGATTGCAAGAAAGTTTGACTCCTTAGTTTAATGCTTAATGGTGCTATTGGCTTGTCAAGAAAACATATGTAAATTCATATTTGTAAATAAAGCTTTATAACTTCAGCCTATTGTGTTATTACTGCTTTAGATGGTCCAGACATTGTATGGTAATGGAGCAAATTCCATATGGGAGCACAGCCTTCTGGATCCTTCCTCTTCAGTCAGTGGGAAGCGCAAAGCCAACCCTCAGGATAGAGTTCAGTAAGTATTGTCATTTTTAAGGTTTTGATGTGTCACTAAAGAGTTGATTTGCTTGCTTGTACTTTGTGTGAAGCTCTGCTGGCAACATGGGTGTTCATATTTAAGGTCAGTGACAAAGCGTAATTGGCCCTCATGACTCAGAAAACGTCCTCTATCCTTTCCCTACACATGAGATGGTGCAAAGCCAAATTAGCCTAACTTATGTGTAAAATTATTGGTATATAAAGGGGGAGAAAAGCGTTGTTTAATATCAAATGGGCTGTGCAATATGGCAAAAATTTCATATCCCTATATAGCTCATTTTCTATTCTTTAAACGATATACTTAATGATTTAGCATTATCTCTTTTAGTTCAATTCAGTTCGTATCTTGGATCGAGTGTTTGCACCAACTCACAAAGCCCACGTTTCTCAGCCGTGTAGATTGGAAACATACCTTTGCAGATGTGCTTGGCAACTGCAGTAGAGATCTCCTTCCTTCCATCTCCCGGAGCTGTGGTGATTATGGTGTGCCACGGGTAAACGCCTGTTGCAGAGCCTGTGTCTGGAGTTATGAGCATTTACGCTACCATTTGACACTTCTTGTACGGCTTTTGCTTGTTCATACTCTGTATTCTTTTTCGTGGTTCTTGCACAGGTGGTAAATTAAATTTGTGGTGTTGGAGTTTGTTGTTGGCACAGAGAGCTGGCAAACTTTACAAACAACTGTTTTCTGGTCCACGTCAGCGTTCCTATATCCAAACCACATCCATGCAACAGAAGATGCCCTTAGATACAAGCTCATCTGTTTGGGATGGCATGTCATCCTGTTGAAAATTACCCTGGTCTGAACCGCATCCGCTACTGTCGTCCTCCATGTTTGTTTATACATGGCTAGCATGCATGGGCTTGCCGTAAGGTGCATCTTGACCTACAACACTGGCATAAAACGCCTAACCGTGGTGTAAACAATAGAGCTTCATGTAAAACAATAGACATTTCCTATCTTACAGACGAAATATTTAGTCATATTGCCCAGCCCTAATAGCAAATAGAAGATTATTAGATTAAAATAAAAACAGAATCTGGAGAACAGATATGTGATATACGTAATCACATCCATTCCTAGGTATAAACATTGTATTGGTCTTGGAGTGAAGATAAGCATTCACACAGTTGTGCTGAGTCTCTCTTGCAAGCAGAGCAAACATGTTCAATCAGTATAAAACAGGCAGGAGTTGTAAGAACTTTCCCAGAAGCTTTTACGTGGTTCAGGAAATAACCACTAAAGGAAGAATAAATGAGTTCCTGTTGGTCACAAAAAAAATGTATCTACCCGTCGACACAGAGCCTACAGCTTCTGCTTCAGGTCGCGTGTTTCATGATTCACAGAACAATGAAGAACTCTCATCAGTGGACATGCTGCTGTGTTAACAACAAAGCATCTAAAGTGCAGTAACATTATTTAACAATCAGAGACCCAAGTTTGAATAGAAAATATAGATTTGGTATATTTTTGAAAAATAGCCAAAACCGTGCATTTAAATTTGCACTTGCTGATGTAAAATTTATTTGTCTTGATCACAATGTGCAAATTATTTTACACAATAATCAGTAAATTGGTGCTGAAGGCTTGGGGTGATCTGATTTCACATGTGGTCACGCGCTGTTTTTGTTTTTCCAGTCCTAACAAGACGGAGTTCATCAAGGCTAAGTATCAGATGTTAGCTTTTGTCCATCGGATGCCTTGTCGAGAGGATGACAGCGTAACTGCTAAAGACCTCAGTAAAGTAAGTTATTGTGTTCCCTGAGATTTCCATTAGATTTTTTTTCTCCACTAATAATATTAGTTGCAGAAAGAACCCATTGTTGTTCCAACTTAATTAGTGTTGTAGAGAGAGTCGTGGGCTGATTAAAATGAGCCCTGATTTGTTTCTGTGCTTCACAAGAATACAGGAAGTTTATTTCACATAGCTTCATATCAATCTAGTTCCTCTTTATTGGTAATACAGAAACAGTTTAATCTGTTTATTTCTGTCTGTTCTGTTGTGACATTATTCCTGTTATTTCCTCTTGAACATCAAAACCTAAAACAGGGTTTGCTTACAACAAACGATCACACTGTTTTACTTAGGGTATGTGTTTTTTGTAAAGTCTTACAATCACCCCTTATTCCTAATTTTAAATGATTATTAACCCCTTCTGATCTTAAAGCATCCAGACTGAGTATCAGGATCCCTAATTTGATCACAACCTGCCATATCCAGTCCTGTACATGTATACTGTCCTCTGGTGGAGGATCTAGAGGGGGACAAGGACAGTTTTATTTAGTCAATACTGTGATGTTATCACATAAAAAAGACAGATTATTATGTAGTTATATTAACATTATCCAATAAATAGTTCTATTTTGAATTTAATTTTTAAAATAATTCAATATTTCAGACTTAAAAGGTGTGGAACACCGAAAAAATATTTTTAAAGATAATTTCTGATTATATTTGGTCACTCTGGGTTTTTCATACAGGCTGACCATGAAAACAGTCTCCTACACCTATCTCCTGCATTAGCATCTGATAGAAAATAGACGGTGAAACTTTAGCATTAGAAAAGTCCGACATATCTACATCACACTGTCACTTAGCATTCATGGCCTCATCCACGACAAGCATGGCTGTTGTTGTTTTAGCCTCCAGGAAACATCAGAGAACGTTTTGGCTAGTAGAAGCTAACTGTTAGCATTAGCTACTCCACCACACGGCAGAACTCCTACAGGCTTATGTTATTTGTGGAGATAAAACATCTGTGTTTAAAAGCAAACAGAGTTGTGTTGCTGTTAGCCAATCAGAGAGGAGATGTCCAAATATCAGGAAATGAGACTTGTCGTGTTCAGCTCTCCCCGGATGTGGAATTCTGCTAGTTCCTGAAACGGGTGCATCGGAGCTTTTTTCTCCAGAGTACGACTTACAGGGCATTCGTCTCTGCTAGAGACCTCTGCAAATGTATTGATTAAACAAGTGTTCTACGCCTTTAAGAGATTAATGTGTTTGACTTTAGACTATGTGTGACTATATGGTTAAAACACAACAAAATGCTTGATTTCCTTTCAGCAACTTCATTCCAGCGTTCGAACGGGGAATCTGGAGACCTGTCTCAGACTCTTATCTTTGGGAGCACAAGCCAACTTCTTTCATCCTGTAAGTCCAGAGGAATTTAAAAAAAACAACAACTTCATGCTCGATATTTAGTAATTAGAAAGTTGAAGCATTGTTTGATGTAACTTTAGGAAAAAGGCAACACTCCACTACACATAGCAGCAAAAGCAGGTCAGATTCTGCAGGCGGAGCTGTTGGCTGTTTATGGAGCTGATCCCGGAGCCCTGGACTCCAGTGGAAAGACCCCCATTGATTTTGCAAGGTATATCAAGATTTTCAATTTATCACTTTGTTGTTCTGATCTTTATTTCTACAGTTGCAATTAATATAACAAACATTTTTACTGCTGTTAAAATGATCCAACCAGCAGTGAAACTGCGAGCATCACTAGTTTGGTGTGCTACAGGAAATGAGACACATCCTGTAAGGTCCTGAATGGTAGATTAGGTTATAAAAATAATAGGTGCTGAAGTTTTTTCTAGCAACAAGTAAGTTTCTTGTGGAGCAAATTTTGTTTGATCAAAAATAATTTATACAATGATTTAATCAAAGTTGTGGTATGTATAAAACACTGTTGGGGTAGTAAATGAAAAAAACAATCAATGAGATAAAGACAAAAATGAACCTGAATAGTTTTTCTAAATTGTCCGAACATTTTATCATCAACCTTGTTCCCCTTTTTTTGTTGTGATGCATTTCAAGTTCAAACTAACGGCATAATAATAATAATAATGCATTGAACTTATATAGCGCTTTTCTAGACACCCAAAGACGCTTTCACACACACTCACATTCACACACTGCTAGTGATGGTAAGCTACTTGTAGCCACAGCCGCCCTGGGGAGGTCTGACAGAGACGAGGTTGCCATTTGGCGCCGTCGGCCCCTCTGACCACCACTAACACAGGCAATTTGGGTGAAGTGTCTTGCACAAGGACACAACAGCAGGATACCCCTGGCGGGAGCTGGAATCGAACCCATGACCCTCCGATCATGAGGCAACCCGCTCTACCACCTGAGCTACTGCTGCCCCGATATAATGATGTTACACATCCCACCGAGGCACGTTTTTTCCAGCACAGATTCAAGCCCTTTCCATCAGTAACAGGTTCGTGGTTGCCCACCACCATCGCCCTTTTCAGTACGTACTACTCGGTGTGGTTTCAAGGTGTCGAGGCAGAAAATGGAGCATAAGCGACTGTTGGTTGCTGATTAGTTAGGGGGTGGAGTCGCTGGCTGCCCGCAGCCTTTTTCGAGTTTCTTCTTTTCAGAGTCTGAGAAAACTGGGGCAGCAGCAGCTCAGGAGGTACAGCAGATTGTCCAGTAATCTGAAGGTTGCAGGTTTGATCCCAGCTTTGACCAGAAAATGCTGCTGTTGTGTCCTTGGGCAAGACACCTAAGCCACCTTGCCTGCTGGTGGTGGTTGGAGGGACTGGTGGCGCCTGTGCTCTGCAGTCTCACTTTTGTCAGTGCGTCCCAGAGCAGCTGTAGCTACATCGTAGCTCATCATCACCAGGGTGTGAATAAATGACTGATTGTGTTGTGAAGCGCCTTCGGGGGTTGTAGAATCCTAAGAAGGTGCAATACAAATACAGGCCATTTACCAAAACACTACTGACTACGCAGAATATTCAACATCACCACTGTGTCCACCAGTTCTGTGTTGTGTTTGTGTCACGTACAGATCACCTTACGCTTCATGTTGAGTCGCCACCCTGCTATGACAAGCCCACTCATTAGAGCCGTGTCTGAGTTGTAACGGCAAGCTATCCAAACCGTGTAAAGCAGAGTTGATTTGAGCTGCTCTGAGAAGGGAAAATGCCTCATATGCCCCTCACGTTTGGTGTTTTTAACCCTCCCACTGTCCCACTATGGGTGACCCCGCGAGGAAAGTTGACCATTGAGCAGGATTGATGGTTTGTCCCTTGAGGTCCACGTGGTAAGGGTGAGGTGGTGCTCACTCGTCACCCCTGCCACTGAACTCAAGGGATAAACCATCAACCCTGCTCAATGGTCAACTTTCCTCGCGGGGTCACACCCATTAGGACAGTGGGAGGGTTAATGGAATGTAGCTTTTTCATATTTTTAAATCATTTTCTTGAGCCAATATGTGCAAAAATGACCCATTACATGATAAATGAAAGGCCACCCAGCCCCTATCGCCCTCTGTGGCCAGAATATTCCACTTGCAACTTCAGACTGGTGGCAGCGCTGTTGGGACTTTAAAAAAAATTGAGCTGACAAACCTGGTGCTGCAGTCTGGTTCCAGCATGTTTCCTGCATGTTTTAGATCATGAACACAGCTGATTTGTTTAATTTAGTGACAAACCACTGCTGTAGACACAAAGGAAGGCTGGGAGACATTTCAGCTTTTAGATGAAGGTGTTAAAAGACAAAGGCACAGCGAGTAGATAGGTTTTGCTTTTAGTTCTACAGACATTAGTTGGTGCTAATATCATGCCAAAACTGCTTAGTTCCCTTTGATTCTATCTCAAACACAGTGGTGTTTTTTGCCAGGAGTGAGGCAAAATCTGTGGTTTCACTTCAAAATAAACAAAAAGCACTTTGACAAGTATTTTGAATCTTACAATAAAAACAACAACAAAAAGAAACCTTGCCTTTCAGGACGGAGGAAATAGTTTTTCTTTTTTAGAACTTATCTACTTTCAAAAATGTATTTATTTTTGCTCACCTTCTTGTAGATCACAGATCTATCCAAGATCAAGTGAAAATCGAGCTATCTGGTGTATAAAAATGAATCCTTTAAAAGAAACCGTCTTGCCATTCAGAACATCAAGACTGAGACACGCACTGAATAGAGATCAATAATAAAATACTCACTGAAAATGTATTGATTAAATGAGTGAACACCTTTAAGGCCTTAAGGCCATTAAACCCTAGTTCTATCTACAGTTTATAATGTAAACATTAGGGATGTCCCGATCCGATCACATGATCGGAAATCGGCCCCGATCACGTGGTTTCAGACTCTGATCGGGACGCTGGCTTTACTTCCCGATCCGGGCTTGGATACTGGGTTCAAATTACAGGAGAACAACTTGGTTCTCCTAAAAGGTTGTCAGGCTCCCCTGATGCCCTTAACTTACACACCCAGAAGGAGCACAAAAGATCCAGTTTCTACCTATATTATATTATTTATGTGGACTCAGTGTAGCGGGGATTCTTTTGAGCAGAGCAGCAGGCAGACCGCTGATTAGTCATGAACTCCAGCTGCGTTCTGCACACGACCACATTAACATTTTCTAAGTTTCTAAGTGGCGTCACCAAAAATATACAATTAACACACAGTCATTCGTGTCCGTTCATTTTCTCTCTGGTAAGTTCTGTCTGTATTTGAGCATGACGTGTGGACGCGCTCGCGCTGCAGCGCTCGTCACTGGCGCAGCCGTGCAGCGCAGCGCACACTCCGCTTTTTTTGCGGTCAAAAGATCAATTTGATCTGCTAGTTAAAAAGTTACTTGCGAGGTGAAAAAGAAGGGAGCAGACAGGAGTTTTTCTGGAGGACTGGGAGATGCAGGAAGATCAGAGACAGACGGGACAGGAAGATAGGAAAATAAAAACCAAGAAAACAAAACAAAGTTCTTAAAAAATAAAATGTAGGTAGATTTATCCCACTACACGTTTGTACCTGTATAAAGCAATAACTTATCAGCATGTAGTATTTATATAGCTGACACAATTCAGATCATCTTCAAAACTCCCATGCCCAGGGATGTATCTAAGCATTTTGGGGGCCGAGGCAAAATATACCCCTGCCAGGTATTTTAAGTTATGGTGCTATCTGTTTTTATATTAGCAATAAAGTCCAAAAGTGAAGAATTTGTTATTTATTGTGTTACGTCCCCGACATGAGATGGTAAAATGTGAAGGATGGGGGTAACATAAGAACTGGCGGAGGAGTTTAAATTGGGTTTATTTGTACAAAAAGGTATTAAAAACACAAGCAAACAGATGGCGAGCATTATTAAGATAATGCTAAATAAAAATACTCTGAAAAAGGTTAACATTAAAAGAGCAGTTACCAACATTAAAAACACCTGGTTAAAACTTATTAAATGTTTCACCAAAACAGAAGGTGTTTCTAAATCCACAAAGTTGATAAAAGTTCTAAAACAATTCATTGACATAAAACACCTGGTTAAAACTTATGTTTAAAGTTTTACCGGAACAGAAGGTGTTTTAAAAACGAAGTCAATAAAGTTACAACAAACGAAGTTAACCTTAAAAACCAACGAACACAGTCAACACTAGGTGACATGCACAAAAGATCCATGTGGATCACTTAGGCCCTGTCCACACGTAGCCGGGGATCTGCCAAAACGTAGATATTTTTCTACGTTTCGGCCTGTCATCCACACGAAAACGGAGTTTTTTCACACGAAAACGGATCTTTTTAAAAACTCCGGCCAAAGTGAAGATCTGCGTTTTCTCCGTTTTGGGTGTCTGCGTGTGGACAGACAAAACCGGAGTTTTAAGGTCCGCAGCGTCACTTTCCACAACAAAAAAATGCTGACATCACGTGTGCGATCTGTGTTTACACTAGCCGGCATCACGGAAGCTTTCAGAGCTGCGCTCTGTCACTACTCGATCCATCAATTGTCCAAGCGCTTTCTGCTTGTTTGTTTTTGCAAGTGGAATTACTGCTCCTTGCGGAAGACCACAGACGAAGGACGAGGTTAAGAACGGGGGAAGTACTGCCGCCTACAGGTCTGGCATGTCCTTAACAACGTATTTATCCGGGTACGTGTGGACAGAGTTTTTTTTTTAAACGCGGTGGTGTGGATGCAAGTTTTTGGAGGGGCGGATATTCGTTTTTAAAAAACCCCGGCTACGTGTGGACTAGGCCTTAGAGTTAAAACTACCAAAGTTAAAACTCTTCAACTCAAAAGGGGTTGAAAACAAAATGAGGCCTGGAGAACAGCAGAACCCCTGCACTGCTGCCTCCCAAACCGCTGAAGGCACAGCCTTTTTATCCCAGGTGTGGCTCATCAGGAGGATTCAGTTCAGCTGTGCTCCTCAGCAGCCTGGAAGAGAGGAGGAGGAGGGGCGGTGTCCGGCTGATCACTAGACCTGGATGATCCTGGCTCCTACTTTTCACTCCCCAGGCTGGCAGCCGTGACAATTGCTTGATTGTTCAAGCTACCTCACAGAAGTGATCTGTTGTTAAAAATTAAAATAAAAAGGTAATTAAATAAAAAATAAGGAACATTCGGGAACTGTTTCTTCCTGTTCTTTTATTTTTATTTTTTTATGTATCGAAAGTATCGGATTGGGACTCTGTATCGGCAGATTCTCAAAATCAAATGACTCAGACGCGGACTCGAGTGCAAAAAAACCTGATCGGGACATCCCTAGTAAACATGCTATTTATTTGTGATCTATGCAGACAAGCTGGTCACCACGAGCTGGCAGAAAGGCTGGTAGAAATACAGTATGAGCTCACTGATCGGTTAGCCTTTTACCTGTGTGGCAGAAGACCAGGTGAGTCACGGACAGCTGCTGCTTTACCCCTAAAGAGTCAATGTTTTAAGAAAATCACATTTTTGTGTCTTAGATCACAGGAATGGACAGCACTTCATCATTCCACAAATGGCAGACAGGTAATAGCTGCTGTCCTGGCTCTCACATTTTTATGTGTTAAAAAAAAAAAAGAAAGAGACTAAAACTGTGTATTCGCTCTGATTTACTCTTAAAATCTGTGAAATATACATTTTATTGTAAAGAACAACAGATACTCACTGTGTAATTGCGGTTTTATTTCATTTTGTGCTTCACTGTATGGATAAGAAATAAGTAAGTAGCTCTGTTAGTTTTTCACTTCCTTGTTCGGCACAGACTGTTTAAAATTTAAAATCTGATTATATTTTTTTACCCTAAGCAGTCTGGATTTGTCAGATTTTGCAAAGGCTGCGAAGAAGAAGCTGCAGTCGGTGAGGTGTTTTTGTATTTTACTGTGATTTTATTATGTTGCTTATTTGAAACAGGATTTGTTATTCAGTTTTCTTTCCTTGTAGTTAAGTAACCATCAGTTTGAAGAACTTGCCATGGATGTTTATGATGAAGTGGACAGAAGGGAAACGGATGCAGGTTGAATCACTAAATTCTGCATAAATATTTGCTTTCATGCTTCCATTTAATTTCCCGTTTAACCAGAAACAATTTTTCTTCAGTGTGGTTGGCCACTCAGAACCACAGCACAATCGTAACAGACACCACAGTTGTGCCCTTCCTGCCCGTCAACCCTGAGTATTCATCTACCAGGAACCAGGCAAGTGATTGCACCTGTGAAATAAAAAATGTGTTGGCCGTTCAATTTTGATCTATGGTCTTTGTAAAAGGTTCTTGTTTCCCTCGCAGGGTCGTCAGAAATTGGCCAGGTTCAGCGCTCATGAATTTGCCACCCTTGTTATTGATATTCTAGCTGATGCTAAACGGCGGCAGTGGGGTAATTCCTGTGACAGTCCAAAAGGTACGATGTGATGTTTGCTGATTTTAATTTTAACAGACATTAAATTCAAAATTTTGTATACATTCGTGCATTAAAAAAAACAACCCTTCTGTATTTCTGATGGTTTTTAGGGTTACGAACCACATCTTAGACCCTTTTCACTCATAGCTGGATATTCCACAAAACGCAGATATTTGTCTACGTTTTGGCCTGTCATCCGCATGAAAGTGAAGATAAATGGCACCAAAAAATTTTCTTTCAAAAACTCTGACCAAGGTGGCGATTAGCAATTTTTTTGTTGTCAGCATTAGCTTGTGGATGTTAAAGTAACACAGAGCGGTTTCCTGCTCCTCTGCCCTACTGGGGCAAAGTTAGCTGTTGTGAACAACCCTGCTGTAGCTAGAGCTAACAACGAGCTGACACTAACATGAACGAACTAATACTAAAATAAACCATAAAGTTTAAAGATCCACACTGTTGGACAAAAAATGTTACCGTATTGACCCAAATAGACAAGGTTTTTTTCATTGAAAATAATTTTAATATGTGGGGTCATCTTACAGTCAGGGTCTAACCATTACATGCCCATAACAGCATAGGGCGCCAGGCTGTATGTTCTCAATAGGAGAAGAAAATGGAGACCAGAGGTCCGGTGTCAGTACAGGATCTGCTCGGGTGCAATATCGGCTCGGGGTCCTTCGACTGCCGATGACGGCAAACCCACTTGGACAAAATACACAACACATCTTTATACTGTTGGAAAAGATTTAGCAGTTTCGTTATTAAAATAATGTTTCTTACAACATAAGTTTGTGTTTATAATGGTATTTGTAAAATAAAACACTATATTGTATTCATAATGTTGAACTCCTCTTTGAGCACATCTCTTGAAGGATCATAGGTATTGGCAACACCTGTGAAATTGTATTTGCAGGAAAGAAGTGTGTCCCGTTTATTGAAGTATTTTGTGTTTAGAGTTTTTGACGTCTTGTCCATGCGTAGCTCAGTTACGCTCATAGCTGCTAGCCAAAACTCTGGAGTTGAAACTTTTCTGGCTTTACTAAAATACCTGTCTGTACTTATTTGATTGATGGTAGTTTTACTTTCTATTAGACTCCAAATGTAATCATTTGGCACGTTTCTAATTCATAATTTGTAAGAATGTAATCGGTGACAATAGCATTAGCATTCCTATGGGTTTTTCCATGTATATTAGCATTGCGCTAACCACTCGCTGCCAAATTGAAGCCTTTGCGATTAGAAAATCTCCTTTTGTCACATCGCAATTTAATTGCGCGTGCAATTAATTAACATGCAATTAATTGTTCAGCCCTAAGTTGTCCATCTTTCCAACAGAAAAATTTGCCTGGACCAACGTAACGTGATTAACTTCCGTAAGGTTCATGTTCAGCCAATCAGCTACTTTGACGTCATCGGCAATCGAAGGACCCCGAGCCGATCTTGCACCCGAGCAGATCCTGTACTGACACCAGAGCAGAGTGGACCAAAAGTGGGTCAAGTTAACAAGCTATAAGGCAGATTTATGCCTACTTTAGGATGACCGTGGTCAATTCAGCAGAGGCGTCAAACATTGCATGCATGGATGCCTTTGATGGCAGTGATGCGATCTGATGGTACACTGGGACCGCAGCAGCATGAATGAGAATGAGTGAGTGATTACAGCGAGGCAGAGGGCGTCTGAATAAAAGCCTCATTTGACTTTTGATTTCACATGTCAGCAAAGTTCTGATAGTTTGCATTAAAATATTATTTTTGCCAGTATTTGTTATCAAATTTTAAATAAAAAAAGGTTTATTTAAAAAGTGATTTTTTTTGTCTTTTCCTGAAGACTAGTGTTGGAAAGGGGGATCGTCTTATATTTGGAGTTGTCCTATATCTGGGTCAATATGTTGTAACTTAACAAGTCCAGTAGCAACAATGCCAGGCCACCATCAGCCCATGATTTTGTAGACTCCTTTAGCTCTAGCGTAGGCCGCGTCGATGTTCACTCTTGCTTTAGCTCCTTGCTTCATCTCTAAAGACATAATTCTCTAACTTTTACTTCCAGGGTCCGCCATGATATCAACAGGAAAAGCTTCTTTTTCTTCTTGTGATTTCTTTGACAGTTGGTGAACCGGAAAATCTAACTGCTAGCCTTTATACACTGCTCACAAAAATTAAAGGAACACTTTAAAGAAACACATTAGATACATCAGATCTCAATATGAAGTTGGATAGCAATGCAAATAACGACAGGGCAATGTCTTAGGAACAAAAGGACGCCAAGTTTTAATGGAAATAAAAGTTATCAGCCTACAGAGGGCTCAATTGTGTAGACACCCTAAAATCGGAGTGAAATGAAGATGTGGCAGGCTAGTCCATTATTTCAAACTCAAATTGCTTTTCAGTATCTTGTTTGGCCCCACAAGCTTGTGTGCATGCTTGACAACGTCGGGGCATGCTCCTAATGAGACAACGGATGGTGTCTTGTGGTATTTCCTCCCAGATCTGTGTGAGGGCATCCCTGAGCTCTTGTACAGTCTGAGGAGCAACCTGGCGCCGCCTAATGGACCGAAACATAATGTCCCTCAGATGTTCTATTGGGTTTAAGTCAGGGGATCGTGAAGGCCATTCAATTGTTTCAATTCCTTCATCCACCAGGTACTGCCTGCATACTCTTGCCACATGAGGCTGGGCATTGTCGTGCATTAAGAGAAAACCAGGACCTACTGCATCAACGTAGGGTCTGACAAAGGGTTCAAGGATTTCATCTCGATACCTTATGGCAGTCAGAGCACCATTAGAGGTCTGTGCATCCCTCCATGGATATGCCTCCCCAGACCATCACTGACCCACCACCAAACCTGTCATGTTGAACGACGTTGCAGGCAGCATAACGTTCTCCTTGTCTTCTCCAGACTCTTTCACGTCTATCACAGGTGCTCAGGGTGAACCTGCTCTCATCTGTAAAAAGTACAGGGCGCCATTGGTGGACTTGCCAATTCTGGTGTTCTTGAGCAAATGCCAGTCGAGCTCTACGGTGCTGGGCAGTGAACACGAGCAGTGCACAGCCTGTTCCGCCTTGCACAAAGGAGCAGGTATCGGTCCTGCTGATGGGTTGTGGACCTTCTACGGTACGGCCCTGTCCAGCTCTCCGAGAACAACCGCCAGTCTCTTGAAATCTCCATGTTCTGGAGATTGTGCTGGGAGACACATTAAACCTTCTTGATGCAGCACGTGTGGATGTGCCATCCTGGAGAAGTTTGACAACCTGTGCAACTTCTGTAGGGTTAAGGAATCGCCTCATACTGCCAGTAGAGAGCCAAAGCTAGCACGAGGGGAAAACCAGCTGAAAAAGATCAAGAGGGAGAAACTTGAAATGACCTCTACATGTTAAACCAGTCCTGTTTTGAGGGTTTTGTAATTGTTGCCACTTTAGTGCACCTGTTGTTAAGTCCATGAACACCAATACAGCTGAAAGTGATTAACAATGCCCTCAGCTGCTTAATCAACCAGGAAATTATCAGACGGGTTTAATTGATTTCATGCCAGGCCCAATAAAAAAGTGTTCCTTTAATTCTTGTGAGCAGTGTATTCGCTATATTAGCAGAGGAAACGGCCAACTGCTGTAAAGCTGGTGGAGCGCTTCCCCTAGTGTGGTTTCTGGGCAGTAGAGTGTTGTCCAAGGTGAAGTTCGTAAACGTAAAGTTTCTGCCTACAGAATCACTGAAACCAACTTTTAAAGGAATATTTTTAAGTGTTAAAACTGTTTATTGTCACTTTACTGCTGCCACTAGTTAGTTTTTATTATTATTATTATTATTAAATCATATCGCTCTGCCCTACCTCTTGACATAAACATCTCCCTGTTGCTACTCTCATCTTGGATGTCTAATTTGATCTCATGTCCTATTTTTGCTCATTTTAAATATATTTTTAAACATTTTCTAAATGCTTTTTTATATTTTTACATTTTTTTATTTTTTGTTTTTGTGAAGCGCCTCGTGATTTTTATCTTGAGAGGCGCTATACAAATTATATTTTCTTCTTCTTCTTCTTATCAGAAAATGTGGAACTGATCCTTCAAGGAACAGACAGCCGCCATAACAGCGAGAGCCAAGACAACGACCAGCCGGATTATGACAGCGTGGCGTCAGACGAAGATCCGGTACAAGAGGCAACTCGCGGAAACAGCCTTAACGACAGACTGACCAAGGTTAAGCCTTTCATTCATCTGTCATTAGATAAAGATTCTTAATGTTGCTCTAATTTTCTAAATGATCAAACATGTAAATATTTTCTGCAGAGCTCAGAGTCGTCTGACCTGTCTGATGGACCAATCACAGTGCAGGAGTTTATGGAGGTGAAGAGTGCCCTCACTGCTTCAGAAGCGAAAATACAACAGCTTCTCAAAGTCAACTGTCACCTGAGCGAAGAGCTGCGATTGATGCAGAACAAGGTTGGTACAAACACATGCAGACGTTTAGTAAATGTTGTTTTTGTATATTCTATCTGATGCTGAGTGATGGATCTGATTGCTCTCCAGTTGCTTCTACCTTTTTCTAAGATGCTAACAGCATTTCTTTGCCAGCTGAAAAATGCTTAGTTTCACTTTTTAACAGCTCCATTTGAAAAGTTTTAGAATTCAGAATAATTTGTTTTAATATTAAAAAGGATTCCTCTAAGTACACATTTTTTTGTTTTCTGTTTTGTGTTAGACCCAGGGAGGTCTGCAGCTTTGATTATTTAAACAGAGGCACAAAATCAACTTGACCCTTAAAATAAAAGTTTATACTAAGGTTTTTGTGAATGCTGATACAAAAATACATTTGTTATTATAATGTGGAAACTATGCAATTATAGCAAAAATGCAATTGGAAAACTAATCATTAAGTTAAAGGGATACTTAGCAAACTTTTCGTATTTTATCTTGAGCCAGTATGTGCTAAAATGACCCTTTACGGGGTTAATGAAATGTCAGTCGGACCCCCATCACCCATGTGGCCAGAATACCACAATTCAGAGTGGTGGTCCGCTCCATGTCAGTCTTGGTGAAGTGGCTAGCCGACATGCTAGTGCTGCAGTCGGCTTTCATCATCGTTTCCAGCATGTTTTAGATCGTGAACACAGCTGATTTGTTTGATTTTGGATGAATAGCTCATGTGGACACTAATGAAGGGTGATCAGACATTTCAGCAGTTGGATTAATGAGTTAAAAAGACACACTTTCGGTTTTAATGACAGACTCTAGGGGGTGCTATAAGCAAACCAAAACTGCACAGTTTCCCTGCAAGTATAATCGTTGCTCGCATTTCTGTTATTTTTAGTCCAAAAGGGGCCAGATTGGACATCAGTGAGCTCAACACTGAGGTGCAGTTGAAAGCGCTGTTACATTAATGATATAAGTCTGTTATAAAGCTGTTAATATCTTTGATCACCTGTAAACTGAATAAACCCACTTTTATTTGATACATTAGCAAAACAAACCAATATGTCATCTGCTCCATACAGCAGATAATCCCAGTTATTGTCATTTACTTTAACTAAAACTTGCCTCTTCTGACGATTACAGTCCTTCATTATTAAATCAGGGCAGCAGTGGCTCAGGAGGTAGAACAGGTTGTGCGGTAACGGGAAGGTTGTAGGATCGATCTAGGCTCTCGGCAGAGAATGCTGCTGTTGGGCAAGACACTTATCCCGCCTTGTCTGCTGCTGGTGGTCGGCGGGACCGGTGGCGCCATTGTTCAGTGAGCCCTGGGACAGCAGTGGCTACACTGTGACCAGTATGTGATTGTGTGTGTACGTGAGTGGATGACTGTGTCGTAAAGTGCCTTGGGGGGTTGTACCATTTCAATTGTAGAACTACAATTTTTACGTGGTGTCCTACATCAGCGTTATGATGTGGCTCATTAGGATGGACCCTTGTAAATCCAGTCATAAATAAGGGTAAATAGTTTCCCGAGGGATTTTACTGCAGGAAATAAAATCGACACACCATGTCGGCTGTACTTTTGTCAAGGCAGCAACCCTCCTGATCTGAGAATGACCATCTAGAGTAAACAGAGCAAAGCTGAGATGGACGTGAACTGAGTTTGCTAGAAAAGGATTTATCTGTGAACTACAGCATGTTTGTGAGGAAAACCCCCCGGCTACAATTGAATTTAAAAGTGTTTTGTTCTTGCCCCACAGCTGAGCTCCCTGGAGACAGAAAACACAACGCTGCGTTGGCAAACCCCCAGCGGACAACAACAACAACCCCAGGGGCCCTTTGGACGACATCCAGCTCGAGGAGGTCGCGCCATGTCCATGTATGAGACGAGCTCTCCTCTGAGGCCGTACTCCCACAGAGTGGAGACGGCTCGCAACGACAACGGAGTGGTTTTACAGCCCTTCCCTACCAACGTAAGCACACTGGTCTTCCTGCTCATGGTGGGTCAGAGCGACCGTGCTTGGCTTGGGGCTGGTGTTGGTTTGTTCATTTATTCGTTTACTTGGTCTCAGTAGTGTATGCTCAACTTGGTTTGACCCCTCTCTAGATTGGTAGGGGTCCTTTGGGGACAGCCGCCTCCTCCCTCCCTACCTTCCCCTCTCCCCTGTCCTGGTCGTGGAATGAGAGATCTCGAAGGGTTGAGTACTGAAAAGTCCCGTCGGCCCAGAGGCAGCCCCCCCCCAGAGGGGGGAACTGCCATCTTGCTTGTCCCCCACAGCCTTTTTTCTGTGTCTGAGCTGCTTTATGAAAGTACTGCCTGCATGCATGTACCACAGTTCCTCTGCTGCTGTTCAGTCACCTGAACAACCTCAGCTTATTTCACACAAACGTGAGCAGAAATGATGAGACGCTGCACCAGTTCTCTTTGCATCGCAACGACGTAGAAGATCCACAACAAGCTATGTTAAGGGTAAACACTGATAAGAGAAGAAGATTAGAATTTATCTACTAATTGCATCTGCTGCGCTACAAATGTCTCACACCACAGTGACATCTTTTTTTCTGCATTGGCTTTAAAACAAAATGTCTTAATTCAGAAGCATGACTCTGATTTAGGTGCTCCTCCTGTAGTGAGAGACACGTTTACCGTGTTCTGTGTTCACTGTGTTTGACTGATCTTAAACCACTGATGTCCCTAAAGGGCTGCAGTCTTGGTGGACAAAGTCCAATGTTGGAGAATGACTATGAGACGACACCCAGCCACTCTGAACTGGAGTACACTGGGTAACAAACACTTTTTCTGCCTATTTAGGATGTGCTTGTATGGGTTTCTATGAAGCAGGCTGCAGATTTACGATGCCAGATGTATTTGTTACACATTTAGATCAACAAATGAGATGCACTTTGTTATAAAAAGTTTATTTTAGAGTTTAACTCTTTACAGTTATAATGAAGCCATTTATTGTGTGTCTGTGTTTGCAGCAGCCCTCTTAAAGCCGCTGAAGGAGTAGAACCGGAGGAAGAAGGTGAAGAAGATGCCACTCTGCCTAGCACCGAAGACGTCATCTGTAAGACGGAGCAGATCACTAAAAACATACAGGAGCTTCTGAGAGCTGCTCAGGAGACCAAACATGAAAGGTACGATGAGCAGAGCACTGGTGTTTAGATCATAAAAGTCAGGGGTGAAGTGTTGGTGAAGCATAGTACACAGCTGTTAGCCCCTGTTGTAGTCAGTGGGTGTGTTTCCACCAGCTGCAAAGCTCAGTGTTCTGCTAAATTTACGCTTCAGGTCAATTTTTTTTTTGCACCCTACAATTCCAGAATGCGTCAAGCTCAGCTGTTCAGATTGGGCCAAACAGGAAGTCAAACACAAAAGTAGCCTAAACATCTAACAATTTTCAAAATAAGAAACACGTGTATATTTTTTAAAGAAACAATGTGTAGTTTTTACCATTAATCTCTGGAAACATCCTTCGAAATGTTGAAAATGAATGAAATGATGACCAACTGTTGAAAAATATTGATGACTTTGTTACATACAACCATAAAAATCGGGTCTAAAATACATGGGAACGGGTGTGAGTGAGTTTCTCAATGTTAAGGAACATCGCCTTGATGTCTTGGTCCCACCCCGGTTACCTAGGAGATGCATCATCAGGAACCTACAAGGCGTGTTCCAATGTTCATGTTCTACCGAGGCGTCTGTTCTCCGTTTGTTAGCTGTTTAGCTAGCTGAACAAAGATACACAGGAGAAGTCTTGTTGCCTTTTCTCGGTCAATTTCCCAAGATACAGCACAGTATTTTTAAAAGGATGATGCATCAGGAGCCAGTAGCTACTTCGGGGGCAAATTTCCAGTTTAAATGCAAGTCAGCTAATTGTAGCTATCGGCTGATATCTGAAATGTTTCTTACATCCAAAGCAGTTATCTGTGGTTGGTTAGTTGCTAGTTACAGCATTGGTGGCTAGCAGGTAGAAACTTGCTTACATATATAATTTAACCAATATATACAATTAAAAAAGTAAAAGTCTTGTTATAAATCTATATTGAAAGTATTCGCATAAAATACAACTTTAACTCGTGATGTGACGTGACCGCAGTTCCCAGAGCCGCGGTCATGTGAGTTAAGTGTTCCATTTACCCGTTTTCTTTGACCAAGGAAAGACGATGTCCTCGTAAGCAAACGTTTCCTTCTACGGGAGCCTGTGAGGAGAAAACGCATTTACTGACTTGTAACAAGCCATTACAAAACTTTTATGTACAACAATTTTATTTTACACATTTACCTCTTCGTTCGTTGCCATTCATGAAAGAGAGTCTGATGTGCTTGTCACTTTGTGGAGGTGGAAAGATCTGATGAAGTACTCGTTTGAAAATTGCGCTCCCAGGGATTTTTGACCCTAACGGCCATCTGTTGGTAAGGTCTTACTTGAACACAAAAATACTGCTTGCTTGCAATGATTTAGGTATGTACTGCCCCCTATCGCCAGGAAAAAACACACTGTCACTTAAATAAAAAAACATGTCATTATTAGAGACAGACTCATGAATCAGGCCAAGATTTACCTCTTTTTATGCATCAACATCTGCCGGTATACCTCTTTAGAGGAGCCGGTTTACATTCAGGCACATCTGTGGGCAGCCCAGTTCTGCTGCAGATTTTTTACATACATATTTATGTCCCTGAAAAGCACCTGCTTAATAAATGCTCTAATACATTTTTGTCAATGCTTCTGCTGCCGATGCGCATCTGAAAGGCTCCAGGTGGGAAGGGTGACTGCTGACTTTGCTGGGAAATCGTATCTATTACGTTACAGGCCGCTTATTCATCCAATGGAAAGCTGGGATAAGGCTCCCCATAAAAAAAAGGAATAAATAGTTTCGGTATTTGCGAAAACGTCTCGTGAGTTTAATCATGAGAGACGCTATATAAAAGATTGTTTTTGCATCTTCTAAACTAATGTTGCTCTTTAGATTTTTATATCTAGCTGAAGAGCGTGGTTTTCATGCTTTGAGCATTTTTGTCTCCCAACAGCTTTCTGCCTTGCTCTGAAAAGATCTGCCTGGCTGTGACGGAGATGGCCGCCCTGTTTCCAAAGGTAAATGACCAAGAAGGTTAGGTCTTGTTTATCGTACCAGTGCTTCTGTGGCTAGTTCCCTTTTTATTTCTATTGTCCTCCTGGCAGAGACCATCCCTGGAGACAGTACGCAGCTCTCTCTACCTGCTGACTTCCAGCGCCAGCCGGCTTCACAGAGAATGTCAGAAGGCTGCAGAGCACAATCCTTGTCCATCGGACATCCAGCTGGTCACTCAGCAGGTTATCCAGTGTGCCTATGACATAGCCAAAGCTGCCAAGCAACTCGTCACTGTGACAACCAAAGAAAACAGCAACTAAAAACCCAAAGACATTCCTGGTGCCCCCAGTGTTGCTTACATTTGAATTTATTCAACGTATTTGTCTGATAGTGATCAGTGTAAGCGTTCACATGCATCCCTTAAGATGGGAAGATCTTTTAAAAAAAATGATGCCATGCAAAATTATGAATCAATCAAAAGCTTATTTATTTTTATCTGTGCCATGCTGATATGAACGCAAACATAGTAAAAGAAGAAGAAAACGTGTTTCACTTCCTTACCTCACTAAGTTGGCCTTTCCGCTGCATGAGTAAGTGTTGCGTTACATCAGTGAAGCGTGTTAAGCAGCAGTTAGCTGCCGTTATAGCCGATTGTTGCGGTTCCGCCGGCTGCAAAGCGTCACATTTTCGACTGGTCCCAGAAGCAGAGTTTATGCAAAATTTACATTTCGAATCAATTTTCCAGAACGTGTTCAGATCAGGCCAGACCGGAAGTCACGCACAAAGCAATGTAAAACATCTGGTATTTAAAAAAAAAAAGCCACATGCTGATTTTCAGTTGATGAACTAGAAAATATAATGTGCATCATTACCAGCAACACCTCCGGAGGTAAACGCCACAGAAAAGCAACCTCAGACCATTTTAGATGCATGCTGCCACTTTGCTTCTTATTGTGTGAACTGGCGAAATCACGAGTGATCTTGCAACTCTCCTGAGATTTCATGACCTCGCTGGACCAGCCACAGACATCATATACATAGAACACCCTGTAGACTGGTGCTGCCTATTGGAGCTGCCGTAGTGGCTTGCCGCCATCTTGGATGGGTCTCTATTTGCCCCCAGTACATTCATTTCTACTGAGGAAAGTGCTTACCCAGCTAAAAAACTTATTTTATTAGGCTTTTTCACAAAATCAGACATGTAGTGAAGCATGATGCTTAAAAATAATTTTTTTTAATGTAAAATAAATAGAAAAAGTATAAAATTCCAACAGGTGGGCTACAAGAGTCCCAGAAAAGTCGTGATCTATTTTTAATAGTGCGCCGGCTGTTGCAACCATAGGCTGTACAAAAACTGGACACAGTCGCTCACTTTGCGTTGACTCCAGAGAGTGAGGAGACCCATCCAATATTGTGGAGACACTGTTACACGCTCTCCAGCGCCCAATGTGGCATCTACGTATTCATGTCTATGGGACCAGCTCCATGGAACTCTTTTGCTGCAGATGTGAAGGGACGCACAGCGAGTGAAATGCGTCTCATTACCGTACATGAAGCTTACGTGTCCGACTTGATTGCCGAACGCTCAATGGTCTACGTAACAGAAAAGCTCTACAGAACAGGGGTTTATTTCACTTTCTTTGTTTGTACAATGGCGTAGCGGACATCTGAAGTGATTGGCTGTGCTCTCGGAGCTCAGAAACCTCTAAACTTTAAAGATCACAACAGATGAACCTCTACCCAGGGTTTATTTTTCTATTTTAAGTTTTTCAGACGCAGTGACAGTATTGTAACGTCAGATCTTTGTGATGTTGCTTGCTTTTTAAGTTTTAGTAAGACAACTGTGATTTTAGACTAAGCCTTCTATGTGGTAGGTACTTCACCCAGCCAACAAGACTGCACACTTTCATTCCACCCAGCAGGTGATTTCTTATTCGTTCTTTCCCCCTCAGCTGGTTGAAGAGGTGTTTTTAGATAAAGTATCAGTAGTTATTGAAGTTTTATCGCTACAGCCATAATTACAGTGTGTGCGTGACTTTGAGTGTGTGTGTGTGTGTGGCCCCTGTAGCTTGTGTGAAATCTCACTTTGAATTAATTTTAATAGCATTATGCAAATATGTCAGATGTATATGTATCCATGCAATTCTCTTCTCAGAATAACCCAAATGCTATTCTATTTATAAAGCTGTATGTTCTATATCTAAGGAAAATATCAGTGTTTATTTTCATAAGCTTTTTGTCTAACACAGCTAACACTTTTTCCCGTGCTCAGCTGTTTGGTTTATTTTAGGAACCCTGAGATCTGTGTGTGTGTGTGTGTGTGTGTGTGTGTTTGGTGCGGTGCTGTAACTCCGGTGTTTTTACATGCTTCCTGTGGTCCAACACGTACCTCCTCTATGGTTTACAGCCACTTGACAAAGTGAACCGTGCCGTGTGTGTGTTCTCTGTAGACGGTTCTGAGCCGGATCAGTTTGAACCTGAGGTGGAAAGGAAACTTTGCTGCACAGCTTCAGACTTTTGGGATGGGAAAAGCACACACAACATTTAATTATCTAACTGCCTAAAACAGTTAGGGTTATCATAAATATGCAGTGTCTATAATTCTCAGAATTGTTGATTATGAAGAAGAAATTTTCCTTTATGTTTAAAATAAGCTTTTGATTCATCTCTGATTTAATTGTACCACAAGTAAGGATGCGCAGATATGAAAATTTGGGTTGATTTCTGATAATATTCCTGGTTAACTTATAATCAGTATTTACATAAATGCATGTGTAAATGTATTTCCCTACACTTTTGACGGTGTGTCATAGTGAATAGTTAAACACCCCCACACTGCATCACTATTGCGTCATGCTAAAAATCCACCATTGGGCCAAACCCCTCCTCCTGAAACACACATGCTAGTGGAAACAAGATGGAAGAAAAAAAACTCAGTTGTTGATATCGGCCCAGTTTTATTTACTGGATCAATACTGATGTGTTAGAAAAGGACTCAAATCAGCCGATACCGATGCTGCTGCCGATGTATCCATGAGCCGTTCCAATACACGTCGTTTGATGCCAGTTGTTGGATTTTTAATCTGATCCCCCCCGTCAATCCAACCCCTTAAAGCTGAGTGTCAAGCAGGAAGGCACTGGGTTTTATAAAGTCTTTGGTGTGACCCGACTGGGTGGACACTCTACCACTAGGCCATTAAATGTGACTATTAAATAGGCCCACAGAAATTTAATATCATAAACCATTTTAATTTAGAAAAAGTGCAGATCCAGTTTTAATAGTTGGTCAAATGAATTGTGGTATAATCCACCTGTGCAGGTGTAATGTGGGTGACATGATCTAGATTCTAGTTCTTCCTGTTCGTTTTTGTTATTAATCAAAACTCACATAGAGAAACTTGTTTAATACCGAATTAGCTCAAATATATTCACCTTACTTTTGCTAAAGCACTTAAAAGATCATAAAAATCCATTAAATAAATTGTTTTAAAAGTTTTTGAAAATAAACAATCTGATGCTGTGATCTGTGTAATGTGTAGGTGAAAAGTTACAACCCAAATTATTTGTTGGATTTGTTAAAAGAAGAGGATTTTGTTGTAAAAGCAGAAGTGTGCACTGAGCAACTTTCCATCCACCCAGGTGTCAAACTTGATAATCAACTAAAGCTCTCTGTGCTCCAAAACAATCCATCTCCTGTTTAATAAACTATGATGAATACCTCATCACGCTCCCTGTCTTTATTTCTCCTCTTGTTTTGGTGTTTTATGAGGTGCCATTTGTGAAGTCGGTTATCATTTAACAGCAGTTTTTTTAGGGGGTTATTTGGCCTATTGTTAAATGTTTATTTTACAAATATCTTTAGTTTCCAAAATAAATATTTATTTTGGAGCTAATTATTTGGTTTGTTAATTATTTCCAAAATAAATATTTTGATCCCAGCTAAATATTTATTTGGGGCTAAACCTAAATATTGATTTTACAAACTAAACATTTATCTGGGATCTAAGTATTTTTGGGGGATAATAAATATTTAATTTGGAGCTAAATGTTAAGTTTATAAATTAAATATTGAGCTCCAAATTAAAAATGTATTTTACAAATAAATATTTAGATGTCAGCTAAATATTTATTTGGGGCTAAACATAAATATTGATTCTGCAAAATAAATGTGTAGCTGGGATCTATGTTTTTTAGGGCTATAATATTTAATTGGGAGTTAAATGTTTAGTTTATAAACTAAAAATTAAAGAGCAAGTCACCCCCTACAAGAAACTTACTTCACTCCCACTTCATGTTTGAAAAATGCAACAAATGCTGTTGCCAGGCAGACCGAGAGGCAAGGCCGGATTAACCATGTGGGCAACTGGGCAATTGCCCAGGGCCCACGAACTCTAAGGGCCCAGGGCAGCAAGGGCACGAGCAAAATACTGTATCTGTAACTTCCCGCTTCATGAGGACTATGGTGACCATACGTCCCCTTTTCCCCAGACATGTCCACTTTTCACTCTCTGTCCGGGGCGTCCGGACTGGGGGGTTCTTGTATTGATGAAAATATCCGGCTTTTGCAGGAGCAGCAGGGATCGAATTATGGGGGAGCTGGATATCCTACACATCCAGGGAAGCCAGAAAAAAGTTTTCTACCTATATTACATCATTTATGGACTCGTTTGAGCAGAGAGCGGCACAGCGCATTGTTGAGCAGCGATCCAGGCTGCTGCTTCCAGCGCACGGTCCATTCTCAAAGTGGCGCAACCAAAAAACTATAATTAGCACACGATCGTTCATGTCCGCACATGTTCTCTATTTTCTGTCTTATTTGTGCCTGAAGCGCTCTGCTACTGCGGAGCTCATCACCTGTGTTGCGGTGATTTCACCTCACTGACACAGCATCGAAACACGCTCTCCGCTGTGTGGTCAGGGTTGCAACACATTCCCTTTGATCCGCTCAAAAGTAACTGATGAGGTGAAAAAGTAAGAACCCAGGCAGCAGTTTTTCTGGAGAGTTTAGAGGAGACGCAGGAAGATGAGAGACAGACAGGACAGGAAAATAGTTAAATAAAAACAAGAAAACAAAACAAAAAGTAAAATGTAGGTAGATTTATCTCCACTACACATTTTTACCTGTATGAAGCAATAAGTTACACACATGTAATAATTATACATCTGATACAATTCAGATCACCTTCAACACTCAGTCACACAGCCAGGGCTGTTTCAAGACATTTTGGGGGCCAAAGCAACCCCCCCATAACTGTGCTCCCCAGAAGCCTCTGTGTAATTCATACCCTCTCCAGGAGTATTCATTATACAGTATTATACAGTATAAAAGCCCCTCAGACATCACTGACATGTTCTAATATTATCAGATGAAAAACTAAATTATCAGACATGCTGTCTCATCTGCTGCTTTTCTAAACTTGCTAAAAGTAACAAAACCATTTGAAAGCCACTATTTGTAGATTCTCTGAAAGTTTCCATGGAGTGTGTGACAACTTATTTTCTCATTGATCCTATCGTCTAATCTCACAGCTGAAACAAGCATCCTTAATAATCTGTGCACAGGAAGCTTACCGATGCTGTAGTAAAACAAAAGGTATAATAATTTATTATTAATAAAACCTTGTTGCAGCACTAAAGCAGAAAAATGAGATTTTGCAATAAATATGCTAAATATTTACATATGAATTGTTTTAGAGCCCTTTTATTGGCAGAATCTGATATTAATTTAGTTCTTACAAAAAATGGGTCCCAACGTGGTTTGTGTGGCGTTGCCATAGTGTGACGTCATAGGCACAGATCCCTTGTCCTCTTTTTTGGAAATGGAAATATGATCACCCTGTATTAAACAAACTGTCCACCTGGGCTTTTGCGCTGCACAGAGACGCTTCGCTGCCTAGGACTTTGAACGTCAGTTGAGAGTCAGTCTCATGCAGACAGACCAATGAAGAGAGGGCCTCAAGTTAAGACCCTCTCCTCATTGGTCAGTCTACACAAGGTGGGTCAAAGGTTACCCTGAGCGAGTTATGTGATGCCAGGCATTCAAGTATTGAGTATATTTACTGCATATTACAGTAATATATTCTGTATGTGACCATATTATGGTGATTCTTGGGTCATGAGGATGGGGCCCTTGAACATTGTTGCCCAGGGTACAACAAAGTGTTAATCTGGCCCTGCCGAGAGGGCGGAGCCGCTAACACATACACACACACAGGCTCACAACAACATTGTGACATCATAATGTACCAGTTAACATCATAGCATACCTCTTAGCCAATAGTGGTGGCAGATTTAAATTCAAATACAGTGCAGTTTTTACCCAACGACGGCGCAACACTGACAGTTTTAGGCAGAATATTTAAATTTTAACTAAGATGCACTGAAGTGCCAAATTATTAACTACACGTGTCTACAGCACAATTAGACACTCGTTTATGTAGTTTATCAGCAAAAAAATGTTGATTTGGGGTGACTTGCTCTTTAAGCTCCAAATTAAATAGTACATGAAATGTTTATCTTTACAAAGTATCTGACCTAAATCTTTAGTTTGTAAAGTAAATATTTAACTCAAAATTAAACATTGAGCTTGCTAGCTAAATGTTTTTTTTTCTCTAATGATTCCCTAAATAACCCAAAATCTGTTTGACTATACAAATGTCACCCCATAGTCTTTTTATCGCCTACGTGTTTTATTTCCTACCTGTTGGAGAAGTGATGACGAGGGAGGGGCTCGCGCCGCTTCCCTCCGCCCACCTGACTCGACACAGTTCCGGGTTCTTCCCAGCCGACAGCCGCTGCTCGATCGCCCGGCGGGACCATGTCTCTTTTACTAGACATTCAGTTTGAAGAGCTTCCTCCGGACAAGTCGGTGGACACCAAGACGTTTCTGGACAACGTCTCGAAGCTGCCTTTGTTTTTTGGTGAGTACCTCAGCGCATCAGGTGACTTCACGAGAGGACGATTGCTGACTCGGCAGACCAGTTCCTTGTGATGATACTTGTAAGCCGTGTTGTTTTTTTAAGTCCATAGTCTCGTCTTTATGTTTCCCACATCATGAATGTTGGTGCCAGGTCACAGGCAGGACGAACCAGCTGCGCTCGCTTACAGAAACTCTTTGTTTATGTGTTGAACGCCTCACTTGACCAAAACTATGCTTTCGCTGCGTGTTCTCCCTCTTTCTAACTAAAAAAATAAATAAATAAAAGCTGATCATCCTCCCCTCTGAGCTAGGGATACATGCCATGAACTCATTCATATTTAATTCACCGCTCTCTCAAATGTCTTCCTCCTGCAGACTGCTTGGGTTCAAAAGTGTTTACAGTCATCAAATCAGACATTAATGGCAACATAACGGTAAGGGGCTACAGTGGTGGATTTAAATGCCGAACACAAGCTGCTCCATCATGCAAACCTGGCGTCATTTTTTATGTATTTTTTAGAAAATAAAAGCAGTTTACCACAAAGATCCTGCAAAGTATGTGACCCTGCAGGACATTCTGGAGGCCGAGCGAGAAGCCTATGAAGCAGAGTGGCCTAAAGTTGGAGCAACGTTGGCTCTGATGTGGCTGAAGAGGTGAACACCCACACCAGCTCTCAAACTGTCTGGTACGTTGACCCTAGTGTGAGTCTCTGACCACGATCTCCTCCCTGCAGGGGTCTCCGATTCATCCAAGTGTTGCTGCAGAGTTTGGCTGATGGAGAACGAGATGAGAACAACCCCAACCTCATCCGGGTCAACATTACCAAAGCCTATGAGCAGGCGCTGAAGAGATACCATGGCTGGGTTGTTCAGAAGGTTTTCAGTGTAAGGGAAACTTGCATCTTCCTCAGCTCATCCTAAAGGTGTTTTCGCTTTGGGAGTTTTAGGTTTAGAACTTCCTGTTGGAAAAATTGAGTCGTTCGAGCCTGAAGACATGCTGGTGGACCCGTCTGTCCTGAGAGGGGTTTGGGATCAGTTTTTTATATGAGGTGCTGAGAGAACGTGTTTTAAAGTTTGAATGGGGAGGTGAATGAAACCTGAGGCCTCCTTCTCTTCTCTTGTTTGATCTAGACTAAACACAATTATCCCAACAATGACTTCTAAACCTGAAACTCCCATGAAGCATTTTGGATGAGAGCTGAAAAGTGCCTTTTAAAAATAACTCATAAAGCAGTTTTTGATTTATGATCATGACATAATCATCTCCAAATACATGAAACCTAGTTCTCATAAATATTTTAAAACTTAAAACAAAGAAAAACAGTAAAAATGATCATTTTGTTGAATTAACGACAACAAAATTTCAATCATGTGACCTATTGTGACAACACGAGAGGGACCTCTAGGAAAAATTAAAATCTACATTGCCAAAGTTTAAGACTGGTTCACAGATAAAACTAGTAAAAAGATACAAAAGTTAAAATATTCCTATCAAAAGGTTCTAAAACAAGGCAAGCAGTGCAACACCAAAGCAAATTACAAAGGAATTAATTCCAAAAGCTTGTGGATGATAATGCCCAAAATGAACTCTTAAAGTCTGTGCTGGGACAAAGCAGTCCAGTCCGGCCCTGCGTGAGCTCGACAGGGAAGTCTTTACGACCCCGCCCTTCTGCATTGTGCGTCGTCCTTGGGGAACCACAGGATCGCCGCACGGTGGATCCAATCCTCCTCCTCGGCCCAGCCCCTGTGGGCACACAAAAACTCCGGCAGTAAAAGGTTCCCGGCACCAGACCACGCACAGAGAGACAGCAAACTCCACACACTGCTAGGCACTGCTTAATTACTTACGCGCGGGGGCAGAGTAACTCTGCCCGCCTGCCGTGTTGCGCTACGTGCCCTGGCTTCTCCAGCCGCGGATCTCGCTCTCCGCTGCTGCTGCTGTCCGTGCCGCTGATGAACCCCCTCCTCTGTCCAAGACTCCGACCGGACTCAGTGGCATCTGTACGCGCACTGCACATGTGTGGAGGGAGGGACACCCACGCTCCTCTGCACTCGGCCGCCGTCCATCCTCCAGGACCGTACTCCGGGTGCTCCTCTGTTCCGGCGGGGGGTTCAGGCACATGTGTCCTCAAGACACCGTCCGGGGTGCGTCTCTGTCTCTTAGCCCGATGCATTTGCTATCAGTAGCTTTAGCAGCAAAGAGTGAGGTAGTGCCAACTCAGCGACTTTGTCGCTGTTCCTAACGCCTAGTGATGAACCTAGCTACATTTCTGAGGACCCTTAGCTACTTTCTTCTAGATATTTCCTGCAAATTAGCAACAAAATAGCCATTTTCGCTCCGAACCGTTCTTTGAACGTTGTGTCGGCTGTTATCAAGGATATAAAAGCTACAGATACTCAAGATGTCATTGACGCTTTAGCTCACCTAGTTAGACGACAGACTCTCGCGCAGAAGATCTGGGTTCTATTCTGGATGTGAACATGATTTATTTAGAATTTATTTTTTACAGTAAGATGCCCAAATTTTTATTTGAGACTCGCCGAACGGCATTGAATTCACAGATAAAAAAGATGTGGGTTCAACTTTCATTTTGGAACAATTTTTCAAGCAAGGGAAGGGAAGCTCTGTGAAGCTGACGGACTGACCCATCTTAAACCTTTGTCGGCTGTGCTGAACATCGACATATGGTGCTGAAGGGAAAGTTACAGAACCAAATTATTTAATTAATTAGCTGCGCGTTCTCCTGTCCTCTGTCCTCCGGGCCACACGCACACACACGGGACTGTCTCAGCTGTTATTTTCGTTAAGGAGTGTGCACGTACAGCATGCGCGCCTCATGCACGAGCCTACTATTGAAGCTGCTGTTACGCTTTTGGCCTGAGGGGTCAATCGCAAGCATAAAAATTCAAAACTCCGTAAAGTCCCTTTAACATTTTGATTCAGATTTAATATTTAGATTAAGATTTATTATTTATATTTAACATTTATATTTAATACTTAGATTAAGATTTATAATTTAGATTTAAAATTGAGATTGACTTATTGTTTAGATTTAATATTTAGATTTAGATTTCATATTTACTTTAAGATTTATTTATATCTAGATTTAATATTTAGATTAAGATTTATTATTTAGATTTAACATTTAGTTTTAGATTCAATATTTAGGTTAAAATTTCATATTTAGATTGAGATTTTACATTTGGGTTTCAATCTTAAATGTGATGAAAGTGTGCCAGATGTAGGAAAAGTAAACTAAATACCAAAAACTCTCCACTAAATTTTTGACTTCTACAATTTAAACTTGGCATCTCATACACCAGTTTTAAAAAACTTGATGTGCTGATACCTATCTTTTTTTCTTTAGTGTGCACAAGCCCCCTTTCTCTTTTTTTAATCAACTCCACTTCTCGTTTGCTGTCTCATATGTCCTGTGGGCTCACAGTTTCAGACTACGCCTCCCCAAACCTAACTTTAAAAATAATTTCTTGTCTCTCTCAGGCGGCGTTACTGGCGGCTCCCTACAGATCAAACTTCCTCAAGTCTCTGTCAAAGGGAGAGGAAGTGAAAGAGGAGGACTGTCTGGCAAACGTGCGTCACTTCCTGGTGAACTACACCATGGTAATAGACGCCATCTACGAGATGTACACAAATCTAAACGCTGAGCTGAACTACACAGTTTGATGTTGACAGAGGAGCCTGGAGCAGTGGCACAGATGTGACTCATCTGTCATCAGCCTCAGGTGGAACCTCAGCCTTAAAAGATATTTTTAAAAAGGGTTTTTGTCTCATTTTCACTGAGATATTTATTACTTTGATTCGCATTATTCTTCATGTACAAGTAGTCTTTAATCCTGCTTACTGCCTTAAATTTAAAGAAATGATATCCAAAGGTGCTTTTTCCCTTGTATTTACTTCAGATTAATAGGATATGAAAGGAACAATGCTCACTGTTAGAATTATGGTATTGTTAGATTTTCTGCATTATTTATCACAACTTTTAAAATTCCAGTTGACTTGTCCCATTAATGTCCTTTCAGCGTCTTTACTTCTTTTTTTGTTTTTTTACTTCAGCACATTTTATTCCTAATTTTAGCGCTTTGTGCCTTGGTTCAACTGAACAAAGGGTGGATTATATCTCTAAAATCACAAATATTCAGGTTTTCTTTTCATCTTTTGCCTCATTTTTGGTTTGGTGTGGTTAAACTGTTCCCTTGTTTAAAGTGTTGCCTGTTGTCATTTATTTATATGCCTTATAGTGTCTGAGAGTATTTATGCTTTAGAACAAAATATATAAAGTTGTTTGCTTATTTTAAAAATTGTAATAAATGAAGATTTATTTTCCGAATGAGTACTTTAAGAATAAAATCATGTCCAATTAAATCAAAGGATCCAACACTAGGTGGCAGTACTTTCTTTCTTTTGATTCTCTGATATTTTATGTGTTCTTCATGGGACATTTTTGAAATAGTTCTCAGTAATATTCTTCAAAATAGTATTTTTTTCTGTTTTGTTTTATTGGATATTTAAACTCTTGTTTATTTATATTTAAGGTCAAATCAAGGTCCAGCAAGAACCTTTGATGGCCTTAAAAATATCTGCACTCCATTTTGCTGAGAGAAAATTCTGTATTCCACGTGTATCCTATCCGCCACCAGGAGCTGTGCTTCTCTGCTCACTCTTGTTTGTCTAAGTGTGTCCCAGAGGTCGGAGTGATTCTGGTTCCTCTCCCAGAGGAGCCCGAGCTAATCGCCTCTGAGCAAGAGGAACATGTTTGAAATCCTGTAGGTTTATCAGCTGTCCTGCTTGATAGCATGGAAAAAAACTTGGAGTAAAGCCCGGACACAACATAAAGACCTTCTACAACAGAGTCAATGACCTTTAACAGAACATGTTTTTATCTAGACTGAAATGTCGTCAGTTGGTGGTGCACGGCTTCTATTGGCTGAGTCATTTTTTATGATGGGCTAGTTAGTTAGTCTTTCCTCTTTATGACAAACTAAACTAGAAATGGATTGTTGAGTTAAAACTGGGAGGAAATACTGGGTAAAAACAAAAAAGTGAAAGTTTAACCATTGATTCAGAAACCAATTAGTTCCTATAAAGCATGGCTACCAATTTCAAGAGCAAGCAGGCACGGTACTTGCATATTGCATGATATGACTTTTTTCTTAAGTTATAATTCTGTGGTTTATAAAAACATTTATATAATTCTTCGCACAAAATCCCTCTCACTTAAATAGATTTCAGCAGTACCTTCCAGAATGAGCTGTTTCAGGCCTATGTCACTTTAAGAAAACAAGCTGGAACTGGCCACGCCCACTCATCCCTCACCCAAGCTGCTATTAGCCGAGAAGCTCCGATATATGTGAGGTCGAATGATGACTCCTGGTTGCCTTATTCTAGGGGCTTTCTGGGTATATTCCACTGGGAGGAGACCCTGCAGCAGATCTGGAACTTCCTGGGGGAATTCTGTATCCTGCCTGGCCTGGGAACACTCTGGGATTCCTCCAGGAATGGGGTCTGAAGCTGGTGGCGCTTTGGGCCATTCACAATTGCTCCTAATAACGTCAGCAAGAAATTATTTTAAAAAAAGCCTAAAGAATGTTTATAAAGATTGATGTAATAAAAATGCAGGTTTAAGAAGCTTTTCAATTTTATCACAGAACAATTGCATTGATGAGACATTGACAATAGAACTGCACTAAAAGTACCAGTGCTATTTTTTTAATCTATGTGTTTTTATTTTTACTCAATGTTTTGCAAACATTAGCGTCCCATAGAAAACTATACATAGTTTTTAAAAAGTGTTTTTTTTTATTTTAAAACCTGATAACAGAAAAGACAAACAGTGTTATAAAACAAATCTATTATACCAAGTACAGAGGAGAAAAGGATGTCTCGCTTTAACCTAGAAAAAAGTCAATCCTGAATTTAATCTCAATTTATCTGAATTCTGGAACAAAGAACCTTTTTTTCAGCAGTCTTAATCCTCTTCCGTAGAATTTATGAAAAATTATGAAGTGGGAGAATGACGTCTGGACTTGAGTCTAAACCTACCTCGGATAAATATCAGGATGGATGCAACTGTGACATTTCTGACAATTGCATTTGCAATAAAACACTTTATTTTTTGTGTCACACGGTGGTCGCCTAAAAAAACATGTGCTTTCAAACACTGACTTCTACAGGTCTTTCTCAAAAAATTTTGCATATTGTGATAAAGTTCATTATTGTCTGTAATGTACTGATAAACATTAGACTTTCATATATATTAGATTCATTTCACACAACTGAAGTAGTTCAAGTCTTTTATTGTTTCTAATATTGATGATTTTGGCATACAGCTCACAAAAACCCAAAATTCCTATCTAAAAAAATTTGCATATCATAAAAAGGTTCTCTAAACGAGCTATTAACCTAATCATCTGAATCAACTAATTAACTCTAAACACCTGCAAAAGAATCCTGAGGCTTTTAAAAACTCCCAGCCTGGTTCATTACTCAAAACCGCAATCATGGGTAAGACTGCCGACCTGACTGCTGTCCAGAAGGCCATCATTGACACCCTCAAGCAAGAGGGTAAGACACAGAAAGAAATTTCTGAACGAATAGGCTGTTCCCAGAGTGCTGTATCAAGGCTCCTCAGTGGGAAGTCTGTGGGAAGGAAAAAGTGTGGCAGAAAATGCTGCACAACGAGGTGACCGGACCCTGAGGAAGATTGTGGAGAAGGACCGATTCCAGACCTTGGGGGACCTGCGGAAGTAGTGGACTCAGTCTGGAGTAGAAACATCCAGAGCCACCGTGTACAGGCGTGTGCAGGAAATGGGCTACAGGTGCTGCATTCCCCAGGTCAAGCCACTTTTGAACCAGAAACAGCGGCAGAAGCGCCTGACCTGGGCTACAGAGAAGCAGCACTGGACTGTTGCTCAGTGGTCCAAAGTACTTTTTTCGGATGAAAGTAAATTTTGCATGTCATTCGGAAATCAAGGTGCCAGAGTCTGGAGGAAGACTGGGCAGAGGGAAATGCCAAAATGACTAAAGTCCAGTGTCAAGTACCCACAGTCAGTGATGGTCTGGGGTGCCATGTCAGCTGCTGGTCTTGGTCCACTGTGTTTTATCAAGGGCAGGGTCAATGCAGCTAGCTATCAGGAGATTTTGGAGCACTTCATGCTTCCATCTGCTGAAAAGCTTTATGGAGATGAAGATTCCATTTTTCAGCACAACCTGGCACCTGCTCACAGTGCCAAAACCACTGGTAAATGGTTTACTGACCATGGTATTACTGTGCTTAATTGGCCTGCCAGCTCCTGACCTGAACCCCATAGACAATCTGTAGGATATTGTGTAGAGAAAGTTGAGAGACGCTAGACCCAACACTCTGGATGAGCTTAAGGCCGCTATCGAAGACTCCTGGGCCTCCATAACACTTCAGCAGTGCCACAGGCTGATTGCCTCCATGCCACGCTGAATTGAAGCAGTCATTTCTGCAAAAGGATTCCCGACCAAGTATTGAGTGCATAACTGAACATAATTATTTGAAGGTTGACTTTTTGTGTTAAAAACACTTTTCTTTTATTGGTCGGATGAAATATAATTTTTTGAGATAGGAATTTTGGGTTTTCATGAGCTGTATGTCAAAATCATCAATGTTAGAAACAATAAAAGACTTGAACTACTTCAGTTGTGTGTAATGAATCTAATATATATGAAAGTCTAACGTTATCAGTACATTACAGAAAATAATGAACTTCATCACAATATGCTAATTTTTTGAGAAGGACCTGTATATTAAATTTAGGGCTCCTGCTTACCAAATACATTACTGGTCTGAAGTTAGTTTCTACAAAATTTATTTCAATTATTGAAAATACTGATACAGGGAAACTTTACTTATTGCTTGGTTGATCATTTTTAAGCAATAAAATAAACTATAGGTCATGAATAATGGTGCAAACTCACAACAACACAACATTAACTGGGTTTAGAAAATGTTTTATTTACTTGACAATGCTTATCAAGAAAAGATTCAAATAAAGGGATGGAGGATTGGGGTCATACATTGCAAAAAGTAGTTAATTCATGGAGAAACTCATGTTTTCATATATAATAATTGCACTTTATAATAATTATAGAGAGTTTGTCATATAACTCGCCAGGTCAATATAAATAAATAGTTTTACAGTACCACTGCAGACACATGGAGAACTACTCAGTCGCACATCTCAAAGCGTTCAAGATAATATAGCCCTACATAGAACATGGTACGATCCAGGCGCCGCCTTCTGTCCAACGTGGCACACCAGTCCTTTTATAAAACAATCACACAACCTTCAGCATGGCAAAGTTGTTTCTTTCAAAAGCAAACTTAAAAACTCAACCAAAAGAAGCTTCTGTCTTGGCTTTAAAGGCATCAGTCTCAAAACACGGAGCTGAGCATGAACACAAAAGAAAAGTATTATTTAAGATGTCACTTGGGGATAAAATCATATTTCTCTATGCAGTAGCTGGATACCTGGTTGTTATGATGGGAGACGGTGAAAAATAAAAGCACTGAAAAGGTCCCTCGTAAGCAATTTTACATAAAGATATATAACCGTTGTTACCAGAAATGTTTCATAAATCACTTTGAATCATCACCCCTGATCATTTTCACATCTGCATGTTCCAGTTACATTTTGTTTAAACATCTGGAGTCATGATTATCATTTACCTTTTATTTTCCGGGCATAAAACACAAATCCTTCTACAAACACATGCAAAAACGTAAAAGGTGTGTCTTTTCCACAGAGGTTTAAAGTTAAACTTTCATTTCCTGTTTAAAAAAAAAGGAGAGAGAAAAAGTGTCTTTTGTCCCGTTGCTTGGCAGCTTTCCTTATCTGTAGATGGGGAGCTGGATGTGGGTTTGCTGTTGGTGCTCCAGCAGCTGGGGCATCCCCATGGCTTCGTACCCACGGCCCAGCATGCGCTCCTTGATGCAGGGGGGGTGGATCTCACTGATGAGGCACTCCAGAGACTGCAGGCTGCTGCTGAGTGCTGCAGCGTGGCACAGGCTAAAACTCGGCAGCCCGCAGCACAGATTCTGGTCTGCGCTGTAGGCCTGGGTGTGAAGAGGAGGAGGAGGGGGAGGTGGAAGGTGGAGCTGTGGCTGGCTGTGTTGATGGCTGTTTGGGTGGAGATGAGGGTGGGAGAGCCTCACATCTCCGGGCATGGTGGTACCCAACACCTGAGAGGTGTAACAGTCGCTGTCGTCCCAGAGCGGAGCGTAGAAGTGCCCACCCGGTAGCTCCGCCTGCACGCTGACCCGGTCCCGCCTGTAGGACAGCCGTGACGAGCATGTTAACAGCAGGCAGGTTTCAGGAGACTGAGCCACGCCGACCTCTGCCACTCTGCGCCCCTGAGCGCTGTTACTCACGCCATACATCCTAACTGCTTCCTGCTGATAGGCCGTCTGGGTCTGAGCCTTGTGCTGCCACAACGAGTACTCTCCCCTTTCTAAGTATCCGGCTCTGGCTGTGTCTGCACCCTGTGTGGGTAGCACAGCCCCTGTGAATGTCAGGCTGCTCTGGGGCGGCACTCCAAACACAAAGTCTGAGCCTGAATGCGCCACTGCAGCCACAGCCTGCAGCGAGGGGCTGGCTCGAGCCTCTCCCCCAGGGTGCAGGGCCTGGCTGTGGGGAACTCTGCTCATCTGCCTCATCAGGCTTTGAACTTCTGCCAGCTCATTCTGAGGGGGGAGGCTCTGATCTCTGGAGGCCATTCCTGCAGTAGAACAAAGTGTTTCATTGGGTACATCTGGGAGCTTACAGGAGCTTATGTGATAGGCCTTGTGCCCATGTCTGACTGTGTAGCCATTGTTCAGAGGATTATCATACGGTGCCAAAGAAGTCTGGGAGTTTGAAGGTTTAGTCCTCCTGCCCTCACATGTTTTCAGCACACCTTTGACCACCACTGAGGCTTTGACGATGGCCAGCAGGCCCTGGTTGCCTCCTAAGTGTGGGTGTGAGTAAGAGCTGTAGCGTTGGCCTGTGGTGTCCAAGCCATTGACGGTTTTGTTGAGCTGCTTGTGTTGTGGCACCCGGATGTCAGACGGAAAGATTTTGATGGACAGTGGGCTGTTGGCGGTTTTCTGGGCAAAAGCATCCAACTCTGCAGGAGACGGATACCGAGAAATCATGGAGCCCGACTCGCCTGGGAAGAAAGCAGACAGAGATGGAGATCAGAATAAACACAGAGACGTCTCGTTTTGCTGTTTTTTTTCCTTCCTCCCATAGACTCAACTATGTAGCTGTACCTGAGCTAAAATTAAAATACATAAAACCAGAATTAGTTTATCGCAGTGACTCGAAGCAAGTCAGTAATTAAATAATCACAGTCCTGTGACTACTGAATTTTTATTTTTCTACTTATTAGTCAAAGCTAAATGAGATTACTTCTAAGGCTGATGTAATTAAAGAACTCATTTGCAGGTTAATAATTAGAGTTTGGATTTTATTAGAACAAATAAATTAAACAACAGTATTTGTAATCCTACAGGTTTATTGTGTTTTTGTTTTTTGGCTTCTGCAGCAACCAAACTTCAAAAGGACATATTTAATTAATAAAAGAAAAAAGGCGACCCAAACAAACTTGGCTCTATGGGAAATTTTTTTTTAAATGGCCTTCCTGGTGAAATCAATAAAGTAACTGATTACCCACATTATTTAGAAAGCCGAGTTCATTTTAATTAGCTACACCTAGGCCTGATTACAGCCAGTTAATCTTCAATAGAATCTGTTTGACGACATGAAGTAGCTGAAAAGGTAAACATGCCCAGTTCAAAAGGAATTCAAGACTAGAACACAACATATAAAACCCAGCAAGCCTCAGTTGGTTGATGTTAAGGTCAGAGTTCATGATTCAACTATAAGAGAGACATCAGAGCAAAGACGGTAGCCATGGGAGCCTTTAAAGACCAAGGGTGTTAGGGAAAACGAATTAAATGATGCCCAGTTGTTGAAAAATATTGGCGACTTTGTAAAATATAACCATAAAAATTGGGTTTAAAATACATGGGAATGAGTGTAAGGGAGTTCTCAACATCAAGGAACCTTGCCTTGATGTCTTGGACCCGCCCCGGTTGCCTAGGAGATGTCATCAGGAACCGCCAAGGCGTATTCCAATGTTCATGTTCTACTGAGGCATCTGTTCTCCGTTTGTTAGCCGTTTAGCTAGCTGAGCAAGGATACAATGGAGGTGCCTTGTAGCCTGGCCTTGGTCAAAAATTTCCCAGAATACAGTAGCAGGTCAACGGCGGTGTTGGTGACAAATTTACAGGAAGCGGCGTCCCAACCAATCACAAGCTTATGGTCTTTGTCACTTTCCACAAATGTTTAAAATTTTGGGCATGTCGCCGTCACCCTCTGTGAGCCCGTCAGAGAGCCCTTGCGCCGACGCATAATGGCGTTGCGTGTCTCAGCACAGACGGAGAAGTATAAATCAGGCTTTAGACGGGCCATTCATCCTGGAAACCCCTCCGATGTCAGTTTCAGGGGCAGTTAGTCTCCCCAACAAAGAAAACCATTTTCAACGAAAAATTGAAAATCGACAGATGAAACATGTAGGTTTCATTTCATTTCACTTTATTTGTAAAGCCTCTTCCACGACCATATTAGACGCCCAAGGTGCTGGACAACGCAACAAGCAAGTAAATAAAACTGCAAAACAGCCATAAAAGCATAAAACCTAAATAAAAGGCCACATTACACACAGGACAATGAAGCCATGCTATGACATCTACTGTTGGAAAGCCACGACATCTTCAAACGGGATTTAAAAACCAGCAAAGAAAGTGACTGGCGCACGGTTAAAGGTAAATCATTCCATTGCCTTGGAGTAAACACCGAGAACGCCCGATCGCCCCGTGATTTAAACTCTGAATGCCAAACGGAGGGCTCTTGATGGAGCATGCCTGTTCAAAAGGCTAGCCAAGTAAGAAGGAGCAGCTACGTTTTCACAGCACTGTGTACTTGTGGCAGTGTGAGCATCCTGTCACAGTGTCCTGATTGATCATGCGCCCTGGCTACTTGGCCAAAAGGGATGTCCCTTTGGCTGACTGGTTAGCGTGCATGACTCTCACCCGGGAGTCCGGGGATCGAATCCCGCCCGGGCCCTCGTTTCTCCACCTTGCCACATTCTCACCGATGTTCACAAACCAACTTATTTCTCTTATAATTTGACAGAGGGGTCAAAAGTATCCACTCAGGTAGATACAATGTTTTAAAAAGATATAGATGTAGTAATTGATGTCAATCAAGCTTTGTGATCTAGTAAAAGAAAAAGTTATTGTCTCAAAGCTGATAAAAGTAATGTAAGTTAATAAATATGGTTTAAGGACAAAAAAGGGACAAACGCTTAGACCCACACCTCCCCAAAAAATACAGTAGAGCAAAAAAGTATTTAGTCAGCCACCAATTAGGTCACCCAACTAAAAAGATGATAGAGGCCTGTGATGTTCATCATAGGTATTGTGGTGCATGTTTGCCTCTGTCGGTGCGCCCCAGGGCAGCTGTGGCTACATTGTAGCTCATCACCATCAGCGTGTGAATGTGTGTGTGAATGGATGAATGATACACTGTAGTGTAAAGCGTTTTAGAGTCCTCTGAAACTGAAAGGTGCTGTTCAAGTACGGGTCATTTATCATTCATTATCAATGATCATCAATCAACTATTGGAGACAAAATGAGAAAGAAATCTAAAAAATCTCATTGAATGATTTTTAACGAATTTATTAGCAAATTATGGTGGAAATTAGTATTTAGGCAATGACGAAATTCCATCTCAATACTTGTATTACTTATAACTATATATCCTTTGTTGCCAATGACAGAGGTCAAACATTTTCTGTAAGCCTTTGTAAGGTTTTTACACACTGTTGCTGCAATTTTGGCCCGTTCCTCCATGCAGATCTCCTCTAGAGCAGTGACATTTTGTAGCTGTCACTGGGCAACATGGACTTTCTACTCTCTCCAAAGGTTTCCTTTGGGGTTGGGACCTGGGGACTGACTAGGCCACTCCAGGACCTTGAAATGCTTCTTACAAAGCCACTCCTTTGTTGCCCAGGCGGTGTGCTTTTGTATCATTGTCATGCTCAAAGACCTAGCCACATTTAATCTTTATTGCCCTTGCCCTACAGCAATCAATTTCCCTCTGGGATTAATAAAGTATTTTTGAATTTGAATTTGATGGAAGGTTTTCACCAGAATCTGACTATACATGGCCCCATTCATTCTTTCCTTTACTCTCTGCATGTAATTCACTAGGCCCTCCCTTGTAGTGGGATTTTTGTTCACCATACTTGTGATCCCTTCCACTTTCTAATAATTGCACAGTTGATTTCTTCACACCAAGCAGCTTGTTGCAGATTCAGACTTCCCAGCCTGGATCAGGTCTACAATTTTGTTTCTGGTGCCCTTTGACAGTTCTTTGGACTTGGCCATAATGGAGTTTGGAGTGTGATCGTTTGAGGTTGTGGACAGGTGTGTGTTATACTGACGAGTTCCAACAGGTGCCTTTAATACATGTAACGAGTGGAGGACAGATGATCATCTTACAGAAGAAGTTACAGGTTTGTGTGAGCTTGAATGTTGATTGTAGGAGACCAAATATTTATTTTCCACCATAATTTCCAAATAAATAGTGATTTTCTGGATTTTCTTTTCCCCTCATTTAGTCTCTCATAGCTTAGGTACACCTAAGATGAGCATTACAGTTCAATTGAATTCAAAAATACTTTATTAATCCCAGAGGGAAATTGATTGCTGTAGTAGCTCAGAATAATAATAATAAAAATCAAGTAATCAAAGAGTTATTGTATATTACAATGGCTGTTGGCAGGAAGGATCTCCAGTAGCGGTCAGTGTTGCAGCGAAACTGAAGAAGCCTCTGACTGAAGACACTCTTCCGTTGTCTGACAGTCTTGTGAAGAGAATGCTCAGGGTTGTCCGTAATTTTCTTGATTCTCTGGAGAATCCTTCTTTGCATTATCTCCTCCAGCGGCTCCGAAACTGCCGATACTCTGGCTGAGTCCTTGAAAGGGCTTGGAGTTCCTCCATCTTGTTGGCCAGTGATCTCACATTGCCCATTTTTGATGGAAGAGATGGTTTGAATTTCCTTTCTCTGTCTCCGTTTTGCTCCCGCTCTGCACCCACGCTTCTTGCGTTTTAGCTCATTTGGGATTTGTGGCTTCAGTTGAGGTATTATTTCAGCCTTTCCAATGTTAATCAGCTGCTCCCAATTGTAAACCAGCTTGTTGCCATGGTTACACATAATTTCAAATGCTCAAAAAGTGAAAAAAGCTAAAAAATAGCAGTGAAAATCCTCCAAGCTTCACAGCACCAGAAACAGAAAAGTAAAGTGTCCAAAAAAAAATACAGTTTTTCTTGAGAAACTAGAAGAAAAAATGTCCAAGAAAAGGCAAAACTTACATATAGTCAACAGAGCTACTCCAACATGCAGCCACCCAGAGCAGCGCAGTTCCGGAAAGCCTCTCTTATCTTTTTTAAGTGGGAGAACTTGCACAATTAGAGGCTGACTAAATACTTTTTTGCCACACTGTACTTTCCTTTGTGTCAGAGTAACAAGGCTATTTTAATAATTAGAAAGTACAAGTGATTGTGTGAAAATGTAACAATGGCTAATAAATAATTACTCCAGTTAAGTATAGAAACCCATAGTTTCTGCATAAGTAAGATATCAAAGTATTTGTATTGAGTTATATGACACCTTTGTATTTGAACAACTGAGCCTCAGAGAAAACTCCTTCAGCTTTGAGCAAAGCGATGAAGTGGGAGGTAAATTTAAGTTTGGGGGTAAATATTCCCTGAAGCTCTGCAGACATTTACAGGTAAATAAACAAATAACTCAAAAAGCAGAAAATGTGTGTGTGTGTTTTTTACTTTAAAGTAGCCCGTTAATTCAGATTCATGTTGCCAAAGTCTTGAAAGTTGTAATCATTTCAGCTTTTGTTAAATGTTATTGTGCCTGATTGTGCTTTAAGAGCAGGTTGTGGAAAACAAGTTACAGTTACAGACAGGAAGAGAAAAGGAAAGCCATCACCAGGAGGTCTGCTGATTGAAATGTGTGCAGAAAAACAAACGGAGTTAAAGATGATTGATTTTAAACACCATTATTTAGCCTATTTTCTACAGCTG